TGTATTATAATTATGATAGGTTATTAGGTTGCATATCTGTTCCTATATATTACTCTCTTCTGAACTGTACCATGCACATAGAAATTTGTATATTCAGAATTTGAAGGTGAAATTGACTTTTTTTCGTTAGATAGGATGGGATATTTTGCTACTCAGAATGAGGAGAAAAAAAACTAAGCATGTAGGGCCCGGCGCGGTGGCGCAGTGGTTAAGGTCCTCGCCTTGCATGCCCCGGGATCCCATATGGGCGCCGGTTCTGTCCCGGCAGACCCGCTTCCCTCCCAGCTCCCTGCCTGTGGCCTGGAAAAGCAGTGGAGGACAGCTCAAAGCTTTGGGACCCTGCACCCGCGTGGGAGACCCGGAAGAGGCTCCTGTCTTCGGATTGGCATATCATTGGCCGTTGTGCTCACTTGGGGAGTGAATCATCGGACGGAAGATCTTCCTCTCTGTCTCTCCTCTCTGTATATCCGCCTTTCCAATAAAAAAATAATAAAAATAAATCTTAAAAAAAAATCTAAGCATGTAAAGTGGGAGTACTGTATCCTTTGTCTGTAATCTTTTACATCTTTGTAAGTCAATGCATTACTAATCTACCTCTATTCCCCCATTCACCTTCTTCCCTGCTGTAGCTCTCCATTACGTTCCATTACTGCTTTTTTAATGTGCTGCACCACTGACTATTTCATTTGCCATTTACTGTTCTGTATTTTATAACATTGTGCTGCCTCATGGATCAGTGAAGGGAAACATTCTTTTTCTTTTTTTTTTCTTTTCTTCTTGGGGAACTAGACACTCTCTGAGGTGTTATTTGGTTTGTGATGCCTGAATTGGTTCCTAGAGACTAAGTTAGGTGTCTGCCAACCTAAACCCACCATAGTGCCATATAATTCTTTTTCATACTTTGTATTGCAGTGAATTAATTTTTTTTTGTTCAAATGACTGATTTCCTCATTAGATTGCAACTTTCTCTAAGCTGAAGACTGTATTATTTCTTGCTTCATTCCTTCCATGGTGTCTTCTCAATTTTGTTATTCATGCCAAGCTCCATTTTGTTAACCACTGAGGTTTTATCTGATCTTACTAACCCCTCAATGCTCTCTCTTATGTTAACTTTCAAAACTGATTTTTGCAACATTCAAGTGTTACAATGCATATGTATTTATACAACCAGATACCTTAGTAGTATCTTAATAATATCTAATATAATTCCTTGGAAATACATTTATTTGGTTTGTGTTTTGCAAATCAACTGTAGTAAGTAGGAACTAGAAGATTCAGAGCTAATTTACCTTTAGAGTTCTCTTGGATTCTGGGTAAATTTTAAGGCCATTGGGTACCTTCTGTGTGTCTATGAAGCTAAAGTTCAAAGGTAAAACTGCACTGATACTACCAAGGAAATAATTTTTGAAACATCATCTTGTCTTCCTCTCAATACTGTTTTCTAGTTGATTTTTTTTGAAATCTTGAACGTGGCTTTTATTATTGGATGCTCATATTGCAGAACTATGCCATCCAAGGCAGTATATGAAATCCTGCTTCTCTCTTCTGGGGAAGAGATGGAATAAATTTTAAAACATTGAGGAAATTAAATAGTTACTTGCTTAAAAGCATTCATTCCTGCAAGACTGGTATATCTTTCTCAATCTAAATATACTAGTATTTACTATATACTCAACAAAAACTGTATTAAGTAGTATGAACTCAAGAGAAAATAGTATAAAAATAGTTTAAAAATAATAATTGATTTTAAGTTAGAGTAACTGAATAAGAGGGACATACACACAAAGAGAGGGAGGGAGGAAGGAAAGGAAAGAAGGAGGGAAGCAGAGAGAGAGAGAAAGAGAAAGAGAGAGAAAGCAAATAAACTAGCTATCTTCCATATACTAAAATACTCCCCAAATGGGTGTACCAGGCTAAAGCAGGGATGCTGGAATTTCACGTAGGTCTCCCATACAGATGTCAGAAGCCCAGGTTCTTTAAGCTTCCTTTGGTGGTTTGCCATTCACATTATCAGGGACCTGGATCAGAAGTGGAGCAGCAAAAACTTGAAACATCAACTATATGGAACGCTGACATCAAAGACAGGACATTAACAATAATGCCAGCCTCAGGATAGTGTATTGCCTTGATAAACATTGCAAACATTTGCTACACGAAATTGGTTTCATACTGTAAAGAAATTCTGTAACGTCAAAGTTGTTTTTGCAGTTCGCAAGTTTTCATTTTGGTTATGCATACATTTTAATCATATACATTCTGCATGGTCAATATAAAATGCTAATCCATTATTTTATAATTATCTATATTCTTGAAATCCTTTATTCATTTGAACATATTTTTTAAAATATTATTTCAAGATTTATTTATTTGAAAATCAGAATTGGAGAGGGAGACTTGGAGAGACAAGGAAGGAGAGCAAGGAGGAGGTGGATGAGGAAGGTGAGTGGTTTTCTATCTACTGCATAACCCCCTAATTGCCCCCAATGGCTCTGTCTGGACCAAAAAATAGCTATGACTCAGAAAGTCCATCCTGGATCTTCCATGAGTGTCCAAAGCTCATGTATTGGGGTTTTACTCCTCTGTTTTCCCTGACACATTATCAGGAAGTAGCATCAGAGGCAGAGCAACCTACTGACACCCTGATACAGGATGCCAGAGTAGCAGCTGGTGGCTTAACTCACTATGCCACAATGCCGGCATTTAAAAGAGATTTTTAAAACAAGTATTTCAGGATTAAATATTTTCCTAATTCTTTTATACTGTATTTATTTTTTTAAAGACAGCAACTACTTCTTTTAGTTTGGATAGAATATAGTTTTACCTTATAAAGAAGAAAATATGTGTGAAGTAAAACGCAATGAAGTACTTTGGTTTTCACTGAGTCTATGAGATAGCTTTCCAGCTATACAGGCCTTCGTTGTATGGAGCAGGTAAACTATCAGGAATTCAGTGCTGATGGAGTGCGAGTGGTAAATTCAGCTTCCTTTGGACAGTCACCAATATATTTTAGTGATAACTAATAAGAGTAATTCATACTTATCTCTTTTCAGCCCACAACTAAGCAAGGGAATGAGAATATGACTTTGGTCATGATATGTTAGCATAGAAGTTAGAAGTCTCAAAATGACAGAATGGTTTAGTTTTAGTTTTTCTACAAGCAAGCAGTTTTACATAAATGGCTTTTTTACAAATTTGAAATGTGAATATATTTTATTTTTCCCAGTGAGTACACAATACACAATTTTGACAATACTATTAATCAGTTTTATGCCAATTTCTTTGCTGATCTAACAACATCAAATGAAACACAAAGATTTTGGACGCTGTTTGGTGACTTAAACAAACTACAGTTAAAAAAAAACTCCATCTATAAACAAAGTATAAAAAGTCTACCCACGGCCACAAAATCCCTTATCCTGCAACATTTTAAAGTCACAATAAATGCTTTTGAAATTATGCAATTAAAATAATTAGTAAGTTGAAATATGGTGTTTCATTTGAAGTACACATTAGAGAGAAGCGAAATAAAAGAACTTCACTTTAAAGATAATGGGCAAACACATGTTGCATGAAACCATCTCTTGTCATGAAATTCTATAAACACGATGTACAGAGGCAGATGAGCGTATTAGTGAGTATTATGATTTTGCATATCTTTAATACTGACACACAATCACTCTCCAGTGGAGATAATCCACAATTTAGCGTGTGTTGATATCATTATCACTATATTGTCAGTGAGCAAGTACATAAATTTATTTAATAGAGATTAGGAGTTGTTCCACATAGACTTTTAACTCAAACCCCATCGAAAATATACCTAAATACCAAGAGAAATGAACTATTACACAGAACACCACCAAACCTGTTCCGTCACTCAAAGCGAGAAAACCTGCAGTTATTGTACTTCCATTTGGTTGTGTGATACTTAACATGTTGGTCTCAATTTTTCAATATTCTCCCTTGAACAGTGGAATCTCTTGAAGGCATTCATTGTTTTCATGCACCTGTACTATTCCACTTTATTTCTACCATGGTATGTAAAAGTTCTAGAGGAGCAATAGGGTAACTCCACCTGCATACACTGATATACCTGAGTTTGCACATTGATACAGTTATTTTCGCAAAAAGAGTTTTGTCTTTTGGGTATGAAGCTGTGTTGGCATCTGCTCAGCAGCACTGCCCAAAAGTGTAAGAGAGGTTTACATTCTCATCTACTCAGATTTATTTCTGAGCTTCTTGCAGGCCTCTATTTAGATCTGTAAGACCGAGCTCTAAGAATTTGAAATCACATTCCTTTATCTTAAAATACACAGTGACTTTCACACATGTTTCTTACACTAATTAATATCTTTTTACATATAGTGGAAGTCAACGAAAACATTTTTGTTTCTGATAAGGTTCCAAAATCAATTTGGTTAACCATTGCATTTTACCTTGTTTTATAAATGTGTGAAGACGATTATTCATAGTGTAAGATGTCACTGTCCAACTTATTAACAAGTATATTTGACATTATTAATTTAAAAGAACATTTCAAATGATGATGAGATCTGCATTAACACAATCTAACTGTAATATTTACTGAAGATAATCAGGAATATGTGAGGCTATAGCCTATAATATTCCAAAAGTTGTCTGCATACACACACTTTGTTGTTGGAAATCTGGTTGAATTCATCATCTACACCTGAGTATGTGCCATGTGTGTAATGAACTAAAGTTTTAGACTGAAAAGAGTTAGAGAGATACATAAAGTAGAAAGAAATACATAAAAAATCTGAAGAATTTTCTTTCAGATAGAAAGAGGTGATAAAACGAGCTGCATTTTTTAAATATGTGAATTCTTCATATTATGATGAGTGGCAAAATAGATCTTGGTGCATTGCAGAAATTTTGTACTTCCTCCCACCACTGTTTCAGAGAAATCGGGCATTGAAGGTAAAAAAATTGATTAAGGACTTAATAAATGTGTTTCAGAATTTTTTTTTTCTTCAACGAAGAAACTAATTACATGGCACCAAGAAATTCCTGGGGCCCGTCCATCATCAGCATCGCAGGGTATGCTTGCCTGAGTTGCTGCAGTCTTAGAGAATCAGAGCAGGCGGAATCAACTCCATTAGGTAAAATTTCCATACAACAACAGGACATAAATTGGTGACCGAGCCAATAATGCAAGGAATGAGGGTCCTTTCCAAAGAGGTCACATACTTTAGAATTCATCATCACACTGAATGGTTTTCCAAATATCAAGTACTAAACATAAGGAAAAAAAATATGAGAAAGTAAAGACAGAAACTTTGTGTGGGTAGCATGTGGTAAAACGTCACAAGTAGGAATTTCAGGCAGAATATCTTCTACATGACTGATCGACTCTACATGTACAATAGCTAACATTTATTCTCAAAGTCACATTTATCTTGAGCATACATGCCCGATGTTCAGGAACTTCTTGTTCTCAAAGTCGTGAAAACAAATGAGGCAGGACTACTGTCATTAATGTCCACTTACAAGGTTTGGTTTTATTTCAAAAGTGTATAAACATGCATTTTTTTTCTCCTTTCAATTTTGTTTTTTCAATTTCTTCATTCAAAAATGGGTTAGACGTATTTTAGCTTATAGCTGATTTCTGAGAAGGTACCATAAAATATTCCAAATACATCTACTTACTGAGAACTGAGCATACTCTGAGCACTGCTTTGCAAACACAATTTAGCCAAAGGTTTGGTGGCATCAACTTGATTTCCTAAGCAAAGGAAACACAAAATTGTACCTAGATTACACAATTTTTTTCCTTTAGGAAAGTCATGGATCTTAGTGATGCAGCTCTATCCCCCAGAGTGTGCTGCACATGTATTAGAGAGGTGAAACAAGATACTGCAATTGAGTTTACATTTGGAAGCAGCTCAGGTATGTCTTAATGGTTCAACTATTAGCTAGATATTCTGGAGTTCATTTCATTTTGTTTCCTTAGGGACGTTCAAATTCTGACTTAATGAGCTGGAGAGATTAATTATGGTATTTCAGAATTTGCTTTAAAAGACTGTTTATGCATCAATTCGTGATATAGCTTAATTTTCTTTTGCTTGTTGAAATTCTCATATGGGTCAATTACAATAACAGGTAAAATTGATGCTAAGAAATTTTATCTTATTTAGCAAGTTTAGTACATCTTGGCTACTTGTGTACTTTAATGCATATTCAGTCTAAAAACTTCAACTTCCTTCTCTTGACCCCTGTTTCTGTCAATAGTAAAAGCCACCTTTCAGCTTTGTTGTATTGAATCAGTCCCTAAAGTTCCAAGAAGACTTTGCCAATACCATAGTTCCTTTGCATCGTCCTATTCTACACCCCAAATGAAAACCATCTAACAGGATTACAACCAGCATTATCCAACGCAGCTTACAGTACAGAAACTCTCTTCACATTCAATCTTATTCTTCACGTCATGAGGAGTAGAGATTTGTGCTTATCACCAAATAAAATTGCAGTGCAAAATTTAAACACAAAAGTTACACAATTAAAAGTTAATATATGGCACCACAGCCTATTAATTCACATATAGTACAACAGACCAGTAGGAACAGACAATAATATGGAACTGAGCTAAAAAGAGTGACCTTGCATAGCAATGCACAAAACAAAATTTATATACAGAGGGAAATTCCTTTTTTTTTTCCTGGAGGGCAAATCTTGTTTTCTTTTTTTATATACTCCTGACAAGAAAGAGTTAAGGTGGGTGGTGTAATTAAGAGAACACAAGTAAAATATCTGTGGGATATGTGTGGCTGTGTGTCTTTACATTGCATTTACAGTTCTTTAATAGTACATAAATAAAGAAATTGTTCATTGCACTGTTTAGTGTCGTCACTTCCATGAGTTCAGACCTGATGGTCCTTCAGAGCAGCTTCATCTGTCTCCTCTCAGTTACTCTAAAAAGAGATGCAACAAAAAAAAAATCAGAAATAATGTTTATATGTGAATAAAGCAGTCATCTGGAACAACATAACAGAATAAAGCCTGTAGGCAATAAATGAAGAGGAGATCACAAAACGGAATTTATAGGCTATGAACGTAAAGAATTTTCTTTGAAACAGATCAACAAGGAAAAAAAATTACACTGTAGATTTTGGATCTTTAGCATCCAGAGCCATCAAGGCTAGTGCAATTGCTCAACTGCCTAATCCTCTAGCTCCAAATGTCAACATCCCATAGGCGCACTGGCTCCTGTCCCAGCTGCTCTACTTCCCATCCAGCTCCCTGCTTGTGTCCTGGGAAAGAAGTGAATAATGGTCCAAAGTCTTGAGACACTACACTCACACAGGACATCTGGAAGAGGCTGCAGGCTCTTGGCTTTGGATCAGCTCAGCTCTGGCCACTGCGGCCATTTGGGTAGTGGAACCATCAGATGGAAGATCTTTCTCTTTGTTTCTCGTTTTCTCTGTGGATCTGCCTCTCCAATAAAAATAAAATAAACCTTTAAAAATGCAGACCTATTTTGTGCTCTTTGGAAGTCCATACTTCAAAATATAAATTAAGGAGAGATCCAAGTAGCCACAAAGCAAATTAAACATTATAAGACAGGAATAGTAGTGCCATAGGCAAGTTACATTTGGGACACAAACGTGTCAATTCAGAGTGCTTGGCTTTAGTCCTAACTACCCCACACATCTGACTAAGCCTCCTGTTAATGTGCCTGGAAGGTAGTAAGTGATAGGTGATATACCAGGGTCCCGGCAAACAATGAGAGAAGCTAAGATGGAATTTTGTGCTCCTGGCTAAAACCTGACCTTGCTCCGCTACTTAGGATATTTGAAGAGTGCATTGATGCATGGGAGTTCCTATCACTCTGTCTTCCAAACAACTAAATATTTATTGAATGTAACAAATATTAATACTAATCTGATTAGAAAATATTAATCAGTGATAAAACATATCATATAAGACCTGTAGGTTTGGAAACATTTATTCATTTCAAACTCTTTTGTAATCTCACAAATGATCTATGATGTGTACCTAACAGGAAACCCAGGGTTTTTTTGGAGGGGGTGGTTGTTTTGTTTTAGGTTTCATTTATTTTCCTTGGAAAATCAGAGTCACAAAGAGAGCTGGAGATACAGAGACAGAGATCCTCCATGTGCTGGTTCATTCCCCAAATGGCCACAAAAGTGAGAGCTGGGTCAGTCTGAAGCTGAGACCAAGAAGTTCCATGAGCATCTCCCACTTAGCTGTTCTGGCCCAAACACCTGAGCACGCCCCTGCTGCCTTCCCAGGCCATAAAACAGGGAATTATATTAGGAAATGAACTAGACAAGACTGAACTTGGTGCCCATAGGAGATGCTCGTGCTGCAGACATGGGGTTCGCTTGCTATATTCCCACTAAGCCAGTACCCTATTCCTACTTTTTAATATGAGGAAACATATTCTGGAGGTAGTTTGCTTTATTATTTCATATAATAAATTGAGTAGTTGAGAATCTTGCAATCCTACACTCAAGATGAACACCACCTAGCAAGACTAGTTACAATGAGCATTGTCTAACTGAGCTAACAGGACAACAACTCCATCCCATTCCTTCTTCTTCATGTCATAAAGAATAATGACAATAATTTTACAAACACACTGCTTTTAAGCTATCAGCAACTAACTGTTCTACTTTAAAAAAAAATCCAATATAACACAATCTTCCTGGGCTGGTTGTAGCGCAGTTGGTTAAGTTCTTTTTTGCAATTCCAGCATTCCATCAAGGAGTGCTGGTGTGATTCCCAGCTACTCTGCTTGTGATTCAGCTTCCTGAAAATTCACATAAGAAAAGCAGTAGAAGGTGACATAATGCTGGCAGCCTTTGCAAGGTTGGAACCATTTGAGGGGGAGTGAATTACTGAACGGGAGATTTTTTTCCTTATGACTTACTTATTTTTACATGAAGGAGATTTACATAGAGAAGGAGAGACAGAGAGGGATTTTCCATCCACTATTTTACTTCCCAAATGGCTGTAATGGCCAAAGCTGAACTGATTCAAAGCTGGGAGCAAGGAGTCCTTTCCAGGTCTCCCCTGTGAATGCAATTTTCCCAGAACTTGAGCTACCCCTCCCCGAACCCATTGCTTTCCAGGGCGTTAGGCATGGAGCTGGATCCAAAGTGGAGCAGCTGTGACACAAACGAGCAACTATATGGGAAGTTGGTGCCTGTGGGTGGAGGATTAACTAAAGCAACAGTCCTGACATCAGACTTATCTTTCTCTGTCTCTTTCTTTCTCTGTCACACCATCTTTTCTTTTCTCTCTATTTTTCTTTTTAATAAAAAAAAGCTAACTTAAAATAACAGGGATATTTGTTTAACTGAAGGCTTTGGATGGCAAAGGTCTAAACAATGACAAGCTGTCTAGATTTATGGTTGCTTTCTTACTAGAGCAAGCCTTTAATTATTTTGGATTTCACTTAAAAAGGCAGTGTTAGCCTAGTGTTCTTTCCAAATCACAACAGCTTCTCACAGGACCTGAAGCACTTACACAATTCACCTGTAAACTGTCCTTGACTATTTGAACCCATATATCCTATGTCAAGAAGGTCGCTGGCATTACGCTGGTGGCCTCCCCTCATCACCTCGGTTTTCCTAGGTCCAGTGGATCCTTTCGAAGAAGCTGTTCCTGATGAACTGTGGCCGCCTGGAGAAGGGAAGCTGGGCTTGCTGTAGGGCACCAGGGCCTCCTCTGAAAGAGAAGAGAAACACAAAGGACTAAGTTGCACTGCACATGAGGGACAAAGCACAAAGTTCAACTTGAAAATATGAACCTCAGAAAGGAAAAGTTAACTACTTCATTCTTTAGTAAAATTAAACTTCTGAGGTGGAATCGTGCCCAGATATTAAAAAAGAATTTCCATGTGCAAACAGTTTCAAAAATAGAACATGAAGCAGAAATAAATTAAAAGAGATTTGGGGATAAATGTACAATACTATATATTATTTGCAAAATTTAAATTCATTATTAATACTGCATATAATGAACTGTGGTTTGCTTAACAAAAATTATATCTGAGAATACTTTCTGGAGCTCAATGAGGCTCCAATTTAATTTTTTCATTATGCATCAAACAACATTATTTTTGCTTTAGTTTAACTTAAAGCAACATTTTCTCATTTTATTTAGATTATAAAACACAAATTACATAAGCTTCTTGACTTTCTGTCATTTCTTGGCACACACTATATACTATCTACATTTGCTTCATACAAAAAAAGCCACACATTTTAATAGTAATTGCTTCTGTTATTTTTGCAACTTTGAGACTTTCAAATATATTTCTCTTTATTTCATTCTTGCCCATTCTATCAATCTCCCTTGCTCTGCTTTTTTCTTTCCAAATGTGGGCTATGGTTAAGTGATTAGATGATCAATAAAACGTGGGCGAAACATTTTATTAACAAGTTAAAGAGTCTGAATAACTTTCTCCAGTGTATCACTAAATTTAGATAATGTAAAGCTCATCTTTTGGCACTTTCACAAATAATATTTTTCAAAAATTTAAACTTGAATTCTATGATCTAATTGTAGGAAATACATGGGGAAAAAGCATTGCTAGAAAAGTTTGAGTTCAAATGCATACATGAATAAGGAAAAAAAATCAAAAGCTCTGGGTATGTGTGTGTGAACACTCAGTGAATTCTTAAGTGAAAAGAGATCTTCCAGAAATACACATTTATAACACGTTCACTCTATTGCTCATTCAACAAAAACAAAATATTGCAACTACGAAACTTACTTTGTGACAAGCCTAAAAGGCTTGAATTTCCAATAGGTTTTCCATCTCAATGTTAATAATCAGATGTGTGTAATCAATTTGAGAATGCACAGGTCCATTTCTACCTTTCCTAATATGAAGATTCTGTGATTGGATATTTGGTTGGAACTACATAATTTCGATCAATTCACCCATATGCCTGAAGTGAGTTCTCCTTGCAAATGACATTACTTCAGACAAAATGAACAAACCCTTGGAAGGTAGAGATTAAATGTACACAAAAAAAGACATTTAAGAGTCTTGAAAGTGCTCAATATAAACATTAAAAAGCAAAAGGTTCAAACTGCGAAAAAGAGACAAAGGTCTCTTGGATTCAAAGACCCCATGGAGAGGTTAACATGAGGACAAATTTACTGGGATTCACCTTCAGCCATTTGCTGGTGAACTCTGCTGGAGAATTCCAATCTCCATTATTCTTGAAAGGCCAATGTATTTACTATGCCCTTAAATAACTAAAACACGTGGTAGAGGGGGGGAAAAAAGTAACAGTCCACACTTCCGGAAGACCGTGCAGAACACACCTGCGCCAACACCTGGTTTGTGTGGGGCTTTCCGTATATCTTCTTGGCGTTCTGTAGAGTTTATCCACTCCTGGGTTTGTCGCTGCCAGTCTAAGGAGGCTCTAGCTGGAAACTCCAATGAGCTCTTTGTGTCTTCTAAGTTGGATGCATGTTGTCTCTCTAGTGAGCTTCCTTTTCCCTCTGTTGAGTTTTCCACGTTACCAGCATGCTGGCTCGGGCCTATTGGCTGCCTTAAACCCTGACCTGGTGGGGGGTCTGGTGGTGGTGGAAGATCTAAAAATTTTGAATAATATTAAGAATTGACTAAAATGTAATGGATAATACAGGTTTTAACTCAAGTTGAAAAAATAATTGCCCTTCTTCAGGTATCACCCATGCAACAAAAAAATTTTGGAAAACTAAAAGCCAACTATTGATACCCCAAATGCTTATTATTCTGTTGCCTTTTGGTCACAGCATCTTTGAGATAAAATTGATGAGTTTTATCCAGTTGTTAGATGTAGAAAGTGTTTCCCATTGCACAATGAAGTTTCTTAGATGTCAGGTTTTTTTTTTTTTCAATAACTTAATCTATTGTTCAACTCCCACCCACCAGAATAAAAAGCCACAACATAAAATAAGATCATTAGAAATTACAGTAACCATGCTGATAAAAGGCACTGAGAAGAATAAAAGCTTTTCTGCCAATCTCCACAGGAAATCCTGCCCTTGGGAAATGAAGAACAGCAGCCCATATCATATGTAACATATGACTGTCTTACCCCTGAATATGGCATATTTAGTAATAAAGGATTAAGCCAATATTTTTTAAATGCAATTAGCATTCTGCTGGACAACCAATTCTGTCTGTTCATTTCACAAGTTAGCTAATGAGTTACAACAAATATATTATCATTTTTAATGTATTAATTTTAATAAGTAATAATCAGTGCTCTGAGATTGAACAGGCTTTATGTTGCTAGAGCAGATACTGAATCATGGAAGTGTGAGATCTAGAGGAACAGATTTATTTTTTTAAATTTTTAAGTGATATACTGGATTTGAAAAAAATTAAAAGTTTAAATAGTAATTTTCTTAGGCTCTTTTTATTAGCCCTTCAGAATCTTACCTTTATATTCTGTCTTCCATTGTGAAACCACTTGTTTTGTTTCACTCATAAATATTACACTAGCTCTGGATTTACTTTGTTGATGCTTTTGAAATTTCCTCAGCATTCATTGTAATAATTTTTTTTTAGTTTTTTGCATGTTATTGAAATCTTATTGTTCACTCAGTTTTGCTAATATATTATTCATAAAAGTAACACCATATATTATATACTTATTTCAGTAGTAGAGGATATTATATATAATATATGCAATTATTATCCATGCCATTTTGCAAATGTGTTCTCTTATTTCTACTAATATTTTGTCTAAAGATGATTTCCATAAAGGAATGCTAAGATGTTCCTATTAATTGATTTCTTATGCTAGATATGTGTTTGCAAGGAACGAATCTCAACTGAACTTGAACTGTGGTTATGCATCAAGGTGGAGGAATCCACCATGGGGGGAGGGGTATGGGAGGGGTGGGGGGAATCCCCAGTACCTATAAAACTGTATCACATAATACAATGTTAACAACGATTAAAAAAAAAAAAGAAGTTTTAAATTCTCTTTTAAGAACAAAATATTAACCTCAGTGCAACTATTCATGATGCTCTCATGAGCATCTGCTGTGGGAGTTTTTAAGTTAGAGTATCATCCCGGTTCTTTTGGATATCCTCATATTAGATTATGAATGACTATTATAAAGAACAAAGTCTATGGGACAATAAGACTGCATTTGGGATATTTCTACCAATGCATTAGCTCAATATTGAAGAATCTGTTTATTGGGTAATAAAATGATCCTGATGCTTCCTTTGTATGCAGTATGGACTTCTTTCCCTCTATATTATAAATTCAAATCAATTATTTTATGTGAATTATTGAACATAGACTGCCACTGAGGAGAAATTATTATATTTGCTTCTAAAATAACAGATATTGCCATCGATTTTTATTCTCCAGCATGGCAAATTAATTTTTTAAATGGCCAAAATGGCATCTGCTTATGCCAGCTAAAATTCTGATTAGTGCTTAATTCAATCCAAAATTCTATAGCTTAATAATTAAGTGATATCCTTGAATTTTGTATCTTCTGAGAAGAAAAGATACTATGTGCACATTGAATTTAAAAATTAGAAAAAGATAGAATTAAAAATGGTTGTGTGTAAAATGAGATTATATAATCAAATACATTAACTTAAATTAAATTTATTATTCATTTCCATACAAATTCATTCTAACTAAATTGATTCCCAAGGCAATCTCTTACTGTCCTACTGCAGATTAGCCATTATCAGACAAACAACTGTCCAATGAGAGCAATAGCATTATTCTGTTCATTCTTAGGTAAAGAAATGGAGGCACATTGAAATTAAATCCAAGTATCTTGAGTCTGTGTATCTCCTCCTATGAGATGCAGACGTATATAAGCAAATGTACAAAGAATGCTTCCAGTTAGATATATAGCAAAATTTGCAAATTTCAATACGACAATCTTTAAATAACTTCTCAGTGACAATCTGTAAAAGAAATGCAATGTATATATTTGTATATATTTAATAAGTTGTAGATTCTTGTCAGTTATCAACAATTTCATTCTCCAAGCTGGCCAAAATCTTAGCAAAACCTTGACTTTCTGGCTTTACAATCTATATTAACTCCACTCACAATCCTGTTAGCTGGTCTCCACTTGTCTGTCCTCCCTCTCTGATTCTATCTCAGTATGGTGACATCTTCTCTTCCATGTTGGCTCTATAACCTCCTAGGTAATCCACGTATTTATAACTGTGCTTCATGTTGTTTAACAAAGCCATAGCTAATCTTTACAGATGATTATGTCAGAGACGAAGAAAATCATCCCATGCCAAGCAAAGGTTGAAGGTTCCTAGGCACAGGAGTTAGCAATAATTATCCTAATTAATACAGTCGTAAAACACTATTGTAAAATCTATAGTGCAAATGCATCATGAAATATGACTACCCAGGAAATGCTAGTGGGCAGCAATATTCCCAGAAAGTACAACTGAACTTTAGATGCAAATTTCATGAAATATTTACTGACTTACAAAATTATGCCACATACATGTCTGTTGGCATACATGTCTGCCATGAAATAATCATATATTAAAGGTTAATCTGCAGACTTCTGCCTAAAACTTTGTATCATCATTTAGAAATCAGGATAAAATCGTGAAGACATGTGAGCCAAAATTCCCTTTAAATCTCACCATTTTCCGAAGATGACTACTACTAACACAACTCCTTTTTTTGGAACTCAAGCAAATCCCTTTTGATAATTTAGAAAACTCTTTGCTTTTTAAAAATATGCAATAAAATATTTATCCTTTAGAGGTAGGCAGTAAGTGGCTTTAATCAGGCATAGCAAAATATTTTCAAGTATTCTAGGAACAAAATTTGTTAATTGATATTTTATAGTTCCCACGTACTCTAGATATGCTGTTAAAATAGTTCTGAAAATGTGGACAAATTATATGCATAGGTGCTTTTCTTCTTCAACCATATTCAAAGTGGAAACAGTTATTATAACTTTTAGAGCTAAAGCTAGAATTTCAATGGCTGTAATCCTTTATATATTCAGAGTAAGGTCAACCCTACAGATTCCTTCAAGTGTGAAGTATGGTCACCATAGGATAGCCACTTGTAAAGAATCAAATTCTCATTTTTACCTTAAATTTCATGTCCTATGCAAATACTTTCAACAAAAGTAATCAGATAAATCTAAGCATACCTGAAAGCTACTTTTTTAACCACTAGTACTTTTTACTTTTGTCAATTCTGTTTTATTTTAGCATTTTTAGATGACACACAAAAAATTTGGATGCCAGAAATAGTCTCTCTAAACTCTTGAAGAGCAAGTAGCTTGTATCTTGTCAAAGTGAGCCTCGGTCTAATCTGTAATAAGTCTGAAGAGTTCTAAGAATTAGGGCATGTAATCTGCAGGCTCAATGAGCATGAAACTCTCCCTTGGAACTTCAAAATTACACTTAACTATGTTATACTCCAGAACAATTAAATTGCAATTACCAGTCAGTTCAAATGTGCAGCTAGGTTACTATTTAGTAGCACTACCTAGAGGTAAAACTGTGCGACTGTGGCGAAAAATATGAAGAGAAGAATAAATTCACTCCAGGGTCTGAAATGATACTATTTTAAACATATTAGGTACTAAATCCTTAAGCTATCAGCATAAATATTTGCTTTTACATTTTAGATAATATAGGAACTGTGATCATCATGTTAAGCTGCCACCAGCAACACCTGGTCGCACATGTTTGAGACTCGGTTGCTCTCTCCCATTCAGCTCCATGCTCATGTGCCTGGGAGAGCAGCCGGAAATGGCCCAGTGCTTGGGTCTTTGCACCCAAGTCTTTGAGAGGAGGTAAAAGCTTTACCCAAGCAGATGTATCTCCTGCCACTGGCTGCTGGCTCTTGGCTTTGTCCTAGCTCAGCCTCAACCAATAAAACCATCTTGGGAGTCAACCAGAAATGGAATATTCTCTTTGCCTCTACCTCTCTTTTAGAAACTGTTTATCAGGGGCCCGGCATCATGGCCTAGCAGCTAAAGTACTCTCCTTGAACGTGCCGGGATCCCATACGGCCACCGGTTCTAATCCCGGCAGCTCCACTTCCCATCCAGCTCCCTGCTTGTGGCCTGGGAAAGCAGTTGAGGATGGCCTAAAGTCTTGGGAGCCTGCACCCGTGTGGGAGACCTGGAAGAGGTTCCTGGCTCCTGGCTTTAAATCAGTTCAGCACCGGCTGTTGTGGTCACTTGGGGAGTGAATCATTGGATGGAAGATCTTCCTTTCTTTCTCTCCTCCTCTCTATATATCTGACTTTGTAATAAAAATAAAATAAATCTTTTTTTTTTTAAAAAGAAACTGTTTATCAAATAAAACTATTTTGTGGTCAGTATAGGGGCTGAACACACTAATTTCCATCCTTGTAGTGCCAGTATCCCATATGGGTACCAATTCTAGTCTTCCCTTTGGATCCAGCTGTCTGTCTATGTCTTGGAAAAGCAGCAAAGGAAGGATCAATGTCTTGATATTTTAAACCTGTGTGGGAGACCCAGAAGAAGCTCCTGGTTACTGGGTTCAGACCGGCTCAGCATCAGCCATTGTGGCCTATGTGATTAACTCAGTCGATGGAAACTCTTTCTCTTTCTTTCCCTCTCTAAATTTGCCTTTCAAGTAAAATAGATAAATCTTTAAAAATAGAGTAATAAAAGATAAAACAATTAAGTTGAACATATAAGGGATTAATTATGCTGCATAGAATTGATAGTCATTATAGACTGGGGACATTTTTCCGCAACATTGCATTTCCTGAAACTAGTTTAACCAAAGACTGGCAAAGTGTAGACTTTGTTAGGGACTGAATGTATACATTCAAGATTCCTATGTTGTAATCCTAAAGAGCAATGTGAGGATGTTTTCCTTACGCAAGATCATATTGTCAGAATTCTGCCTTGTTATTTAATGATACAATGCCTAATCTACTACAGCTATTTCAGTATAAATGCCTGGCCACGAAGTGCACATTGCCATCAGTGAGGAGACACAAGGAAAGGAAGCAAGCATACCATCCGTCATTGCCTCCCTTCGATGAGGCAATGCTGGTTGTTGGTCCATTCTTCCTCCCTTGTGTTTTTTAGTGGGCCTAGGCCTCTGACTTTGACTCACAGCTGCACTCGTATTACTGTCTGTAGAAAATGGGCTGGTGGGTCGAGGTCTTTGAGAGGAGGTAAAGGCCTTTCCTAAAATGGAAATAAAGGGAAGGGGTTACAGAGAATGTCATTATAATACACTGGTTGTGTCTGAAGCTTTTGCTCTTACTAAGACTAACCTGTAAGCCTGCCTAGAGGTGACAACTGAAGATATCAAATTGTCAAATAATTGTGTATCTGTGTAAATATAGAGCCTCAACTGTATGTTATTTTGTTTAGTTTTCAATAAGCTAGATAACACCCATTTATCAAAAAAAATTTCAAAACAGTCAATGTAAAACAAAACTTCCAATAACAGCCTAAACACTTACCTAGAGCTTTACTTAACATTGACAATCCTAGTGACGTTTTTGTGGACTTCTATATTACTTATTAAAACTAAAGAAGAAATTTCTGAAGTATATCGCTTACTGTGTTAAATTAATCAAGTTTTACCTTGAAATTTTGCAAATTTTCTCTGAGCATTGGATAAAGAGCTGATAGTAATTACAACTGAAAGTTTACAAGGAAAGTCTGCTCAGACAATATATTAAATCAACTTACATAATGAAATTCACCATTTCTTAAAAAGATACTCAATTACATTATAGCAGGATGAAATAACCTGTATATTCAAAATGCAGGTTTATTCTGATGAATACTGCATTTAAAATTTCTCCAAAATCTGAATATAAAACATAATATGATTTTTAGCTGTATGTAGTTATCCAGGGAAATTTTATTCTGAGAAAAAGTCAGCTAATAAAATTTAACAAAATTATGAGTTTAGTATTTAATGTGGTAAGAGAGGCTTGGTTTATGTGTGTGTGTGTTTATTTCATTTTATTTCCTTTGCTTTCATACAAATTATCATATGTAGTTACATTTTCCTATGTCAGTGTTATCCGATGAAGCTTAATGATGATCAATATACATTTAAGAAATGCATTTATATTTTAAAATTTATTATTTACTTGCACTTTCTTACTGCTCTGTTTACAGCTAAGCCACAAAAAGCAATATAAAGTTACTGACTTATGCCTTTTAAAGCAAGAAAATTCAAAAAACATTATATTACAACATATTTTAGTTTGGATGCTATATGAAAAATAAACCTTTGCAATGCTTGGGAAATCTCTTTCCATGTGAAGACACCTAATGTAACATTAAAAAGAAATATTGATGCTATGATCCAAATGAAATTTCTAAGACTCATTTTTACAACCTGAGAGTTTAGGGAAGGGTCAAAATCATTTTTCTTTATTTACCACTTAAACACTGTTAAGATCTCAAAAAAGCACTAAATATTTCATTAGCTTGTTTTATAAGGTAGCTTAGTTCATCTCAGAAACTTCCTGTGTGGACAGTTAAAATACTCTCACAACTATAAGAGCAAGTATCATGCCAAACTTAATATATTTTAGCAAAACAAATAATAACAAATTACTGAGCAGTGCATGAAAAAAGGTATAGACTTTTATATTATGGCTTATTACTCTCAGACGTCAAAATTAAATTATTTTAAAGAATAATAAACATCTAATATGCTGTACAAATTGCAAATGCAGTAGGTGTATCTTTAATTAGCATCCTTTAAAATAAATAATAAACTATTATATTAGAATCTTAGTCAAACAATGAATAAGACCATCAGCCACTGGACCCGTTGGAGTGAAGACAGCCTTAGACCCATTCATTGCATGCTGAGAAAGCCTTCCAAGAAAATGCACTTGCAGAAAGAGATGGGGCAAAAGAAGGCAACAAAGGTAAAAGCTGAATAATTTTAATCACTGTGCACATTATTGATTGTGTGAGGATTTTGCAAAGTGTGAGTTATTGAAAACTTAATGGTAATCTTAGTTGCTGCTTTGTCGTAATACAAAAGGAAGCGTATTCTAATTAATTAGCTGAGTTCTGAAGATAAAAGGAAAAGGGGAAGGTGAGTGGTGAATAGGAACCCATTCTTGGCTCTGCAAAATTAGCACCAGAGAAGAAATCTGCTAACAGGGAGTCCAGACAGTGGCCATGCATATTGAAGAAAACCCAGTGTTCAGCTGCACCAAGGAGAAAGAACAAGAGAAAAACAAAGGTGCGTGCCCAATAGAGGAGATTCTGTCATGCACAGAGTGTTGACTTGGGAAGCTACCAACCTGTTCTTGTAAGACTGGTTCCATCCAGCCTAAAACCAGCTTTATCTGCTGCTGCCACCAGTGCTTGTGCAAAACTGCCGCTGGCAAAGATGGAGCCATCTGAGGAGCTACCTACACTAGATCTATGACTAGAAAAGTTACGATCCTCATCGGATGCAGAGCCCCATCCATTTACCATTGAACCTAAAAACAAATGTAGTTGTCTAGTAAGTTTTATATATTGGATATCTCAACTGCTTGTACACACTACACTTAAGAGCAAGCAGGCTGTCTCACCTCCTCGCTTCTTTCTCCAAGTTTCCTCATCAACTCTTTAATTGACTGAAATGATCATCCTTGCTTTAAACACATCTAGTGAAGTATAAAGCCCATATCCCAAGCTAACCCACGAGAATTATGATCATATATTTTCATTTCATATAATACAAGAACACCTATTGAAATAGATTATATGTGTTTAAACCTATCTAGGACTCATTGGAACGGCGTGCATATATCCTGCTTTTATACTGGTTTCTGTAATAATCTCCGTGAAAACCTATATATACATACACAGTATATGCATGTGTCTATTTTAATAGGGCTAGAGTTATTTAAATATTATAAAATAAATTACTTATTAAGTAACAGTGAACATTTGCAAGCAAAATATATAGGCAAAATAAACAAAGTCAAATACACCTAGAAGAAATATTTGACAAAAATTAATGATCATTATGCCTTTTCTTCTTTTTAAGAACTGTAATTTTTCCTTTTAAAATTAATGCATAGCTTTGAAATAACCTTTATGAAGGAGATCAGAAGCATCCATATGACTTTTTCTGCAAGAGGCAGTATGATACTGGAAGAAAGCATTGAAAGCTTTATGTATAAAAAAATACATATAAAAAATATAAAATATAAAAAAAGGGTATCGAGGAAAATACGTTTATCCTTAATTTTGTAGCAAGTCATTTGCAAGATCATATTTTTGCTTAGATGAGAACATACTAGAAACTTAGCAACTTCATGAAATTAATATTGTAGCATTTATTTAAGTTGGAATACCATTAATTCATGACAAAATGATCTACTGCGTATTGCTTATCCTAATTTTGTGAGAAGGGCAAAAAATGTTTACAAAACGCTAACTTAAGATTTCTGTTGAAAGTAAATCTGTATTTATAATAAAGACATACAAGTCAAAAGTTCCAGGGTTCTCCCTCATTCGTTTCCCATTTTAACAGACTATAGTATAGTTATAAGTGCTGCCATGAGGCAGTATTTGTAATTTTAGACAAGGTGTCAAGACACAACATCATGGATCTTGTGCTGTCAAGATACAGAACATCGAAACTGAAGGGGTTAGGACAATCTTAGAAGTTGAATGGGTGTTAAGTGTAACAGAGAAAGATAGAGTTTTGATTTTATTTGCCAAAAGTACAGAGATACATTTATTTTACTTTCCAAACAAATTCCCTTGACACAGACCACTACCACAAGGCGAGATAATGCCAGCCAACTAAACCTCCTCTGAGAGCATCATTTCTAGGTTAATAACCGCACGTCAACACCCAACAGCCCAGAATGAAGGAAGAAATGAGGCAGTAACCCTCACAGTACAGCGCCGCAGTGTATGAGGAAATCAAAGCGATTCAGTGAAGAGTCATAAAGGACTATGAGACCCTAGCCCTGAGGACGGTGTTGAAACATGGCATGCTCAGCTTCACTCTCCTCCATATGCTCTTTTCTTTGTCAATGACTACTCCTGTTCCTCCAACAAGCATCTCTTTATGCCTAATCTCCAATTTTATTCTTAAATTCCTATATGATTTCTTTCTCTTTTATTTTCTAAATTCTCAGTCAGAATCACTTAATCACATTTGTTCCTCTGTTTAAAACCTTCCCTAGCTTGCCAAGTCACTGTTCAAAGTCCCAGTTAGGTGAGTGGAGTGCTCAAGCATCTAATTTAGCAGTTGCATGAACAGTTAGTCTAATCTCCTTGCACCACCCAGACAACAGCAGCTCACACTCCTTGGAGACGCTTGTACGACTACCAACTCCCTTAGCAACTTCCAGTCACTAACATGTAAATGAAAAACATCATCTTTACCACCGCAATTTTCCCTCACCTTCAGCTTCATCTTGGGAGAGTCAATCTTTTTTTCTTCATCTTCTAAACAGAATACAGTAACTTATGTATTTGTCCCTCTTTGTATAAAACTTTGTTGCATTTATACAGTGACTCTTCTAGACAGTGCAATTTAGTGGTTTAGGAGCTGAACTATCATTCATTTTTATATTTCTTATACAAAGACATTGCATAGTAGATGCCTAATCAATAATGCTCATATTGAATTAGGTGTCTGAAATATTTTCCTTATTCACTGTAAATTTTATGTGTGATTCGTTTTGATGTATAACTTCCTAGCAAGGACCTTATTTTAGTTACAGGAAGGCTGTCCTCATAAAAATCCCCAGAAAATTATTTAAAAAAAGAATACAATGTTAGTTAATTATTGGTTATTTGGACAAAAAGAAAATCAATGATGTAAGTATCCAAAAAGAGGGTGAAAACAATCATAATACAGTAGCATGGAATTGAATTATATATTGAAATATAGCTTATATAATAAGTACAGATGGGGCCCGGCGCGGTGGCACAAGTGGTTAAAGGTCCTCGCCTTGCACGCCCGGGATCCCATATGGGCGCCGGTTCTAATCCCGGCAGCCCCGCTTCCCTTCCAGCTCCCTGCCTGTGGCCTGGGAAAGCAGTCAAGGACGGCCCAAAGCCTTGGGAACCTGCACCTGCGTGGGAGACCTGGAAGAGGCTCCTGGCTTGGGATCGGCATAGTATCGACCCGTTGTGCTCACTTGGGGAGTGAATCATCGGACGGAAGATCTTCCTCTCTGTCTCTCCTCTCTGTATAATCCGCCTTTCCAATGAAAAAAATAATAAAAAATAAATCTTTAAAAATAAGTACAGATGATGTATACCTTGATTATGCTTTAATAATTTGGATCATTGCATTTAGCTATGTCTTGTCCATGACAACGAATGCGCAGTAGGTGGCAATAGAATATTCGCGATATTTGTGATTTTTTTTTCCCCTAAAGAAATGCCATCTTGTAGGATCTCCTAAGAAAGAATTAGTCTCACTTTCCCCCAAATATGCTGCTTATCTCCCTATGATACTGTGTCCTTCACCTGAGGATTTCCACACGCAGTTGTCATATTGTAAATCAGATTAGGCTCCGTCTGTGTCTTTGATCTTTCAGACAACACTTCACCATTGTTGCCGGGACCACAGATACTCTTTCCACTCTTCACGTGCTCCCTGATGCTTTGTTCTCCTCTTCTGGGAAGGGAGCAAAGATACAAGACAGATGACCTGTGTGTGGAAGAGATATGTATCGAGGATTCTTGGCCACAGCATGCAGCGGCAAATCTGGGACCTCCAAGTAAGGGGAAGACAGTGTCTCCTTAAGGGGAATTGTCTTCATTGTCCAGACAGAAGGCAAGGAACACAGACAGAGAGAAACACCTATTCTATCTATCCCACTTTCTCTTTCTGCTCCTATATCTTGCATCTTCCAAATCACTCCCTCTTCATTTGGCTAAGGGATAAAGCACAGGTACATTATTGGGGAATACATAAAAAGAATATGGATACATTTCATAAACAGAGAAACAACATATAACCTTCCTTCAAGCTGGTATAACTTATTTCAAATTTTCTGAGTTAGGGTGCCAAACACATTTCTTTTTTTTTTTTTAATCATGAACAATAATTCGAAAATTTTGGTAGGCCAATAAGTAATAGGCAATAATTTTTAAAAAAGAAAAAAAAAAGTTAAGCCACAAGCCATTTGTGCTCATTGGCTGCCTTTCATAAATATAAACACAACACAAAAGTGAAAAAGGAATTGCAGGCAAAAGCAGCTCAGCTAGAGGCTTTAGAAATTATTCATAAGGCACATCCTTCAGACAAGTTATAGCTCTGAGCACACTCAATACGTATTTAAACATTTAATGAAAAATGCATTTATGTCATATAGTCAAATTTATTTATGTTTCAATGCTTAATGTTTCCAAAATTCTCAGGTTTAAAATTGCCATAAGGACAAAACCGATCTAAATTTATTCAAGCTGTTAAAGAACTGCACACAAGACATTAAGTTGTTGTGGAAATGTTACTGAGCAGTAAAAGAGCATGATGAAGTGGCATCTTGCTGTGTCTCTATTACATCTTCAGCACTAAAATTAATGTATGATCAGTCATCAATTCATTTACATGTCATTTATGCTAAATCCTTCCTTGCTGATGAATGCTGATCCTTAGATCCATTAAGCCTGGGCTTTACAATATGACCCTGCTAATTGCTGCATTACCATTTTTATGAGATACAAAAACTAGCTGTCCCCCAATTTTTTCAGCCAATATTTAATCTAGGAAACCTTCTTATTCAGTGCTATTTATCTAACCACCTGTTAAGTACAATCTGCAACTAAAAATGCCTTCGGACAAATCAATCTAAATATTGACCTCTGTGTAGGTGTAGAAAAACTTTCCCAATCTGTAAGATTAGAACTCTTTCAATCAAAAATATTGACTCTGCAGCCCTTCTACTCATAGTTCTCAGAGAAAAAGGCAAATAGACATAGTAAAGCATAAACGAAGTCTTTCTGATATTTGATGCCTCTCGACTTACTTCACTCAGAAGAAACACAGATATTCCCCTTTTTATGTAGACCAATTTGAACTATCTGCTTACTTTTAATTTCTTCTTTTTTAAAGATTTATTCATTTATATTACAAAGTCAGATATACAAAGAGGAGAGACAGAGAGGAAGATCTTCCATCCGATGATTCACTCCCCAAGTGACCAGAACGGCCGGTGCTGTGCCAATCTGAAGCCAGGAGCCAGGAACCTCTTCCGGGTCTCCCACGCGGGTGCAAGCTCCCAAGGCTTTGGGCTGTCCTTGACTGCTTTCCCAGGCCACCAGCAGGGAGCTGGATGGGAAGTGGAGCTGCCGGAATAGAACCGGGGTCCATATGGGATCCCTGCGCATTCAAGGCGAGGACTTTAGCCACTAGGCCACGCAGCCGGGCCCTAATTTCTTCTTAAAGACACAATTGAGATAGTCCTAGAAATGATTAAATCATCTTAGCATCATCCTTGAAATTTCCCTTATTAATTAGATGCTTGCACAGAAGCAAAGTTTCACGTCTTGTTTTGGGTTTTTTTTTTTTTTTTTCCTTTTTGGTGTGGAAGGCTCCGACTTAGGGCTGTCTAAGGCAGTGGTAGGATTGCCAAGTTTTACTGTTTTCAGGCTGTTGTGGTGTGGGAGTCCAGTAAGACCTCTGAACACATAAAGTAGATAATATTGCAGCCATGATTTCCTTTCTGCTGTGGTGTTCACGTGGGATCTGGCAGTCAAGGGAACTTTGATTCGTTTCACTTGGCAGCAATTATTCTCAGCCTCACCTCTGTGATCGTTGAGGCAGCGAGGATTCTGAGCAAGTGGCTAGTGCGTGCATCCCCTGCCCTCTCTCTTCTTGCCTTCTGTGTTCTTTTTCCTGGTGGTGTCATTACTTTCAGCAAACACTTACCCTTGACTCCCACCATGGACGGTACAGCAAGAATTATTGACTATTTTCTCCTCCCTTTTTTTCCCTAAGACTGTGTGCCTGGCATTTAGAAAGAAACATGTCAAGCACAATGGGAAGACTGAAATAATTTTCTAGGTTGGATTTCTGGCCCCAAACGGAATGTGCTATGCTGTGACAAAAACATTTAGGTAGTCTATTAGAATCAAATAGGTGTCCATTGTTAGGGTAGCTTAAAATAAAGACGCTTGAAAAAATGAGACTTAATGCTAAAAGTGCTAACAGAGTAGAATTTTGTTAACCTAGATCACCATAACTGAACATAGAACTAAATATGAAGGAATTGATAAAAGTCACAGCTAAAAAATTAATACTTATATCTTCATTAATTTCAAAGTGGATATGACTACTATTTTCAGAAATGAATTATATACTGTGTTGACATAAATATGTATTTCTCATTTGTATTGATGCATACAGATTCATATTTTGAATAACAGACCAGATTACTTTATCATTAAAAGCACTAGTTCCAGAGATTGTTAAGAAAGGCGGGCACTTCTGGGCAGAAGTCATAATAATTTATTGTTAGAATGCAATTAATTGTCTCTCCTTCTCTCTTTACCTCTGCTTTTCAAATAAAAATAAATCTTTTAAAAATGGGGGGAGAAGTAGGCTAAGCTTCTGTCTGTGGCGCCAGCGTCCCTGTGGGTGCTCCACTTCTGATCCTGCTACTGGCCTGGGAAGGCAGCAGAGGATGGCCCATGTCTTGGGCCCCAGCAGGTGGGTAGACCTGGAGGAAACTCCAGCCTCCTGGCTGCAGATTTCCTCAGCTCTTCTACTTGCAGTCACTTGGGGGGAGTAAACCAGTGGAGGGAAAACCTCTCTCTGTAACTTTAGTTTTCAAGCACAAATAAATCTTTCAAAACAGATTATGATATGAATTAATTAATTAATTAATTAATTAATTAATTTTATAGTGCTTCTGTTTTGTTCTGATAAGTATCTTAAATAGACTTTTAAACTTCTTTGTGACAAAATTCCTTTATCTACAATATGAGAGTGATCACAGGAGTAGCATTTTGAGAATTAAATCAGTTTAATATGTTGGAAGAAGGGTTAGAAAACTTTTGGATAAAGTGCCAGAAGTTAATATTTTAGATTTTGCCATCTCTATCATTAATTCCTTGTTTTTGTTTTCCAAGAAACATTTAAAGATTAAAAATATATACTTATTTTTATCATACTAGGCTACACTGCCTAGAAGGGAGATACACAATAAGCAGGAACTATTTGTTTTCTAGCTATTTCTATTTTGCCATTATGATTATTATTACTACTATTATTACTATTATTACTAAATTTCTTGCCATTTCAATGGGATTAAATGCATAATGTAGTATATTTGTAAGTACATATTTTTGCTCATTGAGTTTATAAGATACTGAACTACTGATACTTTCCTATCTTGTTTTTTTTTCATTCATGAGCCATTGTTTCACAATTTAGTAAGTTCTTTACAAATTGTTTAAGTGGTACAGAAGCATGTGTAATGAATGTGCTTACATATTTATTAAAGCGTGCTCTTTAAAGTGTTGATTGTTGCCATCTAATCTGGCAGCTGTGGAGTACAGCATAGACAAGCAGAGCCCTATATACTCTAGAGACAGGCTTATGAGGTCTTCCCCATGTCATTTATCATCTGTCATTCTGGTGGGCTTTGGAGCTTCAGGAAATGGACTATATCTGTCATTTCCATCTAGTAAAGTGGCCATGAGTTTAACAAAAATGTAAATACATACCAGGAAATTCCAAGTGGAAATAATGACAATTTACTCATACTGCCAACAAATTTAAAAATCAAAGGAACCTTTTGGTCAGATCAGAATCCTCTCCATGGGAAAAGATCACATTAAAACCAAAGCCAAGTGGAATAGTGTCTGCTTGAATGTCAACTGCATTCAGTAATGTGGATCAGCCCAACTACGCTTTGTTACACAGACACCTGCATACACCTACTCCCCACATATACATACAACCTTACCTATAATGATACACATATAACCCCTATTCAAAATTTCTACAGTATATACAGGGTCATACCCATTACATGCTTACACTCACACTCCCTGTATACAAATACACACAGATACATATACTGTCTACATACACAACACTCTCCAGGCTTAAACATCACCAAATGCTGAAAATCTACCTACACTCACACACATATGCACAAACACACATACCTGACACACACAATACCCCTATGTAGCCTGGCATTTCCTACGTACATCTCCCCATATACACCTACCCTAGAAAGCAAACTAAGTCTTTGATCACATCTTCTCACTAAGTTATTGATGCATGGAAAGAAAAAAAAAGATGTTTTCATTTGATTACTTTTGCACAGTATACAATTCTCTAAGGAGATGTATTATTCATTGGAAAAAAAGACACTGTATAATATATATCTAAACACTGAGTGTTTTATATATGGTAGTAATTAAGCAGTGTATTCAAATAAGAAATAGACTTTGCTATCTTAGCAATAAAAGAGCTTCATTTGGGATGAACATTACAATAGCTATGGAAGAAATGTAGATTAGACAGCCTAACATGTTACTAACATGGGGGCATGCAAATATGCAAAATAGGCAATCTCCTAATTTATACACAAATATGTTACCATTGATAACATAATAGTTATTGAAGGCATTACATAGGCTATAGCTGATATTTATTTTTTCTTTTTAGTATTAGTGCAATTCTTTACTGCATTTGTAATGAAAAAAGAGTTCAGTACCATTAGTGAAATATGCAAAAGGATGCATAATTTTACCCTGAAGGAAATTATGCTAGAAACTGAGGCAAAAGGCACTTAACAGAGTGGTGCACTAATAAGTCAGTTTTCTGCTTTTAACAATTTAACTTTTGCTCTGTCATCTTCAGATAGATCTGCGTTTCAAATCATAACAGCATATCTGCAGTCTTAAAGTCTTAATTAGTATGGCAAGTACACCAGTCTCCAGGGAAAGATTTAACTGAAAAGTGGTTTTCTGCATCACACCTTGGGTAATTCAGGAAGGAATGCAGAGCAAAATGTTAGGTGCTCACGCTTTTTCATTCTTATCATAAAGCAGATAATCGAGTTTACATAACTTACAAGCAGCGTAAAACACATCAAAGCAATGGAATTGCAAGCACACAAATAAACAGACTATAATAAAAATATACCCTTCAAAGTATATATACATATAGTGGTCTTCAGGGAAGATAACAGTGAAATAACAACGTCTGACTTCAGGTTTTGGTAGCTCTGTCTTTTTTGTCACATAAGAGGCAACTTTGTTCTATGCCAAATAATAGACACTTGGTTGAACAGAAAGACCCAATTTTAACCGTCCTTTGTGGTTGCAGACATTTGGGGTTTAGACTTCCTAATAAAATTTTATGCATTTGAATCTCTGAGCATAGGACATGCATCCATCATGCCTCGTGAAAGTACCAACTGAAGCTGGGTGTTTGGTGAAGAAGGCAAGAAGAAACAAAATAATCAATAGTAAAAATAACTGCATTTTTTAGGAGAAGATCAGTTACTGCATCCAGCAAAAAAAATCTGGTTTATCTCACATTCTCTCAAAGATAAGAGCTTATATAACCTTACAGAGGCTTATTCTAAAGATTGGCTTATTCTCATCAGTCAACGACTTTACAGAGGAAAACATCAAGAAGCACTTTAAGATTGCATTGACTTTATATGTTGCTCTTGATATACAAAATATAATCGTTTCTAAAAGTCAAGGCTTTTTTCTAATGTAATATACTTAGTTCCCTAGTAGAGTCAACTCTTCATGAAAGCCCTGGATATAATTGAGTTTTCTTTCATGTCTCTAAAGCTTTTTAAAATTCATGAATTTTCTTATCATTTTTGCAGCAAAGCAAAAGTATTTCCAAATCCTTTTTGAATTTTGTGCTTAATATTAACATATTTAAAATGTTTCAGAAATAGAGTGCAAAAAAAAAAAACTTCACATAAGAAAGTATTGGATATCCAATGCACTTTAATGTTGCAAATAGGTCAGTTATTCCTATTAAATCTGCTGCATTACCTGTCACAGAGCTGTCCAGATTGTCCATACTGGATCCCGGTGTCTGGTCTAGTGCTCTCAGTGGCCTGGGGATTTCTAAAGCTTCCTCTTCATCATCAGCATCATCATCTGGAACATCTGTTTCCAAGTCAGACATCAGGGCTCCAGACACATAACCTAATGGTGGAACAGGGGGCTGCGGAGGTTGATTATTGCTTTGAATGTGCCTAGGATTCAAGGAAAAAAAAATTCCATTAACCTTCAGCAGGACCAATTAGAATCGAATGCCATGCTTTGGTAACTAATACTGTCTTCATTCTCTCCATTGACTAATTCTAGAATTTGCCGTGCTTACACTTCTGCAGACAATGGGCTATGGACACCTGCCTCAACAAATAACAGCCCTGCAATGAAAATGGATAAATCCTCCTAGTGGTGGTAAATAGGAGAACAAAATTACAGACCCAGCATTTGGGCATAAAAATAAGCACTTTAAAGGGACATAGGAGAGAGAGAGAGAGAGAGAGAGAGAGATTTCTCAGAAATAACTATTCAAAAATAACAATTTTCTCCAAAAATAATATTTTTCTCCCATGTTATCACTAAAGTTCAACTCAGCCGGAATAACCTGTGAAATCTACAAGTCGTCATTAAACAAAAGATGGCACCTGGAGACCTAAACCCTCAAGCCCTCAACCTTCAGCACCTTCCCGTTCCACCAGGCTTTCTTGCTGCACAATCTGCTGCCGTTGAGACAACTGGTTGCTCCCACCAGCACTCTATTCAGAGTGGACACAGCAACTCAGTGTTCCAGTTACTGATTTGCACATCAGTCTGACTTACCCAAGTCTCCTTAAATTTGTCAAAGTCATAGCCATTCATTCCATCTTGGCAATGAAGGAACAACTCTAAATAACTAATACCAACTTTATGTAGTTTACCCAGCATGTGATATCAAGACTCGCAGATTTATTTTAAAATAGGGCTTAAGCTTAATAAATAAAACATGCCTGCATTGAAATGAGTGAGGTTGAAACTAAAATAGCATGCTTCAAAAATGGGGCTAACAAGATGTCATTCATTCCGAAAGTAATAGGAAATTCTTCTAAACCACAGAATGCTCAGCGAGTGCAATTTAATTCTTATTGTCAATAGAGTGAATATTTTATAATCTTTAACACGTTATGTCTTTTCTTTGCCTGAATACATAATGGTTGATCCTTAATATTGAAGGAATAAATACATAAATATTTCACAAATTTTCTGGCTTCTAAAGACAAATGAAATTATGCTTCATTTTCATTTGCAGTGATCTTGGAAAACAGTTCATTATTCTAGAATTGTTTCACTATTTCCCTTCCAATTGCATTCTTAAAGTTGTCTTTAATTCAAAATTTATCACTATTCTAGATCTTCCAATGTTAAAAAAAAATGACAAAGTTTAGTTTGTCAAGCTACCTCAATATCATCAGATACAAATCCTTAGCAAAATATGTCAAGAATTTGAGGTTTCATATTACTATGGTTTGAATTCATCACAGCCCATTGAACAAAAAGAATAAACTATAAGTTTGCTATCTACAGTTATAGAAAATTTGAGTTTTGAGGAACACATCTAGCTATTAGTGCTGACTCAAATTCTGCTAGAGAATTCTAGACAAAGTGAGACAACTGATGAGCAAAAGCATCTTAGTTGATAATCATATATAGGATTCATTGTCTTCTAATGGTAGGATCAATGATACTGGGAAGACAGAACAGGTTAACATCCCAGTCTTACTTCACTGCTAACACCCTTAATGTTATGACAAGTACACTCCATGAGATATTCACAACTAGGAGGAAAGCTAAAACACAGGAAGAGGGTTATGCTATTTATGAATATCTTCTGTTTACAGGCACTGTGCTATGCACATTGTATAACAATTTGAATAAAATTTTAGGAGGTGGATCTTACAAATCATTTTTTAAAGTTTTTAAAATTTGTTGACCTGTAAACCTGATGGAAAGGTACTTGCAAACTAGAGGAATGAGATTTTGTGTGAGCCCCATGTGACTCAAAATTCCCACATATGCAGTGAGATTTGGCATTCTGGAAGACTGTTGGAATGACCAAGAACCTAGTGGATCTATGAATGCTCCCAGTCAATAAAGGATTAGTTTGAAGAGCTTGCGTTTTCTTTTTTCTTTTCTTTCTTTCTTTCTTTTTCTTAAGCAAATATCCATCATAGAGTAATCAAACCTTTCCACATGTACAAAGTCAAAACTCTATAACTCATGAGTACACTCAAGCCTTTCTGAAAAGTAACAGCTAAAATGAATATTTTACTAAGTATTATACAAGTAGAAACTCTTACATAAACTATGATATGTAGGCAAGAATTTAATCTTCACCCAAGAGCTGCTAAGCCTTTGCCATGCACTACTGGAAAGCCATCTCTAAGCCTTTGGAATGTATTGTAAGTGTGTTGTAGGGCATACTTTCATGCCTGTCTTTGAATATCTGCAGGGCTAGGTTTACTCTAGAAACTCAAACAAGATTTTGTTTTTAATGCAGGAGCTTTGAGTCACATGGCATTACTTCTGCAGTGGCTGAAGATTAAAGTCAACTTTCTGGATAGTTAACATGTGACCGAACCAAGATAAAATCTCTGGACTTTTGAGAGTATGTAAAATTCTCTGGCATATATCATGCAAAGTGACCAGGACTCCCACTGAGGGTAGAAAGCTGGAAACTGTCTTTGGATGTTTCCTAGACTCTTGTTCATGCATGTTTTCTCTTAGATGCCTTTAACTATTTCTTTCCTTTGACTGCAACTAGTCCTTCCGGATGAGTATTCACCTCATTGCAAAATGTAGCTAAAATGAATAGCCAAAGAGCTAGAATTTGTGCTTTAAATGAATAAAATGCTTGGCTTCTTTAATGAATTTGAAGAGAGAGTCATGGCACTTCACAGCAATGTTTAAAAAGAATAAGCTGGATGCAAAATAATATTATTTAACAATAAGTTCTCAATGTCTATGTGAAAGCACTTGATAATGTTAAGGAAAATTTTTAGAAACTTCTAATCCTAAGAAAATGGCCTATTTGTAACAAGCTTTAAGTGATGTTTCTGGGTTTGGAAGTGTTCGAATAGTTTTTTTTTTTTATTATTACAGATTGCTTTTAAACTAAAACTATTATTCTAAAATAAATTTTAAATGGTTAACTAACATTGAGAATAAGAATTATGGCATTATCAACTCAATATCAACTCAAATATAAATCTCTCATTATCAACTCATATATGTATTTTCTTTCCCTCTCTATGAATGTATAACAAATACTAGTTTTAGAAAATATAGTCTGATTTCAAACACAGGGTATAAATCAAGAGGTGACTGAAATTTCATTTTCAAGTGCCGGGACTCTCAAATATTATTGTTTGCAAGAATGAATAAGAAAATTATCACGTAAGAGAGAAATTATATATCTAATTTGGCTTTCTGCCACATTTTCTCTGGATAGTTAAGTAGATTTGAACCTATGGTTTATGAAAGCTTCTGCAATTACTAGAAAAAAAGGAATGTGGAGTTTTTAATTTATTCTTATTTATGTTTGAGGGCAAGCATTTGCTTTTACTAATACCGTTGGTATTTCTACTGTACACAGTTGAACTCTACAGAATCTTATAAAAACTGACATTGACCCTAAGTAATTTGCAGAAGCTTATCAATTACATATTCACCACCACACACAGAGTAACTGCAGGCACTTTGAAGAAGCTAAAAAGAATCTTTTATTCTGGTTTTGGCAGTAGGCTCAAGGAAAAGCTAATTAAAGTTAAACTGTATTAGTCTTGAAATTCAGCAGATCAGAATTCTTGTTTCGCATCACTCTAACCAGTTATACAAACCTGGTCAAATGATTTAATATCACTGCAGTCAATGTCTTTACGTAACAGATAAAGGAGTCACACAAACGTACTTTACCAGGATATACAGTTCTATAAAAACACTGGTGAATTTGCATGAAGAAACATTTTGTATAACTGAAAGCATACTTCCCTTAATAAGGACTCTTACCATGCTTGCTTTGCTATGTCAAATTGATAGGCTCTTGTCAGCTCGTCCAGGTGGGCCTGCAGCATGGGCTGCATTTCCTCACGTGGGGATGGAGTGAGTGTTGCCGTGGACTGCTGGCCAAAGGAAATAGCAGGAGAAGAGGCCACACCTCGGACCGGAGGGGTTGGGACTCGATCATCATCTTCTTCCAGTTCATCTTCCATACCCTGATGTAGGTATGTTTGTACTGGTAATGGTGGACACCAGCTATCACTGTCATAGCTGAAATTAAGGGAGGAGATCACACATTGGCATCCATGCACCCACCCACAGATGTAAATTATACTGGCAATAAGCAGTAACAACATATATCGTATCTAAAATGTTCTTTCAGTTTATTTCTTCCTATTCAAATTGTTGGTGCTATCCTAGTCAATCACCTCGGTGTTATACTAATTTCTAATTGTAATTAGATCTGTTATCTCAGCTTCACCATTTAGTCTTGAATGATCTTTTTAGCTAATTGTTACCACACAGTTACAAAAGGCAATAACTTCCCAAGGAAGTTGCTCATGTAGAAACACCAAATTGCTAATTAAACAAAATTGATGAATTTAGTGCATATAGATGTAACTACTTCCTTCTCTTGTCCATTCTTATGCACCAGATAGAGAAAGGAAACGTTGGAGGGTTTTCCATATTATTGTTTGAAACCATGACAACTATTTATTTCAAACGACTGACATGTCAGTGAGCAAGAGAACATCAGAAACATATATTCAGTATACCTTTGATTCTCTTAATTTTCTTAGTAAAAAATTAATGTAGCCCTTTATATTAGTATTTGAGTTTACATCAGAAAACAAAAGTCAAATATATTTCATTAAAATGTTTCTAAATGAAAACAACAACCTTCATACTGAAGGGAAACATCTGAAAATATTCTTCAAACAAATATTAATAATTTTAATACAGCATTTAAAAAATCCTTGGCTGGAGAAAGACAGAAAATCACTCCAATTAAACTTGTATACCAATGAATTGATTTTAAAGTGAGTAATAATCACAAATGTAAAAACATAGATTGCTCTAAAATTTCACCTTTTTAAACTGTTTAACGTACTGGAAATCTTAATTTTAAGAAAGGATTCTTTTGCCTAGAAAATTTGTAGCCAATTTTCCTGAATGAATTTTACTGGTTTCAGTCTTTCCCTTCTCAGTCATGGCTACTTGATAATTTTATGTATAAAAACGCTGAGATGATTTCAATAAGACATTGATTTTTCTTCATTCTTTCTATTAAACACAGCTAATCTGACATCTACCTCTTTAGACAGCTTTTGATATATTCCAGAAAGAGTGTTCTGCTGAAAATAAAAGTAGCTTTGTTATCTATTTCTACTTTCTATACATTCATCTACAGAGTCAACTTGTCTTAAATCAGCTGTACTCATCCAATTCTAGATATCCTAATCCTATTAGTCCTTTCACTTAAAGGCAAAAGTCTCAAATCTTTATTTATGAAGATTGCATGAGGAGATTAAACTGTACTGACAGATTACTCTTCCGATCTTCCATGGCACTGTTGTAGCACATTTACCCAGAAACTGATTGCATTTAGATGTAAATTAGTTCCAGTGCTGGATCCCTTAAATGTTGTCCAGTTTATTTTAATAGCTAATTTTTTCCATGTTTACAGTATCTTTTCCTTTAATTATTTAAATATCCTACAGTTGAAACACAGCCTTCCTTCTGCATTGCTAAGACTAATACTTTACAAATCATAGGTAATAAATATATGTATTGATTTGAGGTGAAAGTACGGAAATTGTTTCCTGCATAAGAATACTCAACTAGGCCTAGCTCAATAGGCTAGTGGCTAAGTCCTCGTCTTGCATACGCCAGGATCCCATGTGGGCATTGGTTCATGTCCCAGGCACTCACCTTCTATCCAACTTCCTGCTTGTGGCCTGGGAAAGCAGTTGAGGACAATCTAAAGCCTCTGGATCCTGCACCTGCTTGGGATACCAGGAAAAGTGTCCTGGCTTTGGCTCAACTCAGCTCCTGCCATTCTGGCTATTTGGTGAGTGAACCAGTGATGGAAGATCTTTCTTTCCATCTCTCTTTATATCTGTCAATCTGTCTTTCACCTTCCAATAAAAGTAAATAAATCTTTAAAAAGAAAAAAAATACATGGCTTTCTTTCCTTAGCATATTTATTTGATTTCAAATGCTATATTTTAAGTCAATTACACACAAATATATGAAGGGTTATGATTCAAAAGGACTTTCCATTTTCAGTATGAAATGTGCAGGCTGTTATATTTCACTGATAGCTATGATTAAATTGATTGCTAAATTTGTTACAAAAGATCACAATTTTTGTCCCAGAAATTTAATAAGTACACTTTCCTTACTTATATTGTTGTCATGCTAGAGATACTATATCTTTGAGTGAAAAAAGAACATGTTTATATTTTCAATCATTCAAAAACGTAAAACTGATTACTTCTTAAAATTGTTCTACTCTGTAACTAAGATGAATTTATTTCTAACAATGTAACAGAGATATAAAACTGGAATGAAAAACACAAGAGGATATAAGAAAAATATGTTGTATGCATCATGGAAGAAGGTATCAAAGACAACACTTGGTATTGGTTACACTTCATTTGCTTTTTACTCAAATAATTTCAGGCATTGACGATTCAAGCAATATGAACTTTTTTTTTTACATTATTCTGACACATTGTAGCATATATCATATGCATGGTGGCAGAGTGGGTAAAGCCTCTGCCTGAAGTTAACTTTCCAAACAGGGGCTGGTTCAAGACCTGGGTGCTCCACTTCCAGGCCAACTCAGTGTTAATCTGCTTGGAAAAGCACTTGAGAATAATGAAAGTCCTTTGACTCCTGTACCTACAAGGGGCACCCTGAAAGTTCCTGGCTGCTGACTTAGTCCTGGCTTTGATACTTTCTTTTTTACTCTTTGAGGAGTAAACCAAAAGAGTTCTATTTCTCTGCCTCTGCCAGTCTCCCTGCAACTTCTACTAAGAACTAAAATCCTTTCAAGAAAGAAAAGATGTTGTCACTAACTAATGCATACTTTTTACTTAAAAAAGAAAAGCTAGAACAAGAATAAGAAAACTGTATTCATGTGGGGTTAAAAAAAAAAACCTAAAAAAAAAAAAAACAGAATGTTCTGTGGATTTATCCAAGTAATTTGGACAAAAAGAAGAAAAAATGGAAAGAGAAAAAAAAAACACTAAGAGAAGAATAAAAAGACACAAATGATAGCTGAAATAACTTAGGGTATGGCACATATGATGGAGAAGAATCATGTCTCCACTCACCCCAAGAGACTGAATAGTTAGGTTACATTAAAATTCTACAGAAGGACAAAAAAGATGAGCATAAATTTGACGAAAAACAAGCTCTGCTTTTGTGATTGCCTTTGTATTTACATATAGACATCTTACCGTGTAGTAAAATTTAACTTGTTCTTACAGCAACATAAAAAAAAAAAGACAGAAAATATTGTTAAATGCCAAAGCAAAGGTCTTTGGGCCAACCTTTCCTAGAGAAGCTTGTGTGCTTTGACATTGTCAGGGACCTGAGAGGCATCGTATCATCTGCCTCGCCTGGCAAATAAGGGTAACAATGAAAACAAATCAATGCTACATCTGAACTAAGTTGTTAAAGGGCAGACACAAATATCAAATTACCAATAAAAAAGACAATGAAAGTTCCACACCCACACAAATGGGCTGAGCTCTAATTGCAGGAACAAAGCAAAGCGCCTGTCTTTCATTTAATTAGAATTGAATTCTTCTTAGCATCACATCAGTATAACAAAATACATGATATTAACTAGCTACTAATATAGTTTGACACATTTTTGTCAGACTTAGAGAGACATATTGATGAAAGAAAACACCTATGATTATGACAGTATTACTGAATTTACAATTAAATACTTTCATTTAGATAATAATTTGATATTTGGAATTTCCAGGGGTAAGAATGACCCAAGATGAAGGGATGAAAAGACACTTCTCAAAAAAAAAAATTGGATTGGCTAACAGACATATGAAAAAGTGTTCAGGCTCCCTAGTCATCAGGGAAATGCAAATAAACACTACGTTCAAGTTCCACCTAACTTGGGTGTGAATGGTCTACTTATAAGAAACTACTAACAACAACTTTTGACCAGGATGTGGAGGAAATGGTACCCTACTCCATTGATGGCAGCAGTACACGCTGGCACAGTCACTATGGATGTTAACATATGAGTGCCAAGGCAACTGACAACTGATCCTCCATGTGACCAAGCTATCCCACTTTGGGGAATATACCCAAAGCAGATAAAATCAACAAATGAGAGAGTCACATGCATCCCTATAGCAGCCCAATTCACATTAGTGAAGACATGGAAACAATCTGGATATTCACCAATAGATGAATGAATAAAGAAACTATGCTCTATGGAATACTACTCAGTCATAAAAAAAGAATGAGATTCTACCATTTGCAACAAAATGGTCCCTACTGGAAGCCATCATGCTTAGTGGAATAAGTCAGTCCCAAAATCTCATATGTTGTTTCCGATATAAAACATCCCTTAAGGAAACTACAACATAAATAGATGTAAGTAGCCACAGACAGGCACATAACTCTCACAGATGAACAATATAATGGAGTCTAGAGTACTAGGTAGTAAAGTTACATTATTGTACATGTCTCCACTCCTGAAGAAAGAAGCAATCATGTGATGAGACACATAAATATAACACAGATAGATATATTCTACCTCTACTTATGCCTAGCACATCACGATTAAAAACCAGAAATTAAAGCCAGAAAGTTTCACAATTACAATTAAAAACCAGAAAGTTAATTTTGGAACATATACCAAGGGACTATGCTGTTGTAATCATTTGGAAAATAATAGCTGATAGGGATGGAAGGAAGCAAGAGGAGGGAGAGTGAAAAATACCCTATAATTGCAACACTGTATCATGGATAATTAATTAATTAGTTAGTTAAATATTTACAAAAGGAATGGCCCAAGAACATCTCAAACAATAAACTTTTAAGAACAGCACTAATGCAATAACAAAAAACTAAAGGCAATCCTTCCAGGATTATGATTATTCTCACCTTGGGAATGTCTTAAACCTTCCCCTTTCCCTTCATTCTGGTACCAATTTTCATTGTTATGGTGCTGGTGACTTTGCTACAACAATTCACCTGCACCAAGGATCAGGCACTCCAATAGAACATCTGTATTTAAACATCATAATCCTTCAACAGCACACAACTGACTCAAAGACACTCTGACTTATAATGTCTACTCTGTCAAGGTTTAGAGCTCAGCAAACATTCAGATCAAACCAATGCTGAAGGAAAAAGGCAAATAATTCAAATGCAATCAGGTATCTTTAAGGAGTAGCGAAACATGAAGAAAATGTGAAGAACCTTAACGAAAATAGCGTGCTGCTTCTATTCCAAACATGGAGCATACTATCAAACAGCTCTCTGTCAGGTCATGTTAAAAAGCACATAGAATCTATATGTCACTATAGAAAGCAAAGCTGCAGGATCTTTAATTTTTAAAAATAATGATTACTACTAGTAAAAATCCTACAGTTCTTGCAATTCTTACATCCAGAAAATAGTAAGGTTAAATTGTGAAGCTTTCAACTTCAAGCATATAAACAGATCATTTACATTCATGACCTCCTTTTCGAAATGTTGCATCCCAACCCTAATCTTTACAAATGATTGTGTTTCATTTTACATTTAAAAATCAATTTGTATCAAAAGAAATCTTACCAACACATATTATTTCATTTATGAAATTACTGCCTCTGCTTATCCTGCTGGGTACCAAAATCAACTGGGAGGTATAAAAATTTGCTTTAATTCAAGTCAATAGAGGGAAGAGAGTATCCCCATTATACGCGACTTGCATCTTGTTCCAGGCTTGACAGTTGCATAGATTTAAGAAACACTACTTTCTCTTCCCCTTTTTGCAAGCCTATTTTTCCATTCTTACTTTATTTTTTTAAATTCTGAATTCTAACACTGTACTAAGCTTACCTTGTGGAATGTGCATTTCTGATTTTTCTTTGTTCAGTATGTACATGAGACAACTTTGCACCATAAAGTAGGATCATGACATAAAGGAAGATAAGATATATGTTTCTAAATGTGTTTTAAGCTCAGAGAAATTAGTCTCCCATTTCAAACTTTTGCACACTGTAACCTAATTATTTTTTATAATATGCATATACACACTATGTTACCAGGGGAAAATTGTACATTAGGAGAAAGAAAAACCATGGAAAAACGATGTACTTGCTTATTTGCATACAATGTGTGTATTTATTCCTGTTTGTTGATATGTTTATCTCGGTAAAATGCATGTTACATATAGTATATGCGAGGGTTCTTTTAGAAGTTTGTGGACACAATGAAATTAAGGTTAAGTATATTTTGGTGCCAAAATATTTTTGAACTCCACAAACAGTATTTTTTTTATATATCACACATTCTCAAGGGAACGTTGGAAGACCTCATGTAGGCATGGATTTCAAAATTGATTTTAACAAGTTTGTCTTGATTTTATTTTCCAAGAATTTTCTCAAGCGCCCCTGCACGTGCACTTGTGTGTGCATGTGTGTGAAACGTTGCAGAAAAAAACACAAATGACATATTGGGAAGTGAGCATGTAAAGAGTTAGAGTGTGGAAAATCATTTTGGAGACTTCAAGTATGCAATACAGAGAGGGAAATTTTCAAAAATGACCACATATGTGTTATATTTACTTGAATTGAGACAACAAAAAAAGTACTACCCAAATAAACAGAAATTTTAATTCTTAAGCATTTGTGAGGGAAAACCAAGTGAAAATTAAATGGCATTTATTTTGTACTTTAAGATTCACGAAAGGATTGTCAAGATATCGACCTGGAGAAGGAAAGAATGGCAAAATAGAAGAAGAGATTAAAGATGTTTCTTTTCACTTGCCCTTGCTGTTTTGGAATTAAAGAGCAGAAAAATAGCCGTTTTTTAATCTGTTTAAAATTCAATTAACACTTAAATTTATTAAAGAAAATTAACTTTTGTGAGATGTTTCAGAAAAAAATAAAGATATTAGTCACATTTAAAGGTTCTCAAAGGGCATTTTTCTCACTTAAAAAAGATTTTGTTCCAGGATATACATTGGCTTGAACCTTTTTTTATTGTCCTGGCCCTTAAATTCCCATCAGAGCTGATGATTAAAGTTCTACCCACTGCCCAGGTCCCTACAATTATCCCACTGTGATGGGGCTCTTCAGTGGTGCCCTGCTATGGCCAGACATCAAGTCATTAGAGAACGGCAAGGGATGATGAAGGAGGTTATTTTAATTCCCTTTTCAGCCCTTCTCAGGAGTGGCTCTTTAGTTCACAGAGCTGTAGGTACTTCCTTTCAAACTAACAAGCAATATTATAAATGGAGGCTACATTATCATGATTGCAGACAATCTAAAGCACTTGAAGGCCAAGGATTCTCCGTCCTCAGTGTGTGCTGTTTTGTATTTATCAGCTAAATACATACAGGCTGTGCCAACATGAAAGGAGAGAAGAACGCAATGAACAGGGTATGAAGAAATCAAAGAGACAATAAGTGAACACAGGGCAAAAACAAGAAGTGTGCAGCCTTGGCTATTATTCTGTAGGCACAGAGAACATTTTTTTTTACCCATTTTCTTGCTGTTCCACTGCATAGTGTTCCAGTTCTGTGCCAGGAAGGGGCTGAACTGGGGGAGGAGGTAGAGGAACATTGGCCCAGGCAGATCCATTGTTTTTCTGCGGTTTGGAAGAGTTTTTATTTTTCTTCTTTTTTCCACCCTTGCCACCTGAAAGCAATAGTGCATTTATTCAGAGTTGCCAAACATTGGAATAAACAGAGTACATCGGATGGGAGGATGTATTTATGTTTTCACAACACCAGAATCAGTATGTTTGAGTTGAACAATGAAATGATATACTCGAAAAGAAAAAAACATTTTTTAGAAATCACTCACGTTGATATTGTTTCTTTCTCAGGGCATTAACTGGAGGCCTGAATAAACCAAAAATACGGCTTCTGGCTCAAAAGCACATTTATTGATTTACTCGTGTCTGCTGCCTCCACGTTTTCATTGTTAGAGAAAATAATGGTCCATAACCAATTCTTTGAAATGTCAGGTTTTAGCGCATTTATAATGCTCTTTTGCATAATCTCTCTCAGTGGAAAACACAGTGTCTAAGGATACAGCCTAAACGCTTTCATTAGAATTTGCTCAGTGTAATTAATCCAAGAGAGTAACATTTTCCTCTCAAAAGTCACTGAACAAATTAATCAACAATCTTGAGAATACCTGTAAATCTTTCGTGATATGTTTCACAGACTTTTAACTAATGAATGGCAAAATTATTTTCATATATAGTCAGTACAATGACCAGCTCTTTTACGCTTAACTTTTTGTTAAATTTTGAAAAGCAGGAAAGTTAATGGAAGCAATTAATGGTGATCAGCTTCAGTACTGTTTGTGACACAATAGAACTGATGTACAAAAGAGTAGAAATAAAGTCAGCGGCCTCCAAGCCATTTCAGGGAAATATGGGACTTGTGAAATAAAAATAAAATTTATCATGTATACAGCACTGTACATTTTACTCCTCTAAAATTAAGTGGATGATACTTCCTCATAAAAAAGTAGACAACAGTACCAAGTCCTTAATGAATACAAGTGATACATCCGGGAAACATAAGAGATTTCTGCTACTTCCAAAATAGACTACAGCTCTCTTTGCCAGAAAAACAAAACAAAAAACAAAAACTGTATTGGCTTCTTACACTTCAACTTTCTGGAAGTAACACTGTGAGCAGAAAATATTTGTAGGAAGACTTTCAAATCCTATAAAAATCAACGAATTCCACTTAGCCACTTTCTTCAACTATTACTAATCTGTATTCAGCAAATCATGGCCTTACGTGAGTATCAATACTATATTTGAAAGTTACATGTAAAATTGTTTTTCCTAGAGCATGAAAAGATTCATACATATTTTTAAAAACATTCTTGCTAACAAACTACATTCTCTTTTTCTCTCACTTCTTCAGTAGATGCAGAGGTAAAGCGAAAGGACAGAAGATACTTTCTGCTTAAAGAAGGGCTAGAATTTTGCATTTGAAGACAACTCCGCATTTGATATGTGATTCAATGGATGTCACCTTTCATACATGAAAAATATAAAATTAATACTTGTTTGAATTAGTGTGGGAATTCTGAAGTATAATGGTTTATTCAAAATATAAGGAAGGCTCAATCAATGCCACTCATTATTCTTGCTCATGTCTTTTGAAAGGAAAACTCCAAGAATGTAGTTTTCTAAATATTACTCCTTCCCTAACTTGTTCTCTACCTCTATAGCATATTCTAGATCCTGCAGCTCTCAAAATAGCAAACTAAGTTTAATGTAATCCTGTGATATTTCTGCTTCTGTTAATGAAATTAAATGCTTTGCTTCCTAATGACTCATTAAATATCATAAAGAAGGACAAGCAAGCAAATTTCTTCTTATATCATCAGAATAACCTTTCAGTGAGTAAAAGGAATACATTGAACAATCTTAACTTTCTTCCTAATTGTATTTTCTTTACTTCTTGTCTATCTATATGGGCACAATTTTTTTTTCATTAGTCACAGCTCTTTTGGAAATGTTAGATGATCAACACGTCAGTTCAGTGACAAAAATTAGAAAGGGCCTCTCAAAGTTGTTTCCATGCCTTCTGTGGCACACATTAAAAGTCAGACTTGAGAACATCATGCCTCACCGAGAATTACTCTCTGGAACTAGGGAAAATCTTCCCAATTCCAGGAAATCGGTTCATTATCTACACTTTCAAATAACATACTGAAAATGTATTTCCAAACAGGAAATTTGTCATGGCTTTCCAATCAATAGGCAATCCTCCCACCTCCTCACCCCTCTCATTGAATTCTCTCATTGTGGGTACTCTGGGTAGGAGTATGATAGTATAAAACATGCTAGTGGGGCCGGCACTGTGCCATAGTTACTTAAGTCGCCACTTGTGATGCTGATCCTTGGCTTCCCTGCTTCCTCTAATATAGCTCCTTGATCAAGTGTCTAGAAAAGCACAAGATGGCGCCGCTGCAACCACACGGGAGAGCTGGCAGAAGCTCCTGGCCTCTGGATTCAGATTTCCCCAGCCCTAGCTGTTGTGGCCATTTGGAGAGTGAACCACAGTATGGAAGTCCTTTCTGTCAATCTCTCTCTCTCTCTCTCTCTCTCTCTCTCTCTCTCTCTGTAACTGTGCATTTTAAACAAATAAATAGATTTTTAAAAGTTGCTACTACGCTGAGTATTACAGCATAAAGAACTTTGGAATGTTTCAATAACCAAATTAGAGTATAAAAATGTAAGATCATTTAAAAATTTCCTGGGGACATTATGCCAGTTTAATTTCTGTCTCCTCTATGCAGTGACACAGCAGTGAGCTCTTGGCATGCTGGTGAACAGAGGACACAACAGAACCTAATTCTGTTCTTCATTGGAAATCTGAAAACTGAATGAAGTGACTAATCTGATGAAATCATTTGCATTCAACGACATTTCAGCTATTTTATGGTGCTAATTACCTACAGTGTGTGTGGTGCTTTTTCAAATATTTACTGACACATAAAGATCGTTCGTTTATGAAGGACCATGCAATGTTTCATATATGCACATGTTCTGTAACATAGGGAAAACATTAAGAATACTTTTTCTGTTTTTTTTTACTAAAAAAAATTATTGTCATCTATCATTAATTGTGTAAGAGAACACCAGAGGACTTGCATTAGCTAACTATCACTGAGCTCCTCGTTGCCAGCATTTTCTTTCCTCCCCCATTGCTTCATGGGAGTATATTCTGGGTCACTTGGAAAGATACATAAATTCTTTCTCTTACACTCAAAATATAAATATCTGGATTTTGTGTATGACTAACCAAGGAACTGCAAATAAAGTAAATTGGAAAAATAATTTGCTTTAATATTACATATGTAGTCCATTATCTAACAATCTGACGTATTAAAACATAAGTACTCTTGCAGATAATTTTGAAACATGTAAGCTTTCTCCTATATTTTTTAGGGTTTGGATTTGTAACAGTTATGTTTAAATTTAATGTGTTGAGTAAATTACAAAAATGCTTCAAGGAAGTTAAAAATCCAATCAAAAATTCAGAAGTGTACTCATGTATTTATCATTGTGATTACTGGAAACTGGCTACATTGACGTATATATACTAATGAAATCTTACAATGCTTTTGTATAGTTAGGCATAGATGAGATGTACACTAACTGTAAGCCATAGAAAATATATTTTTCACTGTAAGAATAAAACAAAAGGTATAATATTAAACTTTTTTACCAAATTATAAAGAGTGTTATCATTTCCCTCTCAGGTATTGAATAATGATTCCTGACACCAGTTTATTTTTCATCTACATGTAGACGCTAGTGTACAGTCCTAATAATAGTGCTATTGTAAATTCCTATATAGTGCTAATTCATATAATTCATATATATTTATACATGTATCTCAGATTAAGATTCAAAAAAGCAGCAAGTACTATTGCAATCAATGTTCTATTCACAATTAGTCTAAAGTAAACTTAAAACTGTGTGTCAACCAGCACATATGGAATATTTAATGAAAAATGTACAGCTCTTGTGAAACCTATGGCTTACAGCATAAAGTATATTGAATCATTCCTGAGATATTATATCTCTTAAGTAAAATAAAAAGGAGTTAAAGGACAATTTTTTAAAATTTTTTAGAAAAATCATGAAAGCTATTACAAATAAATGACAGCATAAATGACATATAAGGCCATTCAAATTGCTCCCTTTATTATAAACAGAGTTTTAAATTCATGACAGATGTTCACAATTTTCTGCCTTCCAAAATGTATCCAAACCCTACCAATAGTCAGGGAGAGTGAATGACTCATTTTGAAGAGAAAACAGAATAGTAACATTTCAGTCGAAGAGGGTTCTATCTGTTAAGGAAAGTTAATTGAATCACTCTTACCCTAATAATGTAAAAAAAAAAAAAAGTTAATTTCCATGGTTTTGAAGCCTAGTAGCCTGTGTCATACATAACACATTACAATCATTTATTGCTCACTTAAATGAAATAAAAAAGCATGAAACTATTCCAAATAGATTAAATAAACAGGGTATAGATGCGCAGATAAGGTCTCCCACCACACAGTGTGAATGTAATGGGGTGTTAGAGTGAGTCTGTTATGGCGGTCTGGTTTTACAGCAGGGCCTTAGGTAAGGAAGCTACCAGTGACACTCATTACTACAGATAGAAACACATCTTTGTACAGTGTGTTTCTCTCCATATGTGCTTTATAATATGAATGCCATACCGGATCACTTATTTGATAGATTTCAAAGATGCTAGAATTTGCAGCATAAAATACTGGTAAATCTCAATGTTTATATAGATTTCATTGGAAATCAAATATTGATAGCATTTCTCTATTTATATTCCCATATAGTACAGTATAGTCAGTCAAAATCTAAAAAATTCTGTTACATATTTAGGAAAAGATCATCCAAAAATAAAAAGCCATGTTCCTGGGATCCTAATGCCATGAATATCTTGAAATTTACGTTCATTACATTTGAATTAATATGTCACTATCCATTCATGTAAGATGTTATTACAAAAGTCTTGATTCTTAGATTCAAAGCAGATCAGATTGATCTTCTCAATGAACAATATCCTGAAAAATGGATTCATTTTTCCTTAAATATATCCTTGCAGAGTATAATGGGTGCAAGTGTCATGACCTCACCAAAGCATGACTGAATTACCACGGACGTATCATCTTTTTTTTCTGAAAGATAAATGCCTAGCATACACTTGTGATTCTGTACCTCTTCATGATCATTAGCAACACAGGTCATATGCTGGTGACAAACAAATATTTCTCCTTACTGTGATGAAACCAACCTGAAAGACTGCCACTCCTTTCTGAGCTGTTGTGAGAGCTGGTGGTGCTGAAATCCTGTGACTGGTTGTGTGGCATTCTATTAGACAATCCCTCAGCCAATCGGTAGTCAGGGATGTAAAGTAAGGCTAAGGGTTAAAGGGCAGAGGTCATAGCGGTAGTATGTGATTAGTTCACAGCACAAGCCCATGCAGAACATGCAGTTAGCAACTCAGAAGCAGACGTTGGGGAGAGTGGAGGAATGTTTTTGTCTATCCTGTCCTAATGAAAGTAGGGATGGGTCACTAATACTGGAAAGAGCTAAGACGATGGAGCCGATAGGTGTTGCTGTGCGATGGTGGCAGTGGTGGCCGCGGTGGTGGTGGTGGTCGTGGCAGCGGTAGGGATTGTTCAAGGAACTGAATACATGCCAGTTTATGTTTTGGAGTTTAAGAGGTAAACCTGGTCATGAATCACATAGTCAAACAACAAACACTAATTTCTATCCCATGCACAAATGATGTGAAAATACCTCCCCAAGATACAAAAATCTGACCTACCATTGTTACCTTTGTTCTGATCAGGCAGAGAATAACCAAATCCCATCAGATCTGTTTTTTGCTGAATGGAGGCTTTCCATTGTGGATCAGGAAGATCAACAGCCAGTTCATGTATGCTGTTGGAATGCAAGATCTGAGTTGTGGCATATGGTGTGGCCTGGGTTATCTGGCTGGAACTGTTGTAAGTGGTTTTGGTCGTGAAGTCGATGCTGCTATAAATGGCTCCATCTGAGAGCATCGTTGCTGTTTTATCCCCTTGGCTTGGAACTGGTGGCAGCACATCTGTGGTGAACAGAGGGGAATGAAGGAATTTAATGACGCACAGGAAGCCCCACACTATCAGGACTGAGGATGAAAAATAAATGCGTCATTCTGCCCGTTTGCATTTCAGCTGGGAAGGGCTTCATGAGCCAATGAAGGGTAGATGATGTACAACCGTCGCCAAGCTATCGGCTCTGTGACAGGCAAGCCTACTACTCGTCCTTCATGTCTCGCTGCTGAACACAAAGCTTCTCCCATTTTCTCCCACCAGTGATGTAAAGTGTGGGACATTTCATTACTGTAAACCAATTCAGTTATTCATTTTGTTTCAAAACCAACAAAAGTGTTAGCACTTTACAGGAGCATTGATAAGACAGGATCTACAAAACACAGATGAAAGCATCTCTTTTCAAATTTCCCCCAAAAGAAGTGGCATCCAACTGCTGAATAGTTGTAAGACTTTCCAAAACTATACTACTCTGACCACAAATTACATTTATTCTGAAGTTTTAACTTGCTATTTATATGACTTGATTTCATAGTTAGAGATTGGGATAATAACTGATGGTAGATCATGTGGGTTTCCCCCATGGGATAATAAAGGAAATTATTTATGAATAACTCATTTTTCACATTACAGCAGGATTTCACTGTTGTAAAAGCAAATCTCAGTGATCAGTAGTTTAATTTGTGCTACCACTCTAAGAAGTGGAGAGTAATAACTTCACATTGTAATACAGCAAGCACAAAATTAAACTTCAGAAACAACACTGAATGTCAATCAATCCATTACTGTGGTATGTTACACTATGTGGGGCTCAGGGGCAAAAGTGTCTCTAATTCAATAAGATGGCCACTTGCAGTCAAGGTCACTGGGTTACCTGTGGCGAGCAAGATGGAGGCCAAGGACAGAGTCCTCGGCATGAACCAGGGCAGGGGTCACGTTGTTTCAAAGACAGACTGATTGGCCTGGGCCATTTCACTCACGTACCTCTGGCCTATGGGAGGTGGCTTCCGCAGTCATGCTCCTAGTAATTGGCTCCAAATTTCTCCCCTTCTGGAATTCCTGAAATTCCCAGCCTGAGGCTATCCCTTACCCTACATAAGAATCTGAATTTCCCCAATAAATCAGAACTGCTGGACAGAACCCCTGTCCATCTGTTTGTTTTCTGTGCGCCAGAAGGCTGGGTGGCGGGCAGCAGGCTCCACCCTCGGGCATTGGGGTACTAAAGCAATCCGTGGGAGAGACCCTGCAACACTAACTACATGAGACTATTTTTGTTTTCAGCAGCACAGGTGTGCAGTTTTTTTTTTCTTTTTTTTTTTTAATTTCATTTTATGACACCGTTCCATCAGCTCTGGGATTCACCGAACCCCTCCCCAAACCCTCAGACATCTTATTTTCCCTTTTTAGAAACAAAGATGCTAAGTGAATCTAAAAAAGGAAACCACAAGATAACACTGTTTTTAATTTTATAGTGTTAATAATAATAATTATGCATGTTAAAAAACCTCACTTCACAGACTTTAGGTTCCTTAAACTACTTGAGTTCATTATAGAAAATTTTCAGCTTTCTTAAAATTTCTAAACCTGATAATACTCAGTATCATCTGAAATAAGAATTCACATAGAAATATTATTTATGTTTTTATCTGATAAAGTCTGAAATTTATCTTATTTAGAAAATATTGTAAGAAATTCAAAATACATTTCATATGCTGAATAATTTTGATCTTTCTAATTGGTTTGAAATCAAGGATTACAATCTATTTCACTGGGCCTGGCGCCGTGGCCTAGCAGCTAAAGTCCTCGCCTTGAACGTGCCAGGATCCCACCGGACCACCGGTTCTAATCCTGGCAGCTCCTCTTCCCATCCAGCTGCCTGCTTGTGGCCTGGGAACGTAGTCGAGGATGACCCAAAGCCTTGGGACCCTGCAGCCACATAGGAGACCTGGAGGAGGCTCCTGGTTCCCACCTTCAGATTGGCACAGCACTGGCTGTTGTGGTCACTTGGGGAGTGAGTCATCGGATGGAAAATCTTCCTCTCTCTCTCTCTCTCCTCCTCTCTATAAATCCGACTTTGTAATAAAAAAATCAATAAACCTTAAAAAAAATCTATCTCACAATGTGCTCTATTGAAATCAATTTCACTGGTGTATCATTCTAATTACTAAACATACAAAAATTTACAGTATTTCAGCAGATTAAAGGCAGTTGAACTTATGGACTTCAGAATTTCACAACTACATTTTTGCTGATCCTAATTTTAGCTAGAAACTACTCATAAAGTTTGATGTATATTCCATTCTCCAGGGTCTGTATTAATTTTTTTTTAATTCTCAAAACATTTAATATTTACTGTTAAGATAGAACGAAACAGGGTCTGGCTTGATGGTCTAGACGCTGCATTCTTGCCTTGTATGTGCCAGGATCCCATTGTGCCTTGGTTAGTGTCCTTGCTACACTGATTCCTATTCAGCTCCATGTTGGTGCCTGGGAAAGCAGTCAAGGATGGCTCAAGCCATTGGGACCGTGTACCTGCTTGGGAGACCAAGAAGAAGCTCCAGGCTCCTGGCTTCGTATTGACTCAGCTTCAGCCACTGCAGACACTAGTGAACTAGTGGATGGAGGCTCTTTCTCTCTGTCTCCTTCTCTCTATAAATCTAACTCCCCACCCCCCCAAAAGTAAAAATTCTTTTTAAAAAGAAAAGAATGGGAAAAATAAATCCTTCACTCTAGGTAAGTTTTCTGTGCCTTCTTTCTAATATTTCCAACGCTTATTTTGGCAATGAATAAATACTAACTGGAAAAGTTTTTCCAGCATGGAACTCAGTTACAGATAGTTTGAGCTTGGATTTCCAAACCTTTAGATGAAAATTTAAAGATATTTCAGCTGCAAGCTTTTGGGGGAAAAAATGGCTGTGTAATCAAATGATAAGTTATGAAATAAAGTCATCCAAGAGTGTAATTTTACATAGTATGACTCTAAAAAGCCAAAGCTATTGTGGTTCTGGAAGTCAAATCTCTCCCTGCCATTTAAATTATAATCAGTTATAGGCCCAAGTACACTATAATAGTTGGGGGCTATCATTTTTCTGTAACTATTACTTGATCATTTCACATTTTTAGAAAGTAAACTGAATAACATCCAAAAATGGAAGTACTGGAAGATTATGCATGCATATTTAGGTGTGGAATAGAGTCCTATAACATAAAATATGTTGAAATTCTGGGCCATTTTGCCTGCCAAAGGGTGGATCTCACTAAGTGCTTCTCTCTTTAGGCACATCTTTCTGTCTTTCACAGAACTGTCCATCCTTCCTAATGCCTTCTGCTGAATGAGTGCTCCTTGTTAACGTGAGTAATGGAGGCGTTACAGACACACTTGAATCTAGTCAGAAGCACTGACTCATTATGCAGCTGTCAGTTCCTTGGTCATCCTTACACTCATGTGTTTATTTACTTTGTGCTGATACATTTATTTGTGCCTTTATCACTGACCTATAAGTTACTTGAGGCGAGGTGCAAGTGAATTTTAGGCCTGCCTTAATTCCTCATTTATGATCATGGAGACATTTGGCACTTGTTGATGAAGTAATTTTTAATAGTTTTGTTGGAAAATAATGATACACTATTTAATAAATCCATTATTCAAAATACAATTTTAGCTGTATCCAAACATGTATTGGAATTCTAGCCTTTCTAATTTTTTTTTTAATTGGAAAATCAGATACACAGAGACCAGAGACAGAGAGGAAGATCTTCTGTACAATGATTCACTCCCCAAGTGAGCACAACAGCTGGAGCTGACCCAATCTGAAGCCACGAGCTTAGAACATCTTCCAGGTCTCCCATGAGGGTGCAGGGTCCCAAGGCTTTGGGCCATCCTCAACTGCTTTCTCAGGCCACAAGCAGGGAGCTGGAGGGGAAGTGGGGCTGCCAGGATTAGAATTGCTGCTCATATGGGATCCTGGCACATGCAAGGTGAGGACTTTAGCTGCTATGCTACCACACCTGGCTCAGAAGTCTATTCTTAAAGGGAAACTGGGATATCTGGTCTCCTAACTGGATCTGATAATGTCACCCTACATGTTAACCAGTCAGAATGTACACAGGAACATGGCTGTAGAACTCAGAACTGCATTCTGTATCCAGACCTCATATTAATCTTAATAAAATCTAGCTTCCTGATTTATAAAATATGATTATCAATGCCACTCAATATTATGCAAATAAAATCAAGTAAGTCTTACAGACATTCTAACAATATTTCCAGGAAATGCTAAATACTTAAAACTGCCATAACATTGAGAGGAGATACAGTAATCATTTATTCTGGCCTTGATGTTCCTCTGTGAAATATTTCATGTCATGAAACCGATGTGAAACTGTGACACAAAAATTGCAAATGTACAAGAGTTGCCTTAGGTAAAATTAGACGAAGTCAGTTTACATGTTAACATACCCTGCTAAAAATTGAAAATCTTTTTTTCTCCATCTTTAAGTATTTCTTCATCTAAAAATATAGTATCATGTTACTGTGACACAATAGGTCAAAGAAGTAACTCTTCCTTGATTGGCAAAAGCTTTGGGTACAATGGCTTTGAGCAAAATCTAGAGGTGTGGTTGGCATGGGCCATTTCCCTTCTTGATTTTGCTAAAGAATCCCATTTGCTAAAGAAACTCATCACAATAGTATGCCAGCCTAGAAGTGCTCAAAATGTGGTCACCCCAGCAGGCAACCTCTCAGAGTTTCTGGACAAGTGAAAATCCTGAATGAAATGTAGTAGTGTGCAAAGGAAACACAAGTTCAGAGTCATGCAAGTTGCTTTCTAGTTACTCATTTCCTCTATGGCAGATACAGAGCACTGGTTGTATGCTCCACTCCCTGCTAAACCTGTGTAACCTTCCATTTAATCCTCACTATCACCAGTTAGGTAGGCATGGTTGTTGTCTATATTTTATTTAAAGAGGGGGGAATTCCCCTCCATAGATTTGGTCTTCAAACAATGCAGCATTGTGTAGTCATTAGTAACTTCACTATTTGAAATACTATTTTCTGGTACATTTAAATAGCTCGGTAATCCAATCTTAAAGGGAAAATACCAGTACCCATAATTATTTTTCTAAGTCAATATGGTTGTACTCTCAAACATGTGAGATCCATGCCCTGAGCTTTCCTAGAGTCAGGATGCCTTAGAACAGCCGTAATAATCCATAACTCATTTCAGAAAACTCAAGTTCTTTGACATAATTTATCCAATTTTGCTGTGCAACTTAATTAGCATAGCTTTCTTTCCTCTTCATTCTCTATTATCTACTCATTTAGTAACCAATTCTTTAAGAGCTAGACTTCACTCAAGGTAATATTAAGGTTATAGTTTGATATTAAAAATATAGCCAATGTACAGCACTTTAGTAAGTTTGCTTTAAAAATTTCAAATATCAGAGATGACATTCTTTTACACATATATACATATATGTATAAATATATATGTAAATACATATAAATAACATATACACATGTGCAAGATAGAAAATCAAATAAAAAGCATATATACGTATAAACTTATAGATAAAATGATACATAGGTATATGTTATTTCATGTATATATATTATTTATAATTACATATATGTGTAAATCTAGGAAATTAAGCTTTAGCGTTTTAAATAAACATAGCTTACCTCCACGCCCAAAATTTCCAATTTCACTTGGGCCACTATTGCTGTTGTTTACTGGCAAACTTGTGGCTGGCCATGAATCAGCAAGCCATGGATAATTGGGATCACCGGCATTTAGAAGACCTGGACGGCTAAGGCAGAAATTAGAAAGAAGTCAACGTATAAAATCCAACACAAGAGTTTGACACCCGTCTCAGGTACTAAAACAGGTTAAAGAATTTACGGATATTCTAATTAAGTTCAAATTTAAATGTGTAAGCTCCCAAGCAGGAAGAAACTTTGGCAGTTCATTAAAGTTATATATATAGCTCAACCCTGTCAGCAGATGCAGATGTCTTGTTTGGGATTCTGCCGACAGCCAGATGAGTTCAGTTCTCTGCCCTGAAACTGTGTAGCATCCAACAACAAGGTGGGGATGATAAATTGGCAGCCCCAACGGAACAACTGCTTCGAGGGACTGTGCTGCATCAACCAGTTCCAGCACCTTGGATGCCTCCTTCCTTGATTTCTGAACCTCCCCTGTGAGTCTGTTCCCTCTAGGCTGTTATCGTTATTATGAGCCCTCATGGCTAATTTATAGACAACGAACTTGGGGGAAATTAATGGATGTCCACTAAACCGCTCCATCAATAGCACAGTTACAAGTTCTTTATATTGCAAAATACCAGGGGTGTACTAATGGGATTTTTAAAAGGTAATAAAAGATCTACTGTGAGCAGATCCCACACATGAGCAAACCCATAAGGAAAGTCCATGCTCCCTTTGGTGTAAAATGTGAGGTTCTGATACTAATCCAGAGTGTTAGAATATCTACAAAGACATGCAACACCTATAATCACTGTTCTTTATTTTTATTCATTTGACAATCTCTAAGACAAACATGTATTTTTATCGCAACTGCAATAAGAAGATCCAAGTACCTTCTTGCTATATCCACTAGCTCTTATTAGACTTAATCTCTTTTTGCTAAAATATTGATTAAATGGGAGATTGGAAGTTATTACCACGGCCTAATTACAATCTCCATATTGGCAAAGGGAAAATAGATGAGGATATATGGGTTTGTTATCAGCTTTTGTCAATTTCAATTGAGTATCCAAAGTTGTGGAATCCAGTCCTATCAATCTACAGCCTATTCATCATCCATGAATCATTTACTTTGTGATCGATTATGTGTAATTGTTCACTCACAGCAATTTAGTGAGAGCCAATAAGCAGTCTTAAACAACAGCAACTTCATTTGCTAATGTCTAATTAATGCAATAAACATGCTGCTAACAAATGAACACATTCCTTGTGATATTTACTCCTAATTTCTTCAGGGGCATCTGGGAGAAATGAAACATCTGGAGTTGATTCCTCTAAAGTGCACAACAGATAGGTCATTAAACCTTGTGGTAAGCCATTTAATTCCTCTTAGAATTCTCTGACTTGTAAGTGCTTGTTTATTACAATAATGGACTTGTACTATACGATTTCCTGGTCATGATTAAAAATAATAGTAAAATGATCTCCTTAGCCTACCTTCCATTGCTCATTATTCCTCCATCGCCTCTTTGAAACGTAACTGTTTAAGAAAGAAAGACACACACACTTGCAGTCAATATTAATTACAATTAATAAAAACAGCTACATATTGGACTTAGTCTTGAATGAAAACCTCAGGGAATTTTAGCAAAAATATAATTAACATAACTTTATAAGGAGCAACATGCAGTGATTTGACTAGGGCAAAGCTATCACTTAAGCCAACAGTAGTTCACTATCGAAAAATTCTTCAACTCAAATATATGGTTAAGTTAAAGTAGCAATTTGTACTTAGAGATTGTATTAGAAGATCAACATAACCTTAATGAGGAATTATCAAATCAACACCAGAAATCTCGATACAAACTATCTTAATTAGAAGTCATGGAGCATACTACACATAACAAATTGAAAAGGCATAGTTGTCTTTCCAAAGAGCAGGATACTGAATAATTGCCTACTTCTTACCATCATAGAACCTTTCAGACTCCTATAAGCACTATGAGCCAAACAGCAATAATTATAATAGACGTGAACAGTAATCATTAGTGCATGAGGTACTCAAGAAAAATGGAGTTTTCAGCTGCTGGATAGCAAGTATATTCCAATTGTACACAATGATTGCAAAGCAAAAACTAACTTAAAATAATGGAACTTATAGCAATGCCAGTGAACATCAGGTAGACCCATGGTGAGGGAATCCACCACTTCCAAGCATCAGTTTCCATCCCATAAAGTCCATAACATGAAAGTGATTTTAAGGATTGGCCAAAAAATCTACACAGTGGGTCCATCATCCTTTATGAAAATCTTTGCAACTAAATGTGTTTGGACTCAATGGCCGGTATTAGCTAAAGGTAATAAACTTTACATGCTACAAGGTGAGTTGAAGTCACCAGGCCTTATTCAAGGTGATTTCACATTTCTGTAATAAAAAGTGAACATATGTGATTGGTGCAATGAAAGTCTATAAATAGCTTCACATTAGATTGGGTCAAATATTGCCAATAAGGTACTTAATTAGGAATTACAACAAAGGAGTTTGTGCTTATAACTTTTCAGCGTCACAAAATAGCTGCAAATTTATCACTGCAACCAGAGTTAATGTTATTCAGTTAAATTAATCTACAGGGTTGGGAAAAACCAACCATTTTCAAAATTTGGAACACAAACAGCACATCATCAGAAGATACTTACTCTATTTATCAAGACACAGATATGTCAGGATTTTCAGCAACATCATGTTAGTAACCAAACTATGCTGTCCTAGTCTGTATTTCAGGTAAAACCCACATGAATTGTAAAACAATCTTCAAATAATTGTTGCATTGGCCAGAGCCTAGTCTCGACACCTCGGTTATTGCAGCTGGAAAATCCTGATCCTAATAAGCTCAAGCTGGGAATCAGGCATGGGCACTCTATCTGCATGACAATTGTGTCCCTTCAATAAAATCCTTCAACAGAAAATAATTAATCTGAAATAATTAACAAAAGAGATTGAGCACTAGAGGTATTAAACAAGCCCGATTAAGGGATATACACACACTCACAATGTGAAATACTCCAGGTAATTAGCTATCATTTTGATGTGACTTTCTGGTTATGTGTGTGTGTGTGTGTGTGTTTTAAGGGCCATCAAGCAATTGTTTTAGCCTGTTAAAAAGAAAGTTAAGATGATGCTATATCATTATGTATATACAAATTAGGAGGCTCTGATGACTATATGTCTCCAGAACTACGTAATTCTAACTGCACTGCTCCTTTTTCCCATTCATACTTCATGTCAATACGAGAGCAAACAATATCAGAAAAGGGAGGCCAAAAAGGAGCAAAGGTGGAAAAATTAAGTTGTACTTAATTTTTACAAACTTAAAGTTTCAAGTACATTATATATTACTGAAAATCTTATCCAAAATATTTGATTTATTAGGGTTGATTTGGAGATGTGTTTAAGTGTGGGACATGTGGTATGTTTGTCAACTAAGAATTGAATGCTGTCAGTAAAAAAAAATAAATTTCATTGTTTTTAATATTTAGCATTTAGGACATTTATTTTATATTTCCATTACAATCATCATTAAATCTATTTCTCAAGCAGTTTCGGACTGATAATGTAGGTTGCTAAAATATGCTATGATTTATATTCATCTCTGTATTTCTAAATAACAACTACAGGAAGTCAAAATCATAGGAATTTTTATTATAGACATGCTTCACTATTTTACAATTGTCTGTGCAGCATGTTGTACAAAAGAATGTAACATTATCTGTTTCTGTGTAAAACACCCACAGCACATGGACATGTTATCATGATAGGGATGGTTTGCTTTGTTGTTCTTTTTTTATGTCAAGGGCAAAAGTGGACAGTTTTTCAAGTGTCCTTCTAATCCTTTGCTGCAAAACTTTCAGATTTGTCCCATTTCAAAAAATGGAGCAAAAGTGATGGAGTTCTATTAGACTATGAAATTAAAAGCAGATCCTAAATAAAGATGAACAGCTAGAATTCCTAAAATGGAAATATACCTAAAGCTTTGATCAGCAATTTGTGTGTGTGTGTGTGTGTGTGTGTGTGTGTGTGTGTGTGTGTAAAGAGAAAAAGAAGCAAATGCCACAACAAAATGAAAGCCATTCTGAGGTAATCTTCATTTAAAAAAAATTTATATTTATTTGGAAGGCAACTATACAGAGAGGAGGATGTTACATCTGATGATTCGCTCCTCAAGTAGCCACAACAGCTAGAGCTGCACCAAGCCAAAACCAGGAGCCAGGAGCCTCTTTCAGGTCTCCCACGAGGATGTGGGTTACCAAGGCTTTGGGCCATCCTTGGCTACTTTCCCAGGCTGCAAACAGGGAGCTGGATGGGAAACCAAGCTGTCAGGATAAGAACTGTCACCTTATGGGATCCTGGCATTTGGAAGGTGAGGACTTTAGGCACTAGCCTACCCCGCTGAAACCAGTAATATTTATTTTAAGAAAATATTTTCCTTAAAGAAAAAGGAGGGTCAGAGGGAAGATGGTTGGATAATCCTGTTCTTGTAATAATTTTGATGTCAATTGATTATTAATCAGATTGTAATAATGCTGATCTTACTCTTGAGTCCCTGCTTGTATCTAAAATAAGAAGCATCAGCGAATAACGCAGAAGGATCTAACTATAGCCAACCGAAAAATTCTTTAAGTTTTCAACAAATACCACAATGCAAAATGTTTTAGAATTACATGAAATATTTTCCATTTGCTACAGTTTTTATAAGGATATAGCATTAAAAGATTTTTTTCAAGGTTGTATCATATGCAAAGAACTTCTAATACAACTTGACAGGATTAATACAAATCTCATGCCAGCTGAAATTGTGGAATAAGAGAAAGGAAGAATTCTGTCTGGCTATCTCTAGTTGGTCACATTTTCCTACTTCAAATGAAAAGTTTAATGTGGTACTCAGGCCTCATTCCCTTCCCTCTTACACTATTCCTGCAAATGAAGGCAGATAATCCTCTTTAATAAGTATTAACTCAGTCCAGATCATCAAAATAAGAAAAAAATTCCATCAAGCATTTTAGCTGCCTTTGGATAATTTAGTCAAATAATTTATGTTTTATCTGTGGTTTTAAATCCTATATGTGAAAAGCTCAACAATCCATAATTTAATGATTCATACTGCGTTGCTTATGTTTACTGAGTTTCCCAAAATTTGTTATTCACAGAGATAATGTCAAATGTAATTTATCCTATTAAAGGCAAAAATAAATTTATTTTCATTAAAAAGCTGGTGACTTGGGAAATTCTAAGTGGAAATATCAATCAAACTGCTTTTAAAGATTCACGTAGCCTTTATAAATATCATAATACAATTCTATAAAAATATGACATTGCTATATATAATCCTTAAGGCTTCATGTCTGCCTTCAGCATTACAGCCATCATCTTCTATACACAAAACTCTACTGTAGGATAATCAAAAATTTACTGACCCCTTATTTTCTGCCCAAATCTCTACAGTTATTTCTCACTTTGTTACAGCTAAGGTAGTCAACTGATCTAGGAAACCTATATGTAGTAGATCGTTAGTAGGCAATGTAAATTAAGGTAAACAATACTCCATAGGGTTATACAAAAATGTACAATGCTTCCCAAAGGGGAACAAGATCCAGGGATTGCTTTTGTGTTTCAATTGCTGTTGTTTACGTCACGGGCAAGCCTCCAGTGCATGTATGTATCACAGGATTTTAAATAAAATGATAAATATGAAAAATACAAAAGTGGATATTGGTATATCAGACTGTTCCAAGGAATTCTTCACTTTTTGCCATGGAAAGAAGCAGACACACTCAGGGAAAATTCCACTCCCAGGATGTTTCTAATCTTTTCCTTTTATTTTGATGGGATAAATTGTGATGGGAGAGATGGATAATTAAGCCATGCTGAAATCAGGTAGCTAGAACTCAATCTAAGCGTCCCAGCTGGTGGCAAGGGATCTGAGTTACCACCTGTTGCCTCCTAGGGTGAGCAATAGCAGGCAGCTAGACCAGAAATGGAAGGCCTAGGATTCAATCCACTCTAGCAATCTGATGCAGGATGTGGGTGTCCCATGCACTGTTACATCAAATGCCTGCTCTCACTCTCCAGAACACCTAAATGTGTGGATTTAAGCATTTGATTCTTGTCAATTGCATATATAATCTAATGCAACTCATTAATGTTCTGATATATATGTTAATTCCTCTGACACAGAACGGAGAGTACTAACATATTCAACAGTGTGAGGAGGTTATTAATATATGAATACGTGTGTGATCTGATGTGTGTATATGCGTATGTGTGTGTGTAGTGCACATTTTATTTGTGACTGTTCAAATATAATTTTTGGAAACTAAGGCAAATAAAAAAGCAGCTATGCCAAAATAATTCAGGGTGCACATTTGGTATGAAGATGCCAATTAGGATTCCTGGACATCCCAACAGTAAGCCTGGATTGGTTACCAGCCTGTATTTCAGCTCCCTCTTCCCATTAAGGAGAATTCTAGGAGGCAGCAGTGACAGTGTGAGTGAGCCAGTGGGAGTCCTCAAGATGGGAGCCAGCTCTCTCTTTCTCTTTCCCTCTTTCCTACCCTTTATCCATCTCTGCATCTCCAGTATAGTTAAAAAAAATTTTAAAACTGTGGGAAAAATTGTTTTTGCCTATGTCGGGTATATGGAAGGCATACATCCCAAGTCAGAATCTCCACCATATAAGGTATTTTTACAGTCTTTCAAGTAGCTGATATCTTTCCTGACCTATCTGTTATACTTAAGAAGAGACTCAGAATAGAGAAGAAAATGTGGCTGGCTTCACAATCTTACTTAAAGTCAATGTAGCTTTAGTAATTATATGTGAATTGCATCAGATTTCCTTGTACAAACTATTTATCTCTAATTTCAGCTGAAGCCTTTAATAAATGCAATATCCTCTGATATAAACTAAATACTAATCTGCAAACTGTCTGCTTTTGCAAGTCGACGATTTGAGCCTATCAAGGCATTACCATGTGGTGAATATGTAGACGTTAGACCTCTTATCCTCTTATCACACTGCTTTAACTTTACTGTGTTTAGTTTCTATGCTTGTCAAATTACAAGTTCTCTAGAGTTTTTTTTATTAAAACCAAGATATAAAAAGAAGCAATATCAATATTTTCCCGTAATTTTTACAACTCTTTTCAGAGGGACGTGGTTTCCTAAAGAATCTCTGGACTCTTGAAATGCATCATTTGCTCATGCATGAAGAAGCATAAATGTAAATATACGACAAATACAAATTGATAATCATTCTTTATGATGATTCCATATTCTGTAAGTCGTAAAAGATGGAGGGCAGATCAATTTTGGAGGGCAACGTTTAAAAAGTCCCATCACGTCTGAGATACCCTGCTAGATACTGGCAGTGTGGATATTCATTTGCTTTTCATCTAGATGAGAAGATCGTTGCTGGAAGGCAAATTGCCAGCTAAAAGGAAATCTATCCTGAGAGCTAGACATATATCAATTAAGTATAAAAGTTTTGAAAGGCATTTCTCTGGCCTGGCTTTCTTCCAAAATATTTGAAGGACGGAGCACTTTCTGAGTTAGCACTTCTTCAGCAAACAGACTGATATTGATCATTATGAGAAACGATAAAAAGAAATGTACTATTTTTGTCATCTTCAAAATCCAACAAATATTTTCTAATTAAGTGCAGAGCATTTTCAGAAAACTGCCCCTGGGGGGAAAATAGGAAATGTTATACACTATGATCTCACTAAAGTGCAACCTTAAAATGGTTACAGCTATTTTTTTTTTAAGAAAGTGTGGGTGAATGAAGTATAAAGCACAAAAATACACTTTTCCAACTTGGCTATAGTAGAACTCTGCACTTAGGTGACCACACTCTCCTCTTTCATTATCGTCCATAAACTCGAGTGAAGAGGTAAAGCACAAAATAGTCCTTGAATTCAATTACTTCTTTATATATTTTATGATTTATATGCCTGTGTCACAGAAATGAAATGATTGACAAAACAGACAGGTTGCTAGATAATAACTTCACAGCAGAAAGTGGGTAAGAAACAATAAAATAAGAAGATACAGGTATTGTCTGGAATTCAGAAACTCAGAAATTACTTCCAAAAACCCCTAGTCAAGGTGAAGTGACTTGACTCCTAGATAACTACTGGAGGAAATTAGAACCAATTAGAAATGGGAATGGTGAAGTGAGAGCTCAACTTCACACACTGACATCCCCAGTGGATATGCCACAGCACTTCCTCTCCTCCTGGAAATGTGTTTTAAACAACAATTAATAAGTTTTTAAGGGACGTATAGTTGTGAGGCAAAATGATATTTTTAAATGGACAGATTTCATTGATATTAAATCAACAAGATGACACCTAAGCGCCATTTCTTGCATTGCTTTTACTATTTTGACATTTCTGGCAGCAAAGAGTCTATAACTTACGTGAGTTTAGAAGGTTAGTAAGCAAAGAGGCCTCAACCAAGTCAGGTATTCAGATGGTTATACATCTTACAAAACAGTTAAAAAAATAATTATAACTTCAAAAAATTTCCAAAACTATTTGCTGGATGACAAATTATGATCCATTTTTATGAATTGTTAAACACATATGATAGTCTAGATTATTTTGTTTTATTACTATTGTGGTATAAAACATTTAAAATGAATGAATATTTGAATGCTGCTCCAGTACTATACTCATGCTGTTCACCACTGACTTTACACATTTATTTCTTCTCTCTCTCTGTCTCTCTCTCTCTGACTTGCAGGTAGTTTGAATGCCGTATTTTCTATCATCATTTTTATTTCGCCACAGAGTTTAAGATAAAAACATTTTTGCAAACATAAAACCATCTAGGATCTCCTTTTTTATGCTGTTTTTCTCTCCTTTTCCTTTTGGTTCTTCACAAACAGCTGCTTGTTGGAATTGAAGTAGACATTCTATTTAAGTGAATAGTAAATCGCTTATCTTATGCCTCATCAGTTTTATTAATTCTGGTGAGATTCTGCTTTGTACATATTCCAGCTAGGATGTTTCCTGCTGCAGTGTACCTCTTGACACACTGGAAACTATGTGTCAAATCTCCTTTTTCCTGGGCTTTGCAGCGATGCCCCTGCCTAGACCCATTTCTCACACAGTGGCTTCCTAACATGTAAAATCTTTGTGATGTTGAAGACCTAGCTGAGAAAAATAGTGAGACATCCCATCAGTGGGAACTCACACGGCTCCACGGGAGGTACAAGCAGAAAGTCTGTCTTTGGGTTATAAAGCGCAATGAATTACAGCGTGTTCTTCATGAATGTATTCTACTCAGCAGGATTTCAAAATAAGCCCCAACCGCTCATGTCTTCCTTCATTCCATTCATTTCATTACACTCCAAAAGATAAGGGATTTTTTAAGCGGGAAATAGTCTCTTACCAGCATAATTACTGAGTCCCTTTCTCTTCTTTCTTCGCCAATATAACCAGATGCTAAAACCCATCAAAATTACCCAGCAGGCACCACCAATCCCCGCTATGAAGGCTGGCTGCTTCACAACATCGGTTATCTGCTCAGTTATGCTGTTATTGTTTTCAGTAATAACAACTTCATTACGTCCCCCTATGGAAAAAAAAACAAATAATAGATAAATAAACATAGCAACACATGCATGGTACACCAAAGGCACAGAAAACTCCTAGAAAGACAAATATTTTTCAAATCCAAGCTCCTCACAACTATTGATAAACTCGTCGGAATATCTTGACAACAGGATACCAGACTTTATGCCGTTGTCTACACCTGCAATTCTGATACACTTAAACAGCAGAATGCTGGACTTGTGACTGTTACTGAAGGGGAGAAAGGACCCTGTATTCCTGTAAAATCAAGTCACAGCGAATAATAATTTAAATAAAGACACTTAAATATAAACATGGTGGCAAAAAGAGGCTATCTTATGTTTTAGATTACAATGGAAAGATTCATAATTACTTTTTTTTTACTTTATCACTTGTATAAACAAATACTAAAACAAGTGCTAGTAATTAGAGTATCAGCATCTTTGAGTAAGTGAAATGTCTTTATTATAATTGTCATTAAAATTTACAACATTTAAGTCAAGGTATTTACAAATTGCCTTTCTGCTATGGTACTGTTAACATTCAAATATTCATTATTCATAATAATATAAGTTGATAATAACTATTTTTGTCAAGCCTACTTTAATTTTCTAGAAGGTAGTAAGACTGCCATATAAAACAATGACAATTATGTAAGTATCGTTTCACAGACAGCAGCCTGTGTAATTAAAATGTCATGATAAAGTAGAACCAATGCAGGCATTCCCTTAAAGTATTTGAAGCTAATTTGAAATCTATTTGAAATGTGAAGATAGCAGACAGCTATACACCTAAAGTTCTGGTCCCAGTGCAGTAGCCTAATGGCTATATCCTAGCCTTCCATGCAACAAGAACTCATATGGGCATTGGTTTTTGTTCTGGCTAATTCATTTCCCATCCAGCTCCTTGTTCATGGCCTGAAAAAGCAGTTGAGAATGGCCCAAATCCTTGGGACCCAGCACCCACATGAGAGACTCAGAAGCTCCAGGCTTTGGCTTTGAATCAGCTGAGCTCTGGCCATTGTGGACACTTGGGAAGGGAACTGGGGAGTAGACAAGCTTTCTCTCTGTTTCTCCTTCTCTCTGTAAATCTGACTTTCAAAAAAAATAATATTTTTTTTGATTAAAAAAGTCAAATTTCTCCATAAGTAAAACAAATGCTTATACTTAAATTAAGATGTTTCTAGAATTAGACATGTTTTTAAATTTTAGACTTCCCAACGGTAATGAAAACAATCTTAATTCATATTTCACACATTTTTAAGCTCCAGGAATGGTAAAATTATTAAAGAACATAGACTTCAGTGCTTACTTAACATATTAAGAAATGTGGACACTTGGAATTGATATTGCTAATGTTAGTACAATCAAAAATATTTAATAGATAAATAGTAAGCAAAATATCAGTGGCACAGTTCACCATTATATATGAAAGCATTATATGGGATTTTCATTGTTTAGATATCATAGTGCCGTAACCTAGTTGAAGGAATGTAGCTATTGAAGTTCTAGATTTTACTATCTCTGCCATTGACTAGCTAAAGAGGCACTAAGCTCATGCCAGGCACATGATCTGTGTGAATCATTTAGCCATCATCTCAGTCAGTTAGCAGCAGCACTACTGTCTATTTCATGTATTTGGGAAGGCAAATGAAGTGACTACTAAGAAGAAGTTAGGTATACAAAAGTTTTGGAATGAAAAGTTATGATGCATGTAGGGCTAAAGGTCACTTGAAGAGCCCTTCACTCAACTTTAGAAAAGTGCTTAAAGATTTTGGAATCTACAATGACATGTTTAAAAGCTTGTTTCTCTTCTGTTCTAGAACAGAAATTCATCTACATTCTCAGACTCCCATGCAGCTGAGTAAAATAAAGTGCTTGAGTATTAGCCAATGGTAAGTATGTAAAAGTCATGAGCACTATTTTAAGGACTGGCCCATACCATTGGATTCACAGTAGTTGACACTTTATTTACGTGTTTGGCATAAACCTGGCACCTGTTGATACTCTAAAATACGGTGATATTTTAGTTTAGAAAGACACACTTCATTTAGTGATAGCCTGGTGTCAAAACTCCATTCAACCTTCCACTATAGTAGATTGACCTCTGAGTAAGAAAGAAACTCTTATTTGCTAATCCAATCAAATTTTGTTACAGAAGTTAAAGTTGCATCATGCATATTTATCAACCCCTACTGCATTAAACTCAGGATTTAAAAATCAATTTCACTTATGGAGTAAGCTTTCCTCATGTTTTCAATATGTCTCCCTTTACAATTTTACATATATTATAATAAAAAGTGCATTTGCAATGAGTGTACAACACTCACAGACATGTCTCAAGTATTAGTAGTTACTAAAAAGAGAAGCATTACTAGTTATTAAAAGAGAAAAAATAAGCTAACAGAACAAATAAAGTTTTATGTATGCAAAGGATTCATAAAGTATCATACCTTAGCATGGTAAAATATAAACATAATGTTATTCAGGTGTATTACTATTTTCGTGCTGCTATTTTTTAAAGCAGAGTTGTCATTTGGACTAATTAGAGTGTAGAGAAGGATGTGTGTGACCTGTAATATTCCATTGTTCTAACAGACAAAATAATATAATGAAATATAATGTGTCCCTCCCATTGGAGAGTAATGAAGAACAAAACTAATTTATTGGACTAAAAATTAATTAGACACATCAGATTCGATTGTACCTATTACTGTGAAACTTTGCAGCTGTTCCACATATTATTACCAACTAGGTAACGTAGGCGTTAAAAGAACAAATCATTAGAGAAACAATACCTGTATTATAAGCTTACTGAAAAATTTAAGTCAATGCACATTTATTATATTAAACAATTTTTTGAAGCATATATATATGAATGCATTTGTTCGAATTTTTGTGGATATTTTGATGTAAAAGTAACCTTATCATGAGAAACTGCAGAGAAAAAACACTCATTTGAACCATATGTAAGACTGTGTGTATTATCTTGCAATATTTTTATTTATAGATCCTTAATGGAATGTTGAGAAATGGAGAATAAAGTGAGGTGGAGTTGATGATACAGTCCACGGTCTGGGATAGGACACATCAAACATTATTAACCATGAAGTAAATAAATCTCTAATGGACAGATTTTGCATTCTGATCTGAATTGTGCTTGTGTGTGTGTGTGTGTACCCATGTGTCTGTATACTCATTTCAAGTGCTACAATTCCTTTTCCAAGATTACAACTTGAAAGTGAAAGATTAATTTCCAATTTCTAAATATTGTAAATGAAATACATATGTCATATATACATACATATTTCATGCATACATACAGACATTAGTTAAATCCTTTTGGGCACACCTGTATTTCTCTCTTATTCCAATTTATTTCAGAAACTCTCAGAAGGGCATGATTGTAGGTTTCCCTCAGGTTAAGGAATTAATTCTGTCTGAATGACTAATTAAGAAATGGAAGGCAATTTAAAGAAAGGTAATACTGTAACTTTTTCCTTCAATATCTTTAATATATACAGCCAAAAAAAAAAATACTAGACTAACTAAAAATCATTACCATCAGGACAAAACACCAGTTCCATCAATACATAATAAATATTTTGTAACAAAAATAATTATTTGGAAACTCTATCCTACATTTTTCATTTCAGAAAATGAAAATGGGTTACATAAAACTCTTAAGAAATGTTTTTTCAAAGTATGTGAGTATTTAGAAATATTTTCAAAGTTAAAGACACTAACAAGTAAGTAGAAGAATAGAAAGAGATTTGTCTCCGGGAAGAAAGGAGTTCTACTAAAAAAGATCAAAATTTATGAAAATTATTTCCTTTCACAATAAGATTCTATCCATGTAGTTCAGTGCAGGTAACACCTAAGCTGAAAGCCTCAATCGTATCAACATAAGGTGTCAGGAGAAGAATCTCAGACCTGGAAGAAGGACTGCAAATCAAGAGAGAAATCATGCTAAGTCAGAACTCAATGAAGCATGTGTCAGATACAGTTCCCTAATGTTAGGGTGGACGCTGCATTACATATGTCAGGAGAATGTAACCATGTGACAAACAGAATCCAAAAAGCCAGGAAAACTTTTTCTAATGGCTTCAATCGCACACATATAGAAAAGAGATAAACATACTCATTTTTTTTTTTCGATGAAACTTAGGGTCACAACTTAGAAGCAAATAACAACTTGACATTTAACTTTTAGAATAATAATAAAGCACAAACACCTCCACAACAAACAAAATGTAAAAACAAACAAAAAAACAAGAAAGCCTACATTCAACGTAATCAGCTAGTAATTTCCTGTTAGAATAAAGACCAACACGAATTCCAACATCACAAAGCCTGTCTGTCACCTTCAGTGCTAAGCATGCAATAGGAAAGAAAATAAACATGTAAATAAATAAATACCCTAATGAACATGCAAAATAAAAAAACAACACGGATAAGCCACACACACACACACAAAAGCTCCATAACCAACAGAAAAACTAGTCAATAAAAATAGGCCATCAGTTAATGTGGGAGATTGCCCCTGGATCTGCACCTGCCTGCCCAAATGGGAGTCCATAGGCTCGTGGCACACAGTGCCCTTGGCCAGCAGACCCCAACATGGCCTGTTCATTGGGCACGCAACAAGAGCCATGGGTTGCAAATCAGTCTTACTTCGCTACTCCACTAGGACTTCCTTTGTAAACAACACTAGGAGGTCAAATGTTATATTAACCCTCCCTTTAGCAGTTAACAAGTCTGCCCTGAGATACGATTTCCAGTGTTTCATGTGCATCCGGACCTTTAACTTCATTGGAGGATCCAGAAAGATAGACTTATCTGTTAGCCAATCACATTGTTGCTGTACTGTGAGGACCGCCCTTCGGCCTGCCCACTTCTATGTAAGCTTGTGACTGCTCTCAAATAGACATCCTTCACCACCAGTTTGTCTCAAGTGTTTCTGTTGCAGAAGAGCACTGTCGTCTCACCCCTTGGCGGTCTTGGGGCCTACTGGACAGAAGACCCCTGTGTGGTTAACAGCAGTGAGCACAATATGCTCAGGGACACAATGTTAATATTTCTGTAGTGAATGAATGCATGGAAAATACCAGAAGCAAAGGAAAATTTAAAAGAAATTTTTACAACCATAAAATAGAATCGTGTAAAAATATGAAATGACTTGGTCCCCAGATATTTCCACTTGCTGCCATGTCAGAACAATGAAAATGAGATTCACTACCACACAAACAAGTGGAAGACTGGACAAAATATTTCAGAGAAAGTGGAAGGTGTTTATACAAAGACGAAGGAAACAGGGTAATTTCTCCATCTTTTATAGGTATCCATGTGCAAAAACTCTGGAAAATGTGATGCATGGGATGCAATGGAAACCCAAACATTGGTGAACATTATTCCTGATCTGAAGAGACAGAAGAACCCAGGAAGGTTTCAAGAACTGAATGTACAGAACAGCATAATAGAAACATAAAGTATTAGATCCCTTTCAATTAAGCAGACAGTTAATTGTTTAGGGCAATTACAATAATCATGCTATACTTTGCATGTTGGCATTTACCACAAAGAAGAGCTTCAAATAGTTCACTGAAGATGAAATTAGAAAATAGGACTCTATTTTCATGAATTTTTAAAACCTTCCTTTTCACAAAGGTAAAATAATACAGAAATAAAGAAATAGCAGATGAATATAGAACTATACTCCCTAAAATGCTTACATTATAGGCCAGTTTTATAATTACCAATACAAAGAGGGAAACCAAATGGTATGTTTGAGAAATCTCATACTGAAAGTTGGTCAATTCCTCCAAAGAAAGCAAGAAATTTGTAAAAAAGAAAACAATGACATATGGAAAACAAATAACAAGTTGATAATTCTAAGCTCAAACATCTGAATAATTACAGCAATAACCGCCTTCCAAACACTGCAATTAAAAGGTAGTTAGTCAAATAGGACTGAAAAAAAAGCCAGATACAGGGGTTAAAATCAGAGTATTCAAGAGACAAAACATGCAAGCAATTGTTACAGTGTGACTACAGGAGTATCAAATTTCAGGACAAAAATGCCCAGTAGTAAATAAAGATGGACAATTAATAACAATAAAGGATACCTTCATAAAGAAGATGAAATAATCCTAAAATATATTCATTTAATGCTGAGTAACAAAATACAAAAACCAAAATTTTCATATCAAAAGACCAAATACATAAATCCATATTTATATCACATGTGCAGTCTTTTTTAGTAACTAAAAAAACTGGCATAAAACCAGCATGAATTTGAGAAAAACTACTAATGTGATACAACATATACAAAACATTCCACTCCCAAATTAAAACGTATATTCCTTCCAAGTGTGTATGAAAAGTGTTTGTAAAGTCTAAATTGGGACCATAACATAAACCTTTATGCTGGCAACACAAAGTTCTTACAAAGTAAACTGACTAAAGTTCAATTAAATAAGAACTCAGTTACTAAAAGTTAATTCCCAAATTGAAATTTCCCAAGCATTTGAAAATTATAAAATATACTTTTAAAATCTGTTGTAAAAAAGAAAAGAACAAGACGTTTTCTACTCCATGATGGGTAGCATTATTGCTCATCAAAAGGTCAGTCAGTGATCAGCTTCTTAGTTCAACATCCGTAAAGTGCTCATATCAGAAAAGTTCTGAAAGAATTTAAGCTTGATCATAAGAATCAAAATAAAAGTAAATTTAAGAAGCTAGAAAAAAAAACAGAAAATGTTTCGAAGTTTAAAAGACTAACACAATTGGTAGATCTTCACTGGTCAAAATAGGAGCAAACAAGGAGGGCTTGTGGTTCTCGTAGGTAAGGTAAGAGAATGCTGGGATTGGACACCTGGTTCCAGCTCCTCACCCCAGCTTTCTTTCAGAGCAAACTCTGGGAGGCAGCAGGTGGTGATTCATGGTCTGGGCTCCTGCCTGTCCCATGAGACCTGGACCGTATCTGGTTCCAGCCTTTGTTAGCGACCAGGTGCCCACCATCATGAACATTTGGAGAGTGAACCAGTAGATTGGAGCTCTTTCTTTCTACTTGTTTCTCTCTGCTCCTCACGTAAATTCCCAGCATGCATGAATAAAAGATATTACTACACATCCTGAAACCTACACATATTACAAAATTAAACAGATCATTATAAACAATAACATGCCACCACATTTAAAAATTTGGAAGGATGAGAAAAATTCAGTGGTGGTTGTGAAGCAGTGTCTCATTTGTAAAAGCAATATAAGAAAAAAAATTGAAGTTCTGAATACATACCAATTCACAAAAGAATGTTACAAAGAAACTCTAGGTAGAGATCTCACAGAGTTTTCAAAAATACTTAAGGAAGAAATTATATCAGTACTACAGAAACTGAGAATACAGAGGATGAAAGAACATGTCTCCATCTATTTTATAAAGTGAGACACTCAGATGCCAAAACTTAACAAGAAGCAAAAGAACATGACTGATCAACTTCTCTCATGAAAATAGATGTAAAATTATTCACCGGGTGTTTACAATGAGTCAGGTCCAAGAACATCTGTGAAGATAATATATGACATAACCTACTGTGATTCAGGAATGCAAGGCTGATTTACCTTTGAAAACCATTCAATAGAATTCACGATGTTAATACCAGGAGAGAAAAAAACACTTAGAAAAAAAGCATTTTACCTCTATTAAATCGCTAAGAACAAATACAATGCTTGATCTAGGCCAAAAGTCAGAGAAGTAATTTCACAACTGTTAAAATCATTGAGTGGAGTTAAGTAAAATCAGAAACTGTAAAGCAATATAAAATAAAATGTATATAAAATATAAACATCTATGTGAAGAATTTCAAAAATTTTGATTTAAAACAGTGTAAAAAAATCTTACTACTTAGAAAAGATTTTATCAAAGCATGTAGGATTATATTGCAAGAGACAGAAGCTATTGTTGCAACAAATGAAGAAGGTGAACCTGATGCAGAGAAATATCCTGTACCTGGAAAGATTTACTACTGCTCAATGTTTATGCTACCCAACTTGATGCGCATATTCATTGCACTGCCAATCACAGCTTCAACAATCTTTTGTAGAAACTGACAAGCTGATTTGGAAAGTACATGGAAAAGCAAAAGGCTTATAATAGCCAAAACAATTTTGCAGAAGAAAATGATTGAGTATTCACACTAATTGATGTTTAGATACAACACATCTACAAGCTACTGTTCTCAAGCTGGTGCGGTTTGGCATCTGAATGAACTATGTGAAGAGATGTAAAAACCTGGGGAATGAGGAATGGATACACATAAATGGAAAGAAAATTATATGTATACAGTATATTATATATATATATTATATATGAATATGGAAAGAAAAATTTTTTAGCAAACATGTATACATGAGGTGGTAAATACTTGGTGATAAAGAAAACTTAATATTTCAACTATATGCAGTTATTTTCAGATGAGTTATAGACAAGATCATAAAAGACAAAATTCTAAAGCTACAAAACTATTCAGCATCATTAATAAGAAATTCTGGTACAAGGTATTTTTGCAAAAGTGGTAAAAACATGTAGCCTTCAAAAGACATGCAAGAAAGGTCATTCTCTCAAGGGAAAAGCAGAAAAAATATGGAGTATTCACCCAAGAGAGGACCCATCAAATATACATGAGTGATGCATGAATCGCAGAATTTGGCAGTTAATGAGAAAAATTAGATGAAAATCTCATAGTATATGTGATTTCATTGATAAGTGCAAATATAATCCATAGGTAGAGAAAGTAATTTTATATAGTGATGATAGCTGGCTTAATATAAATTTCTTTTTGTGGATTGTGTAATTGGATCGCAAAGTTTTTTTCAGCCCTTTTCGAGTTAATCTGTAAATATTTCTGGCTAAGAGAAAGTATATAGATACAAAACATAATACTCTTTTCAGTCAGTAATTGTGTCATGTTCTACAGTTAGTGTCACCTAAATGATTAATGCACTTACTGATTCAAAATAAGTTTCAATCTTTCAGAATTGGAGCTCCTCATTATAATCAGAAAACTGAAATTTAGTTGTAGTGAGCAATTGTACCAAGCACCTTTATTAGAGATTCAAATTAGATAATCCATTTGCAAATATACTGTATATATCCCATGTCCCAAACTCATGAGTGAATATGTACTGGCTGGATACAGGCTCAGAAACACAATATATTCTGCCACTGTTGCTATTTGATTGTTTTAAAGTAACAATAATGGAAATACTCACCAATTGTAATTGGCTGAGGCTCACTTTTTACTCCAACTCCTGCGCTAGTACTGGCTGCAACTTCTACCCGGTATTGAATGCCTGGGAATAATCCACCAATTATAACTGACCGAATGGCTGAATCCACAGTTTTGTTAATGTGGAAGCGTGTTTCATTTCCAAGACACCAAATCTATAGAAATGGAGAGGTAATAACAAGTTGATGAAACAAATTTATCATTTTATTTATTTAGTCTATTACAATTGATCAAATATTTTAGTATCATACCACTTATTTTTTAGGTTTATAGAAATGTTATGGTATTTTGTAAGCCTCAGTCTTTGCTATTGATTTATGTGCAAACACATGGATGCCTATGTGTGGTAAGAGAACGAGAGATGCTACAATTATGCTGTTATCTTTAATGTCTTCATATCAGCACTGACTGCTCATAATGAGCAACTCAGAAGGCATATGGTCCCTTGACCACCACTGAAAATAATCCCTTGGCAGCAAAATGAAATTTGGTAAGATTTAAAACACTTCCTTGCTTGATTTTTAAAAGTGTAATATGCATACGATCTATTAAATATGGTTATTACTTCATATCTTAAGTATATAGATATACATCTAAGCAATTTATATTTCACTTAAGAAAAGAGTAACTTACACAGAAATGGCTAACAAGATTAATTGATCTAAGTGATAGATGCTGACAACAACGAAACTAAAGCCAACGTTTACCTTGATACTAATAAATCTTAACACTTAAAAATATGCCCATAGACACCTAAACATGCATGAGAGCAAAATGGGAGAGGTTTTTTATTTTCTTAACCACTGATACAGAGATGTTAGGCTCTCACTTGAAACAGAAAACAAGTCTAGGTTAATATTTTCTCCTGAGATACAGGAAGCTACTATTCTATTGTGAGTTCCATTGCATATTTATGCTTATATTCATCTTACATTTCATATTCTACATAAAGATGTATAGGTTTATATATGGTTTGTTTGTGAAACTGATAAGCTGTTGGATACCCCTCAGTAAAATAACTTTATGCTCCGTTTATTTACAGCTGACATGTGTTCTTGAGAATGATGCTGATCCCACTTTTCTTTAAATCAAATCACTACAGATCCAAATAAGTGAGAAACTTTAAAATTACCTAAGAAATTCAACCTGCTGTAATATATATATATATTTTCAACAAAATAGAAATTCCAAATAATTAGAGCCAGGAGGTACAAAAGTAGACTTGTAACCTCATTGAAACTCACAGATGTACATAATGCCATATACATACATATGGTAGAATGGATAATACTGACTACTAAAATAATATTCCAAACCTTGTATGATCTTGGGGATTGCTTAATTATGTGATTGTATAAGCATTTTTTAATTTCTTACACCTGATTTTTATAATGTAATCAGAATAATTTTTAAATTAATCCTTATTAATTTAGTCTGTCATTTTGTTTCAACAATTTGACCTTTAATAAATTCAATTTAAAAGATTTTTATTTTCTTGGAATTAAATTTAATCAGTAAGGTTTTGTTGAAATTATTCAGTATACTTTCACATACCAAGTATATAAATGTGAACTGAGAGGGAAATATTTAGTTATTTATTGTATCAGATTTAGTTAGTATATTATTTTGGGAATCCTAGGAGTATTTTGTTAAAAGAAATAGAAATAACATGATTTTGATTTTTTTATAAGGCTTACAGAGGCATTTGGACTCATGTGTTGTAGCCACAAAACAATTAAACAGTTTTTTTTTTTTTGCAAAGTTAGACACATGTTTCTCAAACATCAAACGATGTGAATGAAACAATACACAGATACCACTTTTTAACAGCAACAAGTTTACCAGCTGGCAAGTGAAACAACTCATTTTTGTAACATCTGAGTAAGTGGATAAAAGCAGCACTTAGTGTGGACCCTGGTGCAGGCATCTCCTACCCGCATCCCACGTGATCCTACTCTTTCTCTGTTCTTGAAGCCTCTTTGTTCCTAGTAATACAGATTTCAGACAACTGCCCTCAAGCCACTGACCACACAACTCTAGTAATCATGATAAGGGCAGCTTCTAGAATGAGAGTCACACGAGCTACCTCCTACTCCAGCTCTCTAAAGTCTTGAGGTTTTTGAAACATATTTTTCATAAAAACCACTCTACCATTGTGGTGCAGTTTGTCTAAGTTTCTGTGATCTGTGACTCAGGACAGGTTCTAAGCATCTGTGCATTTGTTTCTCAAACCGTCACACGAAGATATAAACACTCATTTTTCTGTTGAATCGAATAAGAGAACAATGAACAAGGGACTTTTTCATTCTTGACAGAGATTTCCCCAGGCATCATTGGACTTGAGCTCTTGTGTGTCCTCTAGGCTGTACCTTATATTCTTGGATGATTCCATTCTGGTGGTCTGGAGGAGGAGGATCCCAGGATACACTGATGCTTGTGCTGTTCTGGCTTCCGACGGTCAACACTGTGACAGACTGGGGAGGGGCACTTGGAGCTGCAGAGGAAATAATCAGAATAAATGCAGACTCTATACTTTGCTGTACGCTGACATTGCTTACAGAATAAGAGCACCAAGAGCAAATGTATGTGGTTCTGGCAGCCAGTAGTTCTGAAACTGTTAGAGTGTGCAGCAACAGCAGCAGCAGCAGCAGCAGCAGCAGTTCTTTGAAAAATAACTTTACAATTCAATGAGCAAATTTAAAGCTAATATAACAGCTATGTTAAAAGGAACTAAATAATGACCTCAAGTGCTAACATTCGTTTTGAAAAAAAGAATTTATTGGAGAAGCAGAAAGATATATGTCTATTGGTTTCACTCCCCTCATGTTCACAACAGTTAGGGCACTGATGCCAAAGATAGAGAAACAAGCTGAATCTCCCATATGAAAGGCAGGAAGCCAAGCACTTAGCCATCACCGCTTCTTCTCACGATCTGTATTAGCAGGCGGTGGATCTAGGAGCTAAACTACGCTATCAAACACAGGAATCCAAATCAGAACTCAGATATTCTGATGCCTAGGCCACATGCCCACCTAGTTTTTTTTTTTTCCCCAGCACTATGCTAAGCATCCGGTTTAATTCTCACAATAATCTCCGGACATAAATAGGCCTCTAGATTTACAGAAGGAATAAACAGCTATGGTAAGAAATGTATACAAGTCAAATAGACAATTAGTATTTGAACACAGGCATGTTCAATTCTAGAACTCTGAATAATTTGAATTTAATAAGTCATCTTTCTGCAAGAAAAAAGTAACTATTTCTCTCAACTGAAAACATTTTGAAAGGATATATTGCAAAATTTTGCCAGGAATTATTTCTGAAAAGACAATGCTATTGTTTTATTCTGGGTATTCTAAATAAAAACAGAAACATAGTTGTTTATTTTGCCAACACAGAAAAAAAATTTCATTTGCATTACAGGAAAGTAATCTGTTATAAATTGACTCATAACTTAAAGACTTATAACTCATTTAATGTGGATGGCCACAGGAGTCTGATGATAAAAATGAAAACAGTTCATGTAGGGTCAAATGTAAAATGGGCAGATTTTGATTTCCTACAATAATTCTCTTCCTTTACAGCTTCTCCCATAAATAATTACAACCACACTGAGGAAAGATGAGAGGCAATGCCTAACTAAATTGCAACATCTCCCCCACAGTGCATTTGAGAGCTCTGGGTATTAATTATGCAGGAAAACTCAATCATTCCCAGTTCATCTCTGAACTCCAAGCCCAAAATAAGAGGCATAAAAGCAAAATGCTTCCAAAAAAAATCCTCCTGGTCAGTTAAAGAAGTCAATGAATTTTGTGATATTCAAAGTTTTTTTTTTTTTCAGTAAAACCCTCGATGCTTTCTTAACTCCACACAACTCTATTTCTTGAAGTTTTTTCTAAATATCCCAAGAGAGATTTGAAAAGTGTGCTGGCAATTTCTTTGTTTACTAAATTTGTCATGCCATGCTTCACTAATATGGCTTATTCTGCAACGAGATGGATAACCAAAACGTTCAGATATTAACACAACAGGGCTTTATCTTATTCCTTCATCTGACAATATTGCTCCAAATTATGACGCGAAGACACAAATCCAACCACTTGTCCTCCAGCCTTACTAAGTATGCAGAACTGAGAAACCGCACTTTTGATGCTGGTTTCTCATCCGCGTTGCTGCTGGCACGGCGAGAGCACCATGCGTGCATCCTGACAGGCCAGTGACATCAGAGTTCAGCTCCTTTCTAGAGCTGCTGAAGAATCCAGATCACTACCCATCATTTCCAGACTTAGCCCAGCTGAGTTTCTTTTGTTAGCTTCACCAGGCCACAGAAATTGGAAATGAATGTATGCTGACCTGTGACAAATGTCCTATCCACACATAGAGATCACATGCAGTGAAATTGATTTCTGGACGCAGGCTTCAAATGTAGAATCCTGTATTCAGATTGCTCACTCTACTCATCAGTACTCCCAATTGATACTGTAAAGTATGATTCAATGATGCATAAACACACTCTGATTAAATTTTAGCAGTTTTTCTTTTGTTTACATAGTGTAAAATTAAACTAATGATATCTTTCAAAATATGCAACTCTACCTGCACCAGTGTTTTCTGCTTCAAACCAATGTGAAGACAACTGTTATGCCATGTTGTATATTGGTATAAACAACTTAAAAACTCACTATTTAAACAAGGACCTCTATATGTTAGTATATACAACCTGTTTATAATTTTTAAGGTTGTCATGACATCATTTCATGTGAAATATTTTTTAAAGCAAATGGTTTTCACATTTTGATGCTCAAATTTAGTACTCAAGAATGTGGGGGTTTCATTTTATTTGGCACCTCATTTTTTTTTTTTTTACTCTGGAGGCAACATTTAGTACATGCCTCTCCTTTATGAAACAGACAGTAGTGAATGGACTGTCTGAGACTGCCGTTACTCTCACGTCTGCCCCAGAATGACTTTAAAATTCCGATAGGTTTTAAAAAAGTTCACAGGGAAAAGCGAAACAAGATGACTAAGAAGTAAGCTATCACAACTTGCAAGTGTCCTTCCACATCAAAATAATGGGTCATACTGGCATGGGCCACAAAGGGAAAGTGCTTGTAAAAGCAGATATTGCACTTTTCAACATTAAAATAACAATAACAACAATAATAATAAAGCAGTCATGTATTGTTAAATTTTCAGTTGCCTGTCTATCAATGGAGGTAACTCAGCTAATTCGACACAAAAATATGGGATTACATAATAAATTCAAAAGCACAGAGAAATACAAGTAGTGGGGAATGGTTAGGAGTCAAATTACCTCCAACATTTAACATTATATTCTATGGAGTTTTCAACACAAAAGAAGAAAAGGACAACTTCTGGTTTAGCTTTCAGATGAGCTCATTCTACTGTACTGAGTTCAAGTGGCAAGCGACAACCAATAACTATAATTCGTTTCATTATGGAAGGAGTCTGGTTCTTGTTAAACATCTGAATTCTATTGTGGGCCCTGTGGACCAGTAGGTTAAACTACCAACTGTGATGCCTCTGTACCACATGGGAATTCTGGATTGAGTCTTGGTATCTCTGTTTCCTAATAGCTACTTGCTAAGGTAAAGAAGTGGTTGACAGATCAAGCACGTGAATTCTTAGCCACTGTTTGGGAAACCAGGATGGAGCTGTCTCCTGGCGTGGACATGACTCAGTCCCAACTTCGACAGACATCTGGTGTGAGAACCAGCAAATCAGTAGATGGAAGATTTCCCCCTCTCTCTCTGCTTTCAAATAAACAAATAAGCAAATCTTAAAATAACGAAATGAAAGAAATCAGAGTACTGACCTTCTTCGGTTGTGCGGACTGATTTAGATTCACTATCCATTCCTTGGAACTCATTAAAATATGGCCGAACCTTAATTTCGTAAGTCACACCCTTTTTCAGATTGACCAAGACAGCACTTCTCTCGGTGGGGACTTTGGCATCCAGCTGTTGCCATGAAGATGTAGCTTGCAGGCCTGAGGTCTGACGGTACATCACTCGGTACCCTTGGATGAACTGGGGCTGGCGGTCAACCTGCGGGGCACAGCAAAGAGCAAGTGGATCTCCAGGGAAACACTCAGGACAGCACAAAGGGGGCTATGTGCTTTCCTTTTCCTATTTTAAAGTACCCCAGGTAATGCCACAGATTTCCAAATTATCTCCTTGCTTGTAATATTCCTGCCAATTCTGAACTGACATTGCTCCTAAGAATATTCCCAAAATGAAGAGTGCAACAATTCTCACTCTGTTTTATACTTCGCCACAGCACCTATGATACTTACCTAGGTACATAAATGTTCATGGAAAATGGAGGGTTACGTGTTTTAAAGACTTGCATTTGAACTTCAGCTCTAGCTTCAGAGTTCACTTTCCTGCAGATTCCAGGGGGGCAGGGCTGGTATGAGGGGCAGCTAAGGTCATTTGCATCCCTGCCATTCACAAGGCAGACCTGGATTTCATTCTCAGCTCTCAGCTTTGGGCCAGGCTCTGATCCAGCTTTACCAAGGCAGGCATTTGGGAAATGAATCAGTAGATGGGAGCTATCTGTGTCTCTGTGTCAAATAAAGTACTTAGCTAATTTTATTTAAAGAGAGGTAGAAGAGCAAGAGCACACACTTCATACACACAGAAAGACACACAGAGAACCAGTATTCTCACCACTGGTTCATTCGCTGAATGCCCAGTAACGACTGGAGTTGAAAAGTGTGACGATAGGAACTTACAACTCCACCCTGTCTTATAGGGGTGGCAGGAGCTCAAGCACACAAGCCATTACCTCCCTGTGTGTGCATTTGCAGGAAGGAAGCTGGATTGGAAGGGGAGGAAGGACCTGATCCCAAGCACTATGTGATACGCTTTACAGAATTCCCAAGCAGCATCTTTACCTGATTGTGCAACAACACCTACTCAAATTAAACTTTCTTAAACACATGTTTGTCTTGGTGCACAACGTTTTGGAAGTTCATGCTAGATTATATTTCACAATACCAATGTCCCACCAACCTTTTCAAGACCCCTCATAACAGCTATTTCAAATTTCTTGCATTACAAGAGATTTTTCTAGCTTGTTTTTGTAAAATAGTTCCGTTTTCATTCTTTGTCTGTATTCATGCTCTTGCTACTAAGAGGAGTCAAGAATTTTACTAAGCTCAGGAGATGAACTGCATAACGAGGTTGGTGATGCTTCCAAACACCTTTGAGTTTGGAATGGAGGAAGAAGGTGGATGTTTTCTGGTGATTATTTAAACATTGGTAAACCCAAATGCTTAACAAATAAGCAAAACGAAATGTTAGAAATGAAATGTGCAGACGGCAGAAACATTGCTACAATGGAGAGATTTGCAGCTGTGACAGAGAGGAGATAAAAAATTACTTTCGGAGTCACCAGTGCTAAGATCTGCAAGAACATTAACAGTTACCCAGGGGATAATATGAGGAGAAGGAAGGGATCCAATCTCTTTTGCATGAGAGGAACAGGAGGAAGATAAAATTTGGGGCATTATAGCACGTGTTTTAATTGCATGTGGGAGTTCATACACATTGCCATACAGCAAATAAAGAACTTCTATTAATTTACCAAGCCATGACTTCTTCAACAGTTTCACTGTGGATCCAATTCGACAACCTTCTGGGTCCTTTCAGACACACTGAGTAATGTGGCTGCTTTTAACAACAGTCTGAGATTTTGGATCTGGACATTCATGTTAGCACTAACAAAAAGTGCTTTTGCTTTCACTCACTCTTACGATAACCACATGGTAATCAAATATACCAAAATACAAGTTAAAAAGTGAACCATATTCTTGTCTCTAATTATTAAGACATTTTTACTGAGAATGTACAGCTGTTTCATTTTCAGGGAGAAAACAATCTTTCAACATTTTTAAAAAGTTGAAAAATAAACACTTTTGGTGTCTTACTGCGTATCTTGAAATGGTTGATGTAAACACAAATTCTTACAGCATACTCTCTAGTTAATAACCCACATCATAGTTTAATAGTCATATTCTGAGAGGCCTTAAATCTGACACATTTCCCTGCCAAATCACATGTAAAAATCCATAGAAAAGATATGGAATAACTTCAGGAATGTGATGGGGAGAGGGAAAATAGACAAGCTCCTGAAGGAAACAGTTACTTATTTTATGGTTTTAAAACCTTTTACAAATTGTCAGCATGGCATAAACAAATGTATCCGTTAATGCATTAGCTTCTAATACACTTCCTTAGTTGAAGCATGCTTATTTTTTTTTTCAGTAAAGGCAGCTGATGTATGCGTAATAAACTCACTGGAGAATATCTATTTTGCAGAATCTCTATCAAAATATGGTGGAAAAATCATGTTTTTATTTCATTGTTGAAAATATTCAAACTAGAAATTAACATAGTATTGGTGGTTTAAATTGTGTATATTTCTGCATATCTTTAATTCTAGTTTCTGGATGATCCTAAAAGAATCCAAATTCTTTTATCTGCTTAACGTTTTCTTACCCTCTTCTGATTCTCTGCAGTGAGTAGTACCTTTGTGCTAGGTTACATCAAGGAAAAGTGAGCCAGGTCTTATATGGAAACCCCCTGATCTTTCAGTCTGCCCAGTCCCCCATTTTGGGTCCTGAGTTTTTCAGCAGTTGTTGTGTCATTATACAACAAAGCACTGAAGGATCAAAAAGTTAAATTTATGAGTGGTAAGGAGTGATGCTTTTCATCAAAACTGTCAATGTTCAAAAAAATCCTTGCAGCATATGTTAAAACAACATTAAGCTCACATTTTATAAACTTCACTGCATTTGCTTTAAGTGAATTTATATACTGAAAGAAAGACATAACTCACAATAATAGCTTGTTAATACTGAAAGAAGCAAGCTGTGTTTTTAAGAAGAACATTAAGCAGCTGTTTCCAGATGAAGGGAGTCTGTAAATCAGGGTAAATTGGTTTTATCCATGTATGGTTTTCATTAATTAAGTGTTTTAGGGATTTTATGAAGCTAATGTTTACCACACAACATCGCCTTGCTCATTTTGATACACACTGCCTTCCTTCAGTATATAGTAATGACCTAATTAATAGCTAAATAGCTGAACTTTATTTTGTGCTGTGAAAATGTGTTGTTGCAGGTGGAAGCCAAAATGAACATGTTGGGTACTGGCTTAAAAACAAATATAGGTGGATTTTTACTGGCTAAGTGCTTTAGAGGGCTAACTTTTAGAGTTCATTTTGACAGGTGGTCATTTTCAAGTTAAACCGTATGTTTGTTCCTAGTTTTATTAACCTTCTAATTATAAGAAGGCAGATTTTCTTTTGGCACTGATTACCATCACAGTCTGGACACAAATCCCTGGGTTTTCATAATTTAAAATCTAGTGTTTCTGACACACAAATAAAACAGAGTTGTCAAGGAAAAAATGAATTGATAAAGAGAGCTTCAGCTTTCCAGTCGAAGGCTTCAATTTAAATTACAACTCAACTTCCTGAGCTTCAGTTGACATAAAAAAAGACTCAAAAATATCCATCCATCAGGAGCAGTGATACGATTAAATGACAGATACAAATGTGAGCACTCTGTAAGCTTCTGATGGGTTCAAGCAATGTACACGCTGCAAAAAGCATCCTGCGTGATCCCTATTGGCGTTTTCAGTAAACTGTGCTCTTACTTCTTAAATAAGAGTTCTTCAGAAAGTTATGAATAATTGTGTTTTTGCTTTTGCTTTAATTTTTTAAAAGATTTATTTTGTTTTTATTGCAAAGTTAGATATACAGAGAGGAGCAGAGACAGAGAGGAAGATCTTCCGTCCAATGATTCACTCCCCAAATGGCTGCAATGACTGGAACTGAGCCAATCTGAAGCCAGGAGCCAGGAGCTTCTTCCATGTCTCCCATGTGGGTATGGGGTCCCAAAGCTTTGGGCCATCCTTGATTGCATTCCCAAGCCACAAACAGGGAAGTGGATAGGAAGTGAGGCTGCCAGAATTAGAACCGGCACCCAAATGGGATCCCGGCGCGTGCAAGGCGAGGACTTTAACCACTACACTATCGTTCCAGGCTTGTTTTTGCTTTAATTTTTAAAAAATGTACAGATAACAAATTTTTTGGATTTTGTTTTTTATTTTTTGCAGTGAAATGAGCATTTTCCCACCGTATTAAGTGGTCTATATCTATATTCCCAATTAAAAGCAAAACGAAACTAAATCTCCAACTGACCAGAGAATTCAAATAGAATTTTTATTTATGTGCTTCCTTGACTTCTTTTAGCTGAACTCTGTGTGTTAGTTTACCAAGCACACTTTTAAATTTCAGTGTCATGGTGCATAGAGGGCAAAAATCTGTGATTCTTTTTATTCTGCCTCAAAAGCAAAACAACAAGAAAGGCAAAAGTAAAATACTGGAATGAGAATTTTTCATGAAATATCTTGCTGCCATTTTCCTTTGTGGAACAGCATATTCTAGCCATTTTGCCTATCCTCATTACAAGAACAATTGGATTTGAGTAGTCACTGCTGTCTACTGCGGTTCTATGTATGGGCTCAGTAGACTGTCATGCAGGTCAAACATCACATACTTTTGATAATGAAGGATGATTGTCATTGGGGAAGCATTTCAGCTGGCTACAAATGTAAACCCATAAGAAAAGCAATATAGGAGAGTACTTCAACAAATTTGTAAAAAAAAAATAAAATAGTTAAGCTATCAGTCTATTTTAGTATAAGAACATTTTGGAATTCCTGTTTGGTTTTTCCATAAAACAAACTTCCACAAACTTCTGCAAGTCCTTTTATATGAGTGGGTTTTTAAATATTTTTGCACCAAAATTGACTATTTCTATTTCCATGATTTTTAAAAAGTATCCTGATATTTCTCCCCAGAAGCCCCAACATATGTGTAACTCAAATGCTAGCAGTGTGTTGATTAAAACAGTCCCCACATTTATAAAGTTGAAAATATTACACAGAAATAAAATTGTTGCAATTTCCTTGACTAGTAGCCACACCCTGAGCAAGACTTCAATTTACTAAAGTCACCTCCCTGGAATACATAATTATTTCCTGTGGAAGCACAGACCTCCAGGGAGTAACGTATTGAAATACTACTAGAACTTCTCATTGTTTTCAAAATTAAAATGAAAGATTATAAAAAGAGCTGACTTGATCACTCAAAACAGTTACTGAAATGATATTTTATAACAGACATGCTGCTCATGAAACACAGCAATGAAATAAACAGATGCAGTATCTCCCAAACCACAGACCATGAGGGAAAAGATATGCAAACTAGGAGGGAAACACTGGACGCCAAAATGAATCTGACAAGGTCTCATTCCTGGATAAACTCTTAGTCTATCGACATATGATTTTGATTTATATTTTTAACATTTTTAAAAAACCTTATTTTTCCATTATGCAGTTTTGTGGATATAGGGCTTCTTCTGTCCCTCCCTTTTCTCCTCCCTCTTCCTCCCCTCCTCAGGGCCCCCTGTATTTTACAGTATTATAGTCCTTCACTGGCAGCCACAACTCCACATTTATTAGTCTTTCAAACTGAGTGCATCTTTGATGCATGTTTGATTTTGCGAATAAAGTGAATGATCAGATGTTATATCTAACGATTCCCGTATTTAGAAGCATGTTAACATAAAACCCTACAAGGAGCAGGCTGTTGACACAGCAATCAGAATAGTTCTTGGAACACTCGCATCCCATATGAGAGTTCACAGGGTCCCAGTCCTGGCTTTGTTTCTTCATATTAATGTGCACCTTGAGGGATAACAGGTGATGACTTAAGTAGTTGGGAATTGCCACAAACACAGAAGACCCAGATTAACATTCTATCTCTTAGCTTTGGCTGGGCCCAAACTTTGCTCTTACAAGCATCTGGGAAATGAATTGGATGATTGAGCATCTAACTCTGGAGCTGTGTCTTTCAATCAAAATAAGATTAAAAACCTAAACTTTGTAAAAGAAATCTACCAAAGAGTTGAGAATTTTGAAGTTAATGTGGAGAAATATCTGCTGTGAAAAATACAACTATTTCCTTGCTATGTGAATTTCAACCTAAGCAAATCTTATCAAGGATGAAAGAAGTGTGAGAGAGCATACTGTTTTCTGTGCCACTGGAGAAATGGTTAGCAAACCATGTGTCTTTCCTGGCAGCATCAGAATGCAAATTCTTATATGGAGGCCACAGAATAAGTTTGTGCAGAAATGTTATTAATGAATGTGGAGACACCATCATTTTTGATAATCATGGTTAATCTTAAGCACTGTCAACACAGTCATTTCATTAAGGTTTAATGCAAATGAGTTCTCATAAGTCAAACACTCTATGTGATCTGGCCTAAGGAGTAACAGTATTTCTAACCTAGTATCAAACATGAAAATTCTAACATTGAAGAATTCCTTTTGGCTAAATATTGATCTATATTTTAAGCTGAAGCAAAGATAAGTTTAAAGTCAAAAAATTCTAATTTTGCCTTTGCCTATAAACATACATGTGAAATTGGAATCATTACTCAATATGTCCACATCGATGTCTTTTTATAAGAGGACAGAAATGGACTAGACAGTCTTAATCTAATTTTAGTTTGTCTTCTTTCTTAAACATAATATCATCACATTTCCTGATATAGTTGTGGATGACTCACGTGTGGAGTTAATTATTTCCTCTTTGATAAGTGTTGTCTACACAGAATCGGAGTTAATATGGAACATATTCCTGTGTTCTATGATAACAGGGTTTCTATTTCATTCACAACTAAATTAGTGTCTACATAGTCTTCCCCCAACATCTAGAACATAACTTTTCCTCAGCAAATACTTGTTGAAGTGAGTTTTCTCAATGCAATTATTTTAGAGAAGACATAGGTACAATTCTTATTTGTTTTAAAATTCAAACATTAAGTACTCAAGATCTGGAGGAAAATAGTCAGTTTTCCTTCCTCACTTTTATTTTCTGTGTTTAGTGAGTTGAGCAGAAGGGATACAATGGCTGATTTCAGAAAGCATCTTGGGATTCAAGAGGGATTTTTTGTTTTAATGTATAGTCCTCATCGCATTTACACAACTGAAAATTAACAGTAACAAGAATAAATTGAGATATATAAGTTCTGTGACATAAATAGAGGGCTTTCAATATGTGTTATGTCATGTTAATGCATTTCCTATAGTTTGTTAGAACTTGTAATGAAGTGATTATTTGACATTATTCAGAATTTAGTGTTAACTTCTGTAGACATAAAGGAATGTTTTCTGCTTCCTCTTACATATATGTATAAATGTATGTATAAGTATGTATTAATATTCTCTACTCTGACTAATATCACTATTCTCAAGCTGTTTATTATTTCTTCAGCACTATCTAACATCTAACCAAAACATTTTACCTTTTGAAATGACAGTGGATATTCTGACGTATATAATAATGTGTGCCATTTTGATACTGAAAATATTTTAAAATCTCATTTTCATTAAGATCCACTAATTTGACTACATATGTGGAATTATTAAAACTTGACACCTATAAAACTGTTATATACATGTTTTAATTCTGCTACATAAAATTCACCTATAAGAAAATAAAGATGGCTGATTTAAACTCAAAGCATAACTTCAATAAAAATTAACATCTCTTATGCCTAAAAGGACAATATGAAAGAAATATAATTCCACTACAGACTAGGGGAACATATTTCTGAGTAATATATCTGATGAAAGTCTTACATCCAGAGTATATAAATAACACATAGAGACATAACGTAAGAATACAATCCAATAGACAAAGAGGGGGCTGACACGTGGTATAGTGAGTTAAGCTACTACTTGCAATGTCAGCATCACATCTCCGTTAATATGGCTTCCTGGTAATTCAATAAGCAAAGCAGTGGATGTTTGAAGTGCTTCGGTCCTTCATTGCCCCCCACATGAAAGATCAGGTTTCACTTCAGGAACCCTGGCTTCATTCTGGGGCAGCCCCCAGCGGTTGCAGCATTTGGGGAATGAATCTGCAAAAGGGATAAAGTTTTCTCTCCATATACACATCACTCTCTGTCTCGCTGATGCTCTGCCTTTCAAATCAATATAATAATAATAATGATAATAAAACATTTTCAAAAGTTTAAATATTTTAAAGATTTGTTTAATTTTTATTGTAAAGCCATAGGAGAGACAGAGAGGAAGATCTTCCATCTGCTGTTTCACTCCCCAAGTGATCGCAATGGCCAGTGCTGAAAGAATTCAAAACCAGGAGCCAGGAACTCCATCCAGGTCTCCCACACGGGTCCAGGATCCCAAAGCTTTGGGCCATCTTCAACTGCTTTCCCAGTCCACAAGCAGGGAGCTGGATGGGAAGTGGGGCTGCCAGGATTAGAACTGGTGCCCATATGGGATCCTGTCACATTCAAGGCAAGGACTATAGCTGAGCCAGGCCCACAAATAATTTGAATAAATCTTTCCCTAATTAAGAAACACAAATGTTCAATAAGCATATGAAAAAGATAAATACGTCATTAATCATTACAGGATTTCATAGATAGATAGATAGATAGATAGATAGTTAATCTTTACATAGTTGATTAGGGCACAAAGAGTCAAGGACTACAGGGAAGTGGGTAACAGCATTGTTTCCACACTAATATCATTTTCTTTCTTTCTTTCTTTTTCTCTCTCTCTCTCTTTCTCTCTCTCTCTCTCTCTCGTAAGAGGATAGAAAAAGGGAGAAGCCCCATCCAGCCTCCAAACCCATCCCAGGTCCCCAATGTCGGCCATGATCCGAGGGTCCTACTGGTGAACTATTAAAACTGCTTGAGCAGGATCCATACCTACTCACCCCCTGCAAAAAATAATAATATTCATTGGTGACAACATGAGAAAAACTTCTAATGATTTGGCAGAAGCTGAATGTTGAAGCACTGCTGATGAGAGTACTAAAGGATACAACAATGTGGAGTAACATTTCAGAAATTCTTCAAAATGTTAGGTATAGTTTAGTATTCAAAAATCCCCAGAGAAGTAACAAAAGGAATGGAAATATATGTGTTCACAAAGATTTTTACAGATATGTTTGTAAGAGCTTGATTCATAGAGTCACAGAATAAAAATCAGTTCAAATGCAATTCACCTGATGAGGGGATTAAACAGAATGTGCTTGTTGCATCCATACAATAGAATAGTATTTGACACTAATGCATGCCACTATTGGGATGGGCCTGAAATTTTTTATGTAAAGGAACCTAGATGCAAAAAGTTTCACATATAATATGGTTGTACTCAGGAAAGTTCTGGAACAAACAGACACATAAGAGAGATAGTATAGAGTCATGGCTGTGACGGCAAAGGTGATGGAAAGGAAATGAAGACTGCTAATGCCACCAGATTTTATTTTGGACTGATGACATATTTTAAAGTTAGATCTTTGTGTTAATATGAAAAATCTAACTATATTAGAAAATACTGAGTTTTGTCCTTTCATCATGCGATGTTAATTACTTGTGAAGAAGATTCAAACACAAAACACATCACATTGAGATCACAAGCCACTCTATGACGCAGCCTAACTTCAAATGAAGAGAGAATTCATTACAGTTTTGGCAAGTTTATTTGTATTTTTGTCATGACTGGTTAATATGTTTTCCTCAAGGAATAGAAAAGAATGTTACTGATGTAGTTTTTGATGACTTACCGTCCAAGTGACCTGAACGGTAGTCGGAGTCAATACCACTGGAGTATGAAGACGGACAATTACATCTCCTAGTTCTTTCTGCACTTGTCTATGGTCTACTCCTTGTGCTGGTGGGCTGATGTCTGCAGGGAGAGAAGACAAATGTTACTGACGTTTAATAATTCATAGTCAAGTTCCAACTGATTGTATATACGGGACTACTACGCCATAGGGGAGGAATTAAAACTCTTCATGACAAAAACATACAACTGAAGGAATAATGTCTATTTTTGATAGCATATGTTCATATAAGAAGGATTATAATATGTAATACTTATTCAATTACAGATTCACTTTTGTTGAAGATAATTTTATGAATGAAGAATAAAATGTATAATATAAGATTTATCTTGAAAGACCAGCTTTAAACAGATATTGGTGTAGTGAAAGAATTCCCCCCAAAAATGAATTTGGATATATCTGAAAACTACCATTTATAGATTTGTTCAATCCCTCATATCAATTAGCAATATATATATATATATATATTGTCTATTCCTTGACCTATTTCAGCCTGTGAGCTTGCAAGGAAAGATATTAGAATACTGAGGAAATAAAATATGTTATTAGAGGTAAACAGAGGCAGGGGAGGTAATGGGAAGAAACTTTAAAATCACATCTTTGACCACAAGTTATAAAATGGATCAAATGCAAAATCTTGAGCCTTACTTCAACATCTGACAAAAGGTCAAGCAGATGCTTTTTAGGGTAGGGAAGAGAAAATAAACAAGCAAGCAAACAACAACAACAACAAAACCCTGATGTTTGGAGTCACACACCTTCTGTCCTCTATTTTCAAGGTTCTTTCTTCACTACTAGGCTACCTGTTAATCTGTTGCCCACACAATGGTGTATCATGCACATGTCCATAAACAGAAACATGAGAAATTATACATATGTAAGTATACTAAGTTAATCTCAAGCACTGACTTTTACAACATTCAAACTACTTTTTTTAACTAGTACACTTAAATGTTAAATTGGTGCCTTTTATTCTCCAGCTATATTATTTAAGAAAACCCAATTTGAATGACTTATTTTCCTCATCTTGTTTTCTCTTATTTTTTCAGACTTCAATGCATAACGTTTACAAAGGTATTTTTAGGTGCATATCTCAGTTCCAAATTAACTGAGTGCATTTACATAAATTGGAATATAAACTTTTGTATACTTTGATTTTTTTCCCTTTGTCTTCATGCTTAAGATCAAAATGAAGCCTTACTTAATGTACAAATTATTATAAATGTCCAATGTGAATATTTACCTCTGCTTACATATGAAATACAATCTGATATTTGGAAAACAAGAGCTCATAAAGCATTTTCTTGAAAAGATGTGTTTTGTAGAATGCAAAACTTCTGAAAATGTGGCATCAAAAAGAGAATCTGGGGCCCGGTGGCGTGGCCTATTGGCTAAAGCCCTTGCCTTGAATGCGCCAGGGTCCCATATGGTCGCCAGTTCTAATCGCGACAGCTCCACTTCCCATCCAGCTCCCTGCCTGTGGCCTGGGAAAGCAGTCGAGGACAACCCAAAGCTTTGGGATCCTGGACCCCAAGCCTTAGGATACCCGGAAGAGGTTCCGGGTTCCTGGCTTCAGATTGGCTCAGTTCCGGCTGTTGTAGTCACTTGGGGAGTGAATCATCGGACAGAAGATCTTCCTCTCTCTCTCCTCCTCTCTGTATATCTGACTTTGTAATAAGAATAAATCAATAAATCTTAAAAAAAGAGAGAGATTCTGACATTCAGATACAAAACATGAGTTTTTCTATTATTGTTAGGAGTACCTAAGTCTTTTGCTGCATATAGTCTCTCAACTGGAACAAGCCAGACCACAAACAACTTTTCATGAATCCTTTTTGACCTTTTCACCCAGAGTTATTTTATGAGTCCAGATTTACTGACCAACGTAGTTACTGAATGATCAGGAAGGTCGACTGGGTTTAATCACATCCAAAGTCTTCCCTGTCCTTTTAATGCTCTACCTGACTTCACAGCTATAGTCAAAGACCATTTCCCTAAATACAGGTACAGTATGAGCTAGGGAATACAATTTTTAACTTAAAATTACACGCTTCATTCATTTCAACTTCAATAATTTAATTTACTCATTAAATGCAGGCACACTAGACGCAGCTGGATCTAGGAAAAGTAAAATAGAATTTCACGTCTTCGAATTTCTTGTTGTGCTTTTCTTTCTCCCGAGACAGATTCCCTACCTACAGGCCCTTTATCATCGTGAAAATTAATCACATTACTGCTTAGAGAACAATAGCATAATGGCACTTCCTCCTCCCTTGACTGTCATGTCAGCTCTGTTGCAAAGTCACGTGCTGACTTTATTTCTCTTGATTCCTTTAAAGCGCCCTTCTCTGTTATAATAGCATGCTAGTTACTATCATTGAACTACAGTATAATTATAATAATATTTTATGGCTGCATGATGCTTTTCACAGTATAAAATACTACTTTCCATTATATCTTGTTCAAAGACTTTTACAAATAAGAAATAATTAACCCTTTCCCAAGAATTCTGCAGAAAGCAGGTTGTAACAAATAGTGAAGGCACTACCATTTCTTTTTCAGTAACTTTCTTCATTTACTAATAGAAAAGGAAACATCATGTAATAGCATTGGAGTTTATAATTAAACCTCATTCCCGTGATTGCTCCTTAGGAGAAGAAAATCTCCTGGAGATGACATGCAGAAGTCTTCTACTTCTAGATATTGCATAACAATCAGTGTTTTTGATATGTGATTCCAAGAAATAGCATGCCTCAGGAAAAAAACTTGATTTTCTGCATTCTGAAATACATGACTTGAAGCTTGAGCCCATCACTTCCGGAAGGAGCTGTTGAAACAATCTAGGCCCCAACCCAGAACTTGTGACTGTGCAGCCTTAAGATTTTCCTTTCAGCAGTGTCAGATCATGGAGATGACACCTACCCAGGGAGTACTTTGCACTTTGAACACAGTTTCTGCACTATTGGAAGTTATTTTGACAATTTTGTCCAATAATTTATCTATTGAAGAACATTTTTGCCAACTGCATAATACGTCAAATTAGGTGAAATATGTTTCTTACCTTTGAAATATAATGAAGATTTAAGCTAGTGAATATACTCTTACCCTGTAAATGTATGCAGCTCCTATTTCTGAATATACTGAATATACAGAATAGAGGCCACAGGATGACATATATGTAATTTGCCCTCATCCTCCTTTGGGGAAAATACAGTGAATCATAAACTATTTACACTTCCTTGCATTTGATTCTGGTCTTCAATACAGTTTGATGCTTCCTTCTGGAACTGTTCATGCTACAGCTACTGAAATTACCTTGTGTACGCACAGGATCAGACATAGGACTTGGGTCACTGAGACCTTGTGGGTTGATCGCTCTAACCATGAACAAGTAGATTGTATTGGGCCGCAGTCCTCTCACGGTATAGAGAGTGCTCTTCACGTGGTTGGCGACTGTCTGCCAGCTATTGCTCACTGATTGGCTACAACATGAACAGAGAGTTCATTTAAACAACAGTCATACAGATATCCAAAATGGAGTTGGATATCAATGACAAAGTTTTAATGGCTGGAAATTAAACACATACACACACAACACTTGAGGTGTTCAGCCCAATAAATGAAACGTTTGGATGATTTCAGTTTATTCAACAACAAAGCCGAGCCCACCTAACAGAAGTGCCATGCACAACAAAATTAAATTCAGCCCAGGAGATGTGACAGCCCTTTGCTAATGCAGCCCACTAAATGAATACCTGTAAAAGGAACAGAGGCCAAGATCACAACATCAAATTTATACAATAACTATGGTCCTCATAAATGTATATATGTATATATACCTTGAAAAGAATTAACCTGCAGAAAGAATAAATGGGCTACAGAGTAAATTATGCCAATACATTTTCCTGTTACAAGGTGTGCTTTCTTTTGCATCAATTCCACATGCAATATTATAATAGAGCCTTCTAAAACTACATATCTGTAAAAGAAGAAAGGAAGCATGTAATGAATATTTTCCCTTGGTTACATTTTAATAAAATTGTACATTACACAGTATTGTGGTTTCTCAACTTAAAATGGCAAAATGTCTCTGAATCAGTGTGTGATCCCCTTTACGGTCAGCCACAGATGAGTGACATTTTAGGACACTGTCTAAAGTCAAAATACTACTTTTGCTCAGATTGAGGAGAAAATGCGATTTTCTGGGCTGTTTAGTTTCCAGATGCCATTAAGCATCAGGCATAAAAATATGGAAACAGAGTTTTAAAATTCGAACCCTATGTTTCTGTCACTACCATAAATTACAAATAGAAGCCTAAACTGAAAACTATCATTTGTCCTAATTTTTTTTCCAAAGCTCAGTGGCTGTCCTTCAAACTGTACAAAATTAAATGGAGACCACCAATACTGACCATGGATATACTTTATGCCATTTGTATAATATGTTACCAAATTCCCATTTCTAATGATGCCTGAAAGGTATGGTTCATGTCTTCGAATCAGTGAAAATTATTTCAAATAACACATGGAAGAATCTTTTTCTGCCAACAACTTCAGGCACTTGGGATAAATTTCCTAAGAGATTTTCAGTTTTCTCTCAGGAATATGCAACAGATATATTTACATCTATAGAATAAAGCCATTGAAATGATAGTAAGAAACGAGTCCAACGCTTCAGTAATGGCACATAACACCAAATTGTTTGTGACCATATACAATATTTTCAGCCTATTTCTAAAGCCCATATTTCCACCTTAAAGCCTTACAATATTCAAGAAAAAGAGAGGAGCTAAATAATTACATCGTAAACTAAATCTCCATGGACTTAGGCACACATAAAAACATACATATTCTTATCAAGTTATTAAAAAAACTCAAAAACCAATCTTGGCTAAAGCCTTGTATAAATAATAAATTCTTAAGGTGCACTGGTTGTACATATCCTTGAAATAAAAGAGCAGATGGAATTTTACTCAGTCTAAAGCAAAAACTCAGTGCAGAAGAGAGGATTGTACCATACCTGAAAGCCTCAATGATATATGCGGTTGCTGGAAGGTTCCCGGGGGTACCTGGCTGCCAGGACAAGGTGACACTATTTTTAGTAACATCAGTGACCTGTGGTTTGGAAGGTGGCCCCGGCAGGTCATTTAGATCATAATTTTTACTGATTGTTGCTCCAGATTCTACAGAGGAAAGACAGGAAAGAAAGCCTTTATTTCTGATTCTATAGGTTCACAATGATGCATAGGAGAGAAAACAGCTGGTCCAATCACACAGTGAATAAATTGCCATAAGCATTAGAAGTACAAATATGAATAAATATCTGATTCAGCCACATGATAATAAATGTAAAATTTGCTGCAACATCTGATAACTAGAATTGTCTACTTTAGAAGAAACTAAATGATAAGCTTATCAAGTGAAAATGTTTTAAAATCCACAAACTTATCCACCGTCATAATTGTAGTGGGAAGAGAAGCTGCCTGCAAGGCCAGCATTCCAAATGGGCACTGTTCTAAGTCCTAGCTGCTTCACTTCTGACCCAGCTCCTTGCTAATGGCAAGTGAAATAGAATGGAAGACTTGGACAGCCATCCAGTGGCATGACAGACCCAGTTGGAGCTCTTTGCTTCAACCTGCACTTTGAGGAGTGAATCAGTAGATGAAGATTAATATTATATTCTCTCTCTCTCTATTTCTTTGAAATAAGTAAAATGTGTAAAACTCCATAAAAATACACTTCTATGGAGAAGTGGTGAAGGAATTAAATATGTCACTGAATGTATAAACTTAGATTTATATTTAGAAAATTTTAAACCCTGGTTTCTCCTTGTTCTTTGATACTAAAGGAGAGGATCAGATTTCTATTGTTAACACAATGACACAGGTCCAAATTGTGGTGCAGTGTCGTTAACTGTTAACTCCTCACCTGTGATTCTGGCAGTTGCAGTCCAGCTCCTTGCTAGTGCCCCTGGGAAAGCTGTGGATTACAGTCCCCTGGCTCCTCACTTTTGCCTGCTCCCAAGCTAGGATGCTATAGGTATTTCAGTAGTAAAAAAGAACACAAAAAAATACCAATCTTCCCCTCTCTTTGGCTCTGTTTCTGTCATTGTTCCTTTCAAACAACTGCAACAAAGTTTTTAAAGATTTCATAATAAAAACCACTTTACGAAGAACTCACCGGTCACCTCTAACACGGCGCTCCAAGACGTCTCTCCGCTTGAACTGGTTGCCACACAGGTGTACGTGCCAGTATCAGAATTCTACATAAAATAGAGAGCTTACTTGTTTTAATCCATTTGTAAAATTATTACTGTTTTCAATTTGATAATAATTAATTCCCTACAGTGCGAGGTAACATTGGCTGCCACAGGAATGCATGAGGGTCATTCTTACTTAAACATAAATGTTACAATAAATGCACAAGATGATATTAACAAGGTTAGAAATTTATTTCTACATTTGGATGTTACTCATTTGATAAGCTTTATTTTTTCTTCTTTCCTATGGCATCTTGCAACTACGCATTTGATAGTGGGATTTTACTATAGTAAGTTAAGTATGGATAATTTAGATAATTCAGAACTGCAGAAAATGACAAATGTACCCACTTCTATCTCAAATAAATTGGGCTTAAATGAATAAAATATACCTAGCAGCAAGTAAGCAGGAGGCCAAATTTGTCTCATTCAGAAAGATAGGAAGAAAAACAAAGACTGATTTTTCTTTTTCAATAAAGGGAAAACCGTTTAGAGTTCAGTCCTCACCTATATCTAAGACACAACAGTGTGACAATGAATAAAAACAAATCGCATCATTAAAAACAAGCATTATGGAATCCCGAGTCACTGAAATTTACAACTTGAACTGCAAAAATGATCCAATACGTATTTCTGCAGTAAAGTGTCATTTCATTGGCTACTTCAAATGATTTGTTGTTGTTATTTGAAAGTAAAAATATTCTGGTTTTGGAAATATAAAAGGTGAAGATTTGATGCTTATAAACTGGTAAAAGCTCTAGGATGCAAAGAGAAAGACTAAAAGATCCAAATCTAATAATCTCACATGGTATTTCCTACACGGCAGGCAATGACCGTCCCATTCACTTAGGACAAAGTGAGAGTCAGAGGAGACAATGAAAAACAGACAGTAAAAGACAAAATAAGACACAGAATTAAAATTTTTTGAAGGAAAGGAACATAACTGTTAATGAAATATGTATTTCATAGGACAGTGTGTCTATCTGGTTTAAAACATAAGAGTATTAATGATTCCATTTCCACAATTGATTCCAAGGTAAATTATTTGTGCTCAGAAGTTACTGCCATTCCACTATTTTAATTAATTTTAATGTCATTATGTATTTTAAATTGTGTGTTAAATTGCTCCAGCCCAACATTCTTGGCCATTTTATCTTTGCAAGACTATCTTCTATCTCACAGAGGAATGATGGGAATGGCTATTACAGAAAAAGCCATGTGGCAGTGCACACATTATAGTCATTAAAAATCTTTGCATTTAAGAAGCATCACTCACAAACTAAATATAATGAGCCGAGGTTAGATTCTAATGTGATGTTCATTTGAATATAGTCTGCAAAAGTAAAAAAAAAATGCATTTTATTATAGCTACAGAACCAAAATGTAGCACTTGTTATTATGTGCAGACACTAACAGAGTGCGTAGGTAATGCTTCTTAACTACATCTCCTTGTCACTGTGTTGAGATACAAGTCTGATGTTAGCTGTGGTAGGTACATTTTAATGAGTATTGGGTTATTCTACTTCTCAGAAGGTACAGCTTCAGTTACCAATTAGCTGGGCTAGAAGAACACAGTGTTCACCATGCCATTTTCTCCCCTTACATTAAGTACTGAAAAGCAAATGGTGAGTCACAAAGGAATGTGGCCTACAGAAAACCTTTGTTCGCTGTCCAAGTGAAGTGCTAGAAAACACCTTTTACTCTCCCTCTGGAAATGATCGGCTTACAGAGAAAGAACATTTTCGCCTTGGACTTTATCAAAAGTAATGCTACAAGTGTAAATATCATCGCTAAAACCCACTGTGGCATCCCTATCATCATTGCCACATTTCTTTTTCATTCTCTTTCACTTTAAATCATGTGCCCTGATGCCTCACATCTTTTCTATTCTAGTCCCTCTGTCCAGAACCAATGGCTTAAGAAGAGATTAATGTCTGGTAAACTCTATCACCTGCTTTTTCCGCTTGTGCAGTGGGCCGCAGACAGGCCCCTAGGAGCTCATATCTGACACAAACTACTCAGAATCCTGTCAAAGGCTCAAAGTTTGTTTGACATCATCAAACACCCACCTTTAATTGCTTCTTTTCAATACTACCAGGGATCTTGAGTATTCAAGCACAGCCTGTAATTCTACAATACAGCGAAAACACATTAACCTCAATGGCCCATGTCTGTCTTCAGCCCAGAGAGAGAGGTTAAAGTGTTTACTCAAAGACAGCTGGCATTAATGTTTTAATAACTTCCATTTTGTTCAAGAAAGGTTACCAATTAATTTAAAATCAATATAATGACAGATTTTAAAAAATTTGCATTAACTAAATTCTGCATTTTGTTGTTTCTGCTTGGAAAAGTACTAAATGATGTTGCTTCAAGCCAAAATGGACTTAATTTTTTTTTCTGGCATATGTAACTATGATATAAACATCAGTTAAAAATATAATTATAAACATGTTCCTACCAAAAGAAAAGAACCCTTCAAATTGTGAGCATTTGAAAGTATGTGTCATAAAATACGCACACCTTCCTCCTTGACTTCTAAATGAGAAAATTAAACACTAATTTTTTACCAGATACTAGAGTCAGCTAGTATTCTTTGCTAGCGAATAATTTTCTTCCGTGCACTATGACATCAGCCATCTTAAATCTGGCTTTCATCACCAAAACTACGATGAATGTAATAGACTCTTCTAGTTTGCTGTACTTGGTTGAATAAGCTGAAAACACAAAGTATGGACAAATGGACCCCTTGGTCCTATACTCCTAGTATTTACATGCCATGTAATCGTGCGCTCAAGTGTGAGAGGGACCCGCTGACATGTGGTGAAGAGTATCTCCTAATAATTGTGTGTTTTTTTTTTAACTGAATTGAGAAAGCAAACAATAGTATAGAGGAAGAAAAGTTCACAGGACTAAAGGCAGCCTCCAGGAAACAGTGAGCAAGAAGGTAGAGCTATTCGTTCAGAAAGCAAATGAACTGGATGCTTTCTTTAATCATGCTGCCTGGAAACAAATCCATCATCAGAAAACCTTCAGGTGCAGCCACACCCTAAAGGACATGTGGCTGCAGGTGCTGAGACTGTGAGCATAAAAGCTAACCTCACATACCCAAAACTGTAGCTCACAGAAAATGACAATGTATGTTGCTCTAAGCTGTGATATATGCATAATTAATACAATATTCAGGAGTAGACATGTTATCTGAAATTGTTCCTGAAGCAGATCCAGTGGTTAAGTTTCCATGTAAACTTTAATTAAAACAGATGGTTTGTTCTTGCCCATCGATTCAAATAGAAACTCCATCGCATCTCGTTCTAAAATCTAAGGTTTCCTAACAACAGGGCAATTCACTTCCTCCATACTCACCCTCATCTGTTTTGTTTTTGTTTTTGTTTTTGTTTTTTTACACCAATGACTGGTGAAGCCAGTTCATCTACATTTTCCTATGATCTGCATTACTGAGAGTAAAGTGGAAATGTTGATCACTTTCAGATTATTTTACATATCCAATTAGTACGATAACTTTGAGGGCTGAAGATTGCTAGTTGTACTGAAGAGGCACACATGGAATAGATGTAGGAGCAGGAAGTTTCCTTGTCTTTTATGAACCGATGAGTAAGGTATGTCCAGTGACCTTCCCTCTAATTTCAATTCATCAATTCAATTCTTTTATAAATAAGAAATAATTTCTATAACAAAATACAGAGTAATCAATGATAATTGAAGATTTTAGGTTGATTCCAGTTTTCCCTGAAGGTAAGATGGAAGATCTGCACATAAACAGAATATGACTTACCCGTAAATTCTTAATCTGCAATGTCCCTTGCTCTTGTATACTTGCTCTGGGATCTCTACCCAGAAAAGTAAATCCCTCTTTGAGCCAGCTGATTACAGGAAGAGGATCACCAGTGGCCTTACACTTCAGTAAGGCAGTCCCATCTACTGCTAGTGTCTGGTTGGCTGGGCCTTGTAGAATGATGGGCGGAGGCCGGTCTGTCAACACTAGAAGACAAAGATATTTTTAGGGCAGTTTAACTTCTATGAAACCCAGCAGCTTTGATATATGAACACTGAAAGTACAGTCAAAGCTCCACACCAATATGCATTACTTATAATTTATTCAGCATGTCACTGTTGTTTAGTACTTCTTTTCATTGTCTATAATTAACATGATACTGGCATAAAATTCCAACACTTTAGGAAAACTTACTCATAATAAAAGACTTAGTCATATTAAAATTAAAACTAAATAACAGCTATGGCCATCTGTCATAAAAATCTTCATTTAATCTTATATGTATATTTACGAAAGCTGGTGGAGCATCATATGCACAGACTAAACTTGCACTTTCTTTTTGTAAATATGTGTATAATACACAACTACAAACTTCACAGAACCAGTTATGTACTGTGTTTATAAAAGCTTAAATAAATATCAGCAGAAACTGTATTTCAAGGATTCTTGATGTTTTTATTTCGTTTCTTAAAAACAGTTTTTTTTCTCATAATAAGTTCACTACTCTCGTGGTAGGACATACAGTGCAGCACTATTGTCTTTGAGAAGGTTCTTGACTTTCTTTCACATTTTTTCAGGGACACATTACTGATTCAGTAGCATGTTATTTAGTTTCATGTTATTAATTTGTAAATTTCTATTTTTCTTCCTGTTGTTGATTTTGTTTTGTGGCTTTTCATTTAAGGCGATGCATAGTAACTATGTAATGGAGATTATCATATCTAGCTGTGAGCATACAATGGATTATGCATCTCGGCTTGCAGATCAAAGATGAATTCCCAATGAAACTGTTCAATATATCTTGACAATAAGAGGCTGAACTGTCTGCCATTATTCACACCTGTAATGATGGACTTATGGATATTTATGAAGAAATATAATATTGTAATAATTTAGGGGAAACTGATGTGTGGGGGGAATTTGTGAAAGGGTTAAGGGAAATTCGAGAGTCTATGCAACTGTATCAACCTATTAATAATTTAAAAAGGAATATACAATAAAAGAAAGAAAACAATTTGATATTTTGAGTTTAGAAATAAAATATTTGCTATTTAGCATTCTCACTGCGGGTGATACCCATTTCTTTGCTCGCAATCCTTGTGCCACTCCCTTCAGAAAATTTCATGTCTGGACTCTTGTGTTTGGCTTCCACCTGGGTCTCAAATTGTCCCAACTTCTGGTTCACCACTCTCCATCTCATGTGACCCTGGGCTGTTGCTACACCATTGTCTCTAGGAACTTTCTCCCACTTCCAATTTAAGCAGTTCCCAGGATTAGGGAGACACCAAGTGTGGTAAATAACTATGTTGTTGGTGGTGCTGATCTAGTTGGAACTTGGTTGGTTGTTAGGTCTGAGGGCCAACTGGAACTATTTTGACCCACAGGATGCCAAAATCAGTATTATTTTCCCTGTGGGACCAGTGCAATGCACCAAAATGGAAGTGAGTTTGCTTCCAGCTCAGCACATGCACAGCTCACTGTTGTCCCTTCAATTTCATAGCCTTTGCTACATGGTACAAAATGGCACATGATGTGTCATTTGTGAAGTTCTTGATCTGCTGGCCATTATGACTGGGGACAACCCGGATCTATTTTAGATGGAACCTGTAGCATGCCATGTAGGAATAATGCACTGAGCCAGAAATGAGTTTGCTTCCAGCTTACAGCATGCAGGGTCCCTTCCCACAGCTTTGCCTTCCTCACAAGATGGCATCCAATGAGGTACAGGTGAAGATCTGCACTCTGAAACTCTCACAGTTCTTTCACTGCCTGATTGGCGTCTGCTGCTCTGATTCTGCTCCTGGTTGAATCAAACAAATCAGCTGGATGGGCAATTCTTAGCCTGGGTTCATCTCCTGAGCTCCTTTTGAACTCCCTTTCCTACCAGGCGCTGAACACCAAGGTTTCAAATATAGTCATTATCAGTTGAATGTGCTGATCTAATTTGTCCTTTTAACTAATAAGAGAAATGCAATCTAATTAGAAAATATTTATAGTGCAATAAAAATATATGTTCCATACAATCATTGTGTACTCATATACTCACTCCTGTGTTCACGTGTGTAACTTTTCCATAATTTTTGAAGCATCTGTATCAGTGTGCTATTGTAATGAGTGCTGTTTTGTAACACTATCTTCAGTATATCACAATGTATAGTGTAATTCAAAATGTTCAAAGAAGTACAGAGTAAGTTAAAGGTGATATTTCCTCAAGAGCTCATTCACAGATCACCTTATAATTAGATTTATATGTTCAAATTGAAGAAACTGCATCTCAGAAACTGTTCTATACAATTCAGCATAGACTTTGTTCAATATAATAAGTTCCTTACTTTGCATATTTCTATTTAATATGCTAAATGAGTCATATAATGTATAATATATAATCAGTATATATATGTATGGGTAGATGCAAGTTTTATCAAGAAAAAAATGAATTTTACTTATTGCTAAGGAAATTATCTCTTATATTTTAAGGAAAATTGTATAAATTGCTTATTTAGAAAGTAAACATTACAACCAGTTATTTCACTGATTTTCATGGACATTTCTTTTACTGTAGAAATAAAACAAGCAAGAAAGGTATGGGCTCCTGGTATTGTAACTATTCTGACACACATGGTAATAATTGGGTAAATAGAAATTCAGATTAGGATTTAAGGAATTTAATTTTTTACATGTAAAAAATGGAAGATTATGAATGATTTCATTTTGTGGAGAAAAAGAGACTGCATTATTAATTATGCTTTAATTTTTAAATGACATTTCATCTCTGTTACAAATTAAACAGCTCTATAGAATTTAAGTAAATTCTTACAACTTGTTTTTAGTGTCCTAACATTCAAATCATTAGAGACAGCAATAGGTTGCTTCCCCTTTTTACTGTCCAAATGAGTAGCTCATCACCATTTAAATGAATATGATCAATCAAGTAATAGAAAATCTCCTGGCCAGAAGGAAATTTTTGGTTTTAAGGATGTTATTGATGAAAGATAACCACATGTTTCCATCACACTAAGGTCAAAGGTTAAATGAACATTTAGGGTTTCTAGTGATCTGGGAATAACTCCATGTCATCTAAATATGCATTATAAAGCTTCACTAGATGATTCATTTGTGATCACATTATAACATTTATTGTCAATATAATTACATTTCATCTGTGTTTTCCTTTTAGATTCTATTTTGGCTCTCATGCAGTTCTCTATACCTTTCTAATTTGGGGGAAGAAAATGATAAAGATGAAGAAAAAGGAGTTGAAGAACAGTGCCACTAAATTAATGAAAAGTTCTCTAGAGGATTATTTCGAAACACAGGTACATTTAAAACATCATAGCTCAATTTATATCCAGGAAAATTGTCACCCACCACCAGTATCAATATGATCTTATATCGATACGTAAAACTGATCCAGAAAATTGGTCTTGATACAAAAATATTAAAATATTGCTATAGTTGGAATAGTCCCTTTTGTCTGTGAAATGATATGTGTTTGCAATCTACAATGGAATTTTAGCTATCTGGTATTAACCCAAATCACGCACAAGAAAAAATGTTCAAAATGAAACTCACAACTTACATTTTATTAAATAATTAACAGACCTGAAAAATAAAGCTATTAGGCTGAATAGAAGCGGAAGTCATCAGGTAAAGTGGCTGAGTAATATTTAGCATGATTTATAATTTTTTGTCTGCATATTTGGATCTTAAATTTGTATTTCCTTGCTGCCCGTCTCAACAACACAATAGTTCCCACTATGCTATATTTATGCAAGGGTCTTGGCTTTCTGATTGCTTATTTCATTAAAATTCAATGTAAGAACAGATATTCATGCTGACTTAACAACAATCTTCTTTAAAGATTTATTTATTTTTATTGGGAATGTAGGTTTATAGAGAGAAGGAGAAACAGAGAAGAAGATCTGTATTCTGCCGGTTCACTCCCCGAATGGCTTCAGTGGCCAGGGCTGAGCTGATCTCAAGTGAGGAGCCATGAACATCCTCAGGGTCTTTCACACAGGTGCAGGTTATCAAGGCTTTGGGACAACTACTGTTTTCCCAGGTCACGGACAGAGAGCAGGATGGGAAGTGGAGTATCTGGGACACATGGTATCCTGGCACATGCAGTTGGTGAGGACATCAGCCAATAGGCCATTGTATCGGGCCCTTTAACAAAAGTCTTAAGAGCTGTTAGTCATCAGAAAATGCAAAACTGTTCATTTATCAATTTTGACCTAAGAAATAAAACTATAATAACTGTTTGTGGCTGCAGCACAATTGCTCAGTGGCTAAATGCATCCCACGAAGCATCAGGTTGTGTCCCTGTTGCTCCACTTCCCATCCTCCTCCTTGTTTGTGGCCTACGGAAGCCGCAGAGGATGTCCCAAAGCCTTGGGTACCTGAACTTGTGTGGGAAACCTGGAAGAAGCTACTGGCTCCTAGCTTCAGATTTGCTCAGCTCTGGACACTGCGGCTACTAGAGGAGTGAACCAGCAGATCTTTCTCTCTTGCTCCTCTGTGTAAATCTGCCTTTCCCACAAAAATAAATTTTAAAAATAACTGTGACATTTTCTCAAATATGTTTTCAAACATTTTGCTTTCTTTGCATGAATCATATTTCCAAATATCTGTTTGCTGAATCACATCACTCATATAAACTTCTTCCTAGAGTTCATTTGTCTGTTTTCCATGGACATTTTATGTGTCCACCAGGTTAAATATACATTGACAACTTGATACTAGATTTTCCACATTGCTTCTGACTACAATGCCATGACACACTTAAGTAGCAGAATGCTGGACTTACCACTGTTCCTGAAGGATTAAACCATTATAATAATATGGGGGAAGAGGGTGGGGATGCTGAGAACAGGGAAGGAGGAGCATGGGAGAGAGAGGAATCTTTATGCTTACAAACCGTATCATGGAAAATACTAATAATAAAAAAAATAAACAGTGAAAAAAAAAAGAAAGACATTAGGGTTTATAAATAGTTGGATGACAGCAGATATGTCAAGCATTATAATTGGAATGCTACAGATAAATACAGAATAAAACTTGGAATTTCATCATATCTTATTTTCCAAGTGTATGTATCTGTATATTAATGAAGACAGTAGAATATATGGGGCCATTTAAAAGATAATTATCCTTTATTCTTTAAAGAACTCTGCAGGTGTCATCTATCAGATGCCTTGTCTCCCTAAAGAAGTATTTCTCATTCCTGTTACCCTTGAATCTGACTACTCCTTTCAGCTCCTCAGCAGTAAATCTCTGTGGCATCAGCAGGTGCAGCCATTAACGACTCACTGTCCCCACAGCCAATGTTCATCTGCTCTGTGTATGCTCCTTCTTGACATGGTGCTGAATCAGGCCGTACCACAGACATTAAAAAATATTGCCTTTCTATTCATTTTAAATGACCTTTTAATCTACAAGTAAATTACGATTGCATGAAAACACATCACATTTCACCATCAGAGAAGAGAATCTGAGAGGCCACAGACTAAGGGTTTGAGGTCTTGGAAGTCAGCACTACTGGAAGAAGGGAAAAAACAACAGCCAAATCTCTTGTTAATACAGGAGTGCAGGAAAGCATATTTAATTTAAGACATCACAGAAAAGAGATAAAAATTATACTCGAAGATCCATGAAATATTTAAACCTCCCAAACTGTCAATTTTGACAAAAAAAAAGCCCCTTTAAAAAACCATCTTGACAATAGAATGTTGGACTTTCTATTATTGTCTATACCTACAATGCCATGATACACATAAATAGAAGAATGGTGGATTTGTGAATGCTGTTGAAAGAATATATCATTGTTATACAATAGAGGAAAACAGTATGGTGGAATCAAAGAGGGAAGAGTGGGAGAGGGGAGAGTGGAAGGCGAAATCCCTGAGCTTAAGGAACTGCATCCTGAAAAATTAAAAAATAAATTAGACTATGAGCCTGGCACGGTAGCCTAGTGGCTGGGATCCTCGCCTTGCACCTGCTAGGATAGCACATGGGCACCAGTTCTAATCCCAGTGACCCTGCTTCCCATCTAGCTTCAGAATTGTCCTGGGAAAACAGTAGAGTACTGCTTGGGACCTTGTACCCACGTGGGAGACCTAGACGAGATTCCGGGCTCTTTGCTTCAGATTAGTGTCACTCTGGCCACTGAAGTCTTTAGGGAAATGAATCAACGGATGAGGGATCCTTCTCTCTGTCTCTCCTCCTCTCTGTGTATCTGACTTTCTAGCAAAAATAAAATAACTCTTTTAAAATATTAGATTATGCAAAGCCCAACATCCTTTTTTACTTTTCAATCAATGAACGTAGGTGCCTCAGTTAAGATTCCAAGGATGTATGTGCAAATAAAAAATAATTAATTTCAACATTATTGGCACTTTGAAAGGCACTTAATTAATTTAACATAGTGAATGCATAATTAAAATCATAGCTGTGTCATAATATGATTAACTCAGTAAAAACTCATCTCTATGCTACCAATGTTAATAACTCCTCCCCCAGTGACATACAAGTATTAATATCTGTTAGGAGAAGTCATATCAGTACTGAGTCTGAATAACTATTTGGATTATACTTCTAAACACCAGGAAATGTGTTGTCCTTTCATCTGTTTCTTATTTTTAAGATGTATGTATTTGAAAGACAGAGTTTCAAAAGGAGAAAGAGAGGGAGGTAGGGAGAGATAAAGAGAGAAATGGACAGAGATCAATCTTTTATCATCTGATTCACTTTCCAATGGGTCACAACAACTGGGGCTGAGCCAGGCCTAGGACAGGAGCCTGGAATCTTATCAGGGTCTCCCACGTGATGAACATCAGGCCATATGCATGCACTATTTTCTACTACTTTTCCGGGCCTATTAACAGGAATCTGGATGGATGCACAGCACTGCCCTTGTAAGATGCAAGCCTTGCAGGTAGCAAGCGACTTAACTCACTGAAACACATCACTAACTCCAACATGATGACATTTCTTTGCAACAGCACATTCCTGTATTTCTATAGGAATTGATTGCCTTTTGGAAGAAAAAAATTAGAAGTGTATGTGTCAAAGCTGGGTCTCTTCAGTGGCTCAGACAGAGCAGTGAGCAGCATATCCGGGTGCACATGGAGGATATGGCAGCACACTGGAACTTGCAGAAGACACTTGGTACTATGGCAGAACAAATTGATCAACTATTGTAGCCAAGTGTTGGCAGTGAAAATTTGGTCAAAGGAGACTCTAAAGTGGAGTATTCCAGCCAGTGGTTTCTGAAGAGATTTCATTGTGCTTGGAATGGCAAGACTGGCAGCAATTCAGAACTGTTGAACTACTGAAACCACTGAAGTAATGCCCTCGGAGCATGCCCCACATTGGGAACCCTGGGATGGTTGGGAGGTTGTGTGAAGCTTCTCCCTTTATCTTCCCCTTTCCCCCAGGTGCAGGAAAGAAAGAAAAAAGAATGTGGAAACTATGGTCTTACACACTTTTCCTTGTAGCCCTTGACCCTTTGTGCCCTAATCAACTATGTAAAGATCATCAAAATAAAATGATGACTTTAAAAAAAAAACCCTGTTTACCTTCCTGGATTCAAACTTTAAGCTAAACTAAAATCAGAGCATTTGCATTATCAATGTATATTTTAAGTGAAAGTTATACTTTTAATATGACAAATCTAACAGTAATGTCTTACCATCAGTAACTTCCAGTTGTGCTTTTGCTAAGATACTTCCTGCCACAGTTAAGGCCTGACAGATATAGTAGCCTGCATCTGAACGCTGAATGTTGGTGATGGTGAGGTCTCCAGTTGGTGACACCGAACATCGACTGTTGGGCTGCTGAGGTTGGTTCGGGAAAAGTAGATTCTATGAAAACAAACACAGTCTTATCAATATTCTGTTCTGACTCAAAAGGAAAACTATGCTAGCCACAGTGATTACGATTGTTGACAAGAAGAAGAAAATGAATGCATTTAGAGACACATAGTACCAAAAACAGCTTAATGATACACAACAGGTTTTATTGGGAATTTTTTTTTTCAAATCATTGCAAAATAATATTTTCCAAAAATTAAGTTTTCTTAATTTTCTGAAATTTCCTTTATGTTTAAAACAAAATAAAACGGAAGAACAACAACAAAAATCACAAGAAAAATCTGTCTTTGAGGTGGGTGATTGGTGTAGCAGTTACAGAGTTTAAGATATTGGAGTCTCATATCAGAGTGCTGGCCTACATTCCATATCAGCAGTACCTGGGTTTTAATTTCAGACTCAGACTCCCTAATCTTGCTCAGCAAAATGTAGACCATAGAAGGGAGCAGGTAATGGCTCCAGGAATGGGATACCTGATAGCATTTTGGGACACCTGGATTGAAGCCCCAGGTCCCAAGTTTAGCTCCACTTAGACCAAACCATTTTAGCCACTCAGGAATGAATTAATGAACAGGGACATCTTTTTCTTTCCCTGTTGTCTACATCACCAAATACCCATCACAGCTTGCTTGTGCACGCACTTCCTCAAGACTGCATCTAAATACCTTGTGTCTTTTCAATCTCTCCTAATTTCTACCACATTCTTAGTATCTTTGAGATATGATTTCTAACTCTAAACACAGATGGCTAATGTTTATCTGGTATATCCTAATGTTTCATAAGCTACACATAACTAAAGACTGCAAAACATAGAGATCAGAGTTGTAACTTTATGTGTGAAGTTGATGCTTGCAATACCACTGTCTCATGAACACCGTTCGAGATCCTGTTACTCCACTTCTCATCCAGCTCCCTTCCAGTGTTCTTGAGAAGTTACATAAAGATGACTTAAATCCTAAGCCCCTGAACACATGTGAAAGATCTGGAAGAAGCTCTGAGCACTTGATACCAACATGTCACAGCCCTGGGCAGTGTTGTAATTTGGGGAGGAAACTAGTAGATAAAACATTTCTCTTTCCCTGGCTTTCTATAATCCTATCTTTCAAATGAATAAAAATAAAGAAATAATATTAGGGAAACCAGTATTGTAGCACAACAGGTAAAGCCGCCTCCTGTGATTTCAGAATCCCAAATGGAAATCTGTTTGTGTCCCAGTTGCTACACTTCTGTCCCATTTCTCATAAAAGCCTGGGAAACACAGTGGAGGATGGTCCAACTGCTTGGAGCCCTGCCACTCAAGTGGAGATTTGGAAGAAACTCTTGGCTCCTGGCCCTTGATTTTGCCCTCACCCTGTCATTGGAGAGAATCAGTGGATAGAAGATTCTTGCTGTCTCTTTATTTCTCTAACTATTCCCTTCTCCCTCGGTATCTTGACTTTGAATTAGATTAAACAATTAGATGCATTTTTGAATGCAAAATCTAACTTCTGACAATCATTTTGAACACTTGGCAAATTCAATCAGTTTACCCCAAAATTATTTAAAAGTGTGTATGACAGAGACTGACTTAGGATAATTGAATGTACTTTTCCTAAAAAGTTCTTGCAGTTTGTAACAGCTTAGAGAGAAGCAATGAATAAACATTTAAATCTACATACAATCTAAGAGATCATCAAAACTAAAAAGAATACCTAATGTTTCTGCATTTCATACGGTTACTGTATATCTCATGTTAAGTCGTATATACATTTCCTGATTGCAAATGTTCAAGCATTTTTATATGAGAGCAGTAGCATTGCTTTGGATGACCTACATTGCTTTACTGTTGTTCAATTAAGAAAAACATTTGGGTATAATAAATCATGTTGAGGTATGTTTTCAAGCTGGATTATAAATAAGAACATATCAATTTTTACGTTGTATTTACTTACAAAAAAGCACATTATAACCCTCTGGGATATGTTTCTCAATGTAGTAATTAATTTTCCAGGTTTGTAATTAAACAGTTTCAATAAGTTGCAATCAGGAGGTAATAACATTCAATTAAAGGCACAAGACACATTTTCACCTTAAAATGTTTTTTACCCTTGAAGTAATACCAATGGAAGAGGATAAAATAGGGTATTAACACTTTTCAATTACGTTAAATGACTTTAATCCTGCAAATGATGCCCTACTTTAATTAGAAGCTCTTCTCTTTATTGCAACATGATGGATGTCCACTTTATGAGATTCAAGTGTGACACTATAAGCCCACTTTACATAAACATTACCATGTTATTAAACTCCTTCCAAAAAGAATGATGTTTACTAATAGGGCAGGGATATAATTTCAAAATGCTGTTGCTCTCTGCTAACATTTGTATCCTTTTTAAGCTAGATATTTCACACACATATAAAGCATTATTTGAGAGCTAGCTAATTCTCCTGTGAAATTCAAATATATTACTGAAATAAACCATCAAAAAGAGAAAGGTTTAAATCTTAAAGCCACTTGAAAATGATACAATAACTCAAAATGTGCACTTTCCTACAATTAGCCATTAGAATACTAATTTACATAGCACTAATACATCAGATGGGCTTAATTCTCCATGGAAACTTCCTCTCTACAATGCAATATCAGTCTACTTTCTAAATGATTCGTTGACATGGAAAATGGGATTTGATTGGGGTTAACCCATCATCTCTATTCCCTGCTTGCATGACATACCCAAAGAAAATGGATTACAAGCAAAATCCAGGAGCTGTATGGAGTTCTTCTTGATTTGAATTGCCTGGGTAGCCTATTAGTGCTAATTGGCATTATCAGCACATATTGAGGAATATGGACCATTAAGTCCAGGCTTTTAACTCTTTCTACTGGTAGATAGTCATAGATCATGGCAAAAATTGGATACTAATCACAGGCCAATTTACTTTTTTATCATTCTGATGCGTGATTTGCAAATTTCAAATTGGCTAGAACAGTTTTTATTTGCTGTCAGTCTATCTCTCTCTGAGAAAGGGAAAAGACTGAGTTGTTAAAATTGCAAGCTTGAGGATGGTGCAGGAATGCATTGGAACCTACAATGAAATATGATGATAGACCAGAACTTTCTAATGCTGCTCTTGCCAGGAAGAAATGTGTAAGTTTTATTAAACAGATTCTCTCAAGGTATCTTAAAATATTTTTTGGGTCTGGGGAAATAGCCTAATGGCTAAAGCTTCACCTTGCATGTGCTATGATCCCATATAGGTGTTAGTCCATGTCCCAACTGCTCCACTTTCCATCCAGTTCTCTGCCTGTGGCCTGGGAAAGTAGTTGAGGATGGCCCAAAGCCTTGGGAACCTGTACCCACATGGGCGACCCAGAAGAAGCTCCTGGCTCCTGGCTTCAGATTGGCTCAGCTCTGACCATTGTGGCCACTTGGGGAGTGGACCAGCAGACAGATCTTTGTCTCTCCTCTCTGTATATTTGCCATTCCAATAAAAATTAATAAATCTTTTAAAAATATACTTCTCAGCTCTGACATAGCTTAGAATTAATGAACTTTGTAAGAATTATTTTCTTTTTAAAGTAAATTTAGCTCAGTTTTGATCATGTCTACATATTTGAGAAGCATGGATATCCACGTGGACCACTGGTTAGTGTGGGAGGGCCAAGGCATGAGGGAAAGTGGATGAGACAACTGCTTCCAGTTTTTTTTTTTCTTCTTATATCAGAAGGTAAGGGCAAAGAAGGAGAGAGGGCCATTTCTAGTAGCCTAACCACATCAGTACCCAGGGATGGGGAATGACTTCAATGCCATCCTAGGGTGGCAAAAGAACTGGAAGAGAATGTGGACTAGCATTATATGGTGCTGGGGGGAGAACACAAGTACAACTTCTGTTGAGCCAAATGTCTCACTAGGGATGGTTCTAGAGAGCCTAGAACAGAATATCTGTGGATCTTGCATGAATACATAGATAACTCAGATTATAGTTTTAGGTGAAGAGTACACTTTCTGCTTTATGTCAAGTAGGAAATTCCACCCATAATCTCAAATCCAGTAAGCACTTTGGCCAAGTTCTAAATGAAAGAAAAAAACACATTGAGTCTTGTTTTTGAATAAATTATGAGAGATATTATTGCCTAGATGGGACACTGAGGAGGACCAAACAAGTACCACAAAGCAAGGCAAATGTCAGTTAGTAATGGAACACAATGTGTCATTTCTAATCAATGCTAACAAGGAAAAACTCCAAGGGAAAAACAAGGAAAGCTTTTTTAAAAATTGTTTTTTATAACTTTTAAGTGGAAGCATGACAAAATTAGTGATTGTTAAAACTGTGTATGCCATCTATCTAACAGTGGAGACTGACATTCTAGGACAATGAATCAACAGGTCACAAGAAAGCAAAATTATCCTTACTTTTAGGAATTATAAATAGATACAAAGACTCTGGCTGATTTTTAAGATAGGATCATTTCACTGCTCTTAATCTATTTCTTATTACACATAGAATCATTTAAAGATAACATTAGCACATAATGAATGCTGTACTGGAACATGTGATTCCAACTTATTTTAGAATTCAGTGGTTTCATTTTTAAAAAGTAAAGAAATCCCACGCTGATAACAACAGCAGTAAGGCTCACTTTAAGGAACCTGAGAGAGAGGGTAGATGATCAGAGATTACAGTAAATAGCCAAGCCTTATACTCACCTGGCTTCCTTCTTTCTGCCAAAAAACAGCTGGCTGTGGGTTTCCTTTTGTTTCACAGGGAAATGTCACTGTTCGACCTTGAGCAACAATCTGATCTCTTGGCCTAACCACAAACTGTGGAGGAGCTATAATTTAAAGGAAAGAAAGTGTGTAAATATCAGCTGTTGACAAAGAAAAAGATAGCAAAGGAGAAATCTGATACTAAGTAGATTTCTCAGGGCCAGAGAGGGGTTACAGCTTCTGATTTCTTTTTATGTATCTCCCAAAACACAAAGGGAAAGGAGAAAAACATTCCATTAAATGTGGAGAAATAAGGAAACATTAAAGTATACCTTTCAAATGTAGTGCCTTGTAAGCTATTGGTTAAGACTCACATAGAAAATTAGATCTATGATAATTTCAACATTTCTCATGAAAGATTATTTTTTATTTTGGTCCTGATTTTTCAATACATATAGAAGAAAAGCACATATTTATAAAGCTTTTCCTTCTTCTAAAATCAATCTATTGTTAAATATTGATTTTTCTTGCAATTTTTACAAACATTGTCTAAAGTACGAGGATTCCAGAAAGCATAATATATGAAGCTCATATTTCTAGTTCTTATATTCTAGAAGTCCTGAAGATTTTAATGTAATGAAGAGTTGAAAAAAGAGGTAAAATATTTAAAACTAGCTAACATCATAAAAATATGCAAAAGGTTGATTCAATTTTATCTGTGACTTGGATAGATAAGGATTGGTAAGACAATTACAGTATTCTCTTGGGCAACAAAGATATAGAGATGAAAAACTCTTCTTTCCTACAGCCATCATGTCTAATGAAAAACAAGAAGAGTTAACACGATAAAAATAACAGTCCCTAAACAGAACTAAGTCAACTACTGTTGACTGTGAAATCACAGAAACATTTTCAGATCACAATTGATCACTGAAATTATATTAAGTTACATTATAGCATATATGGTAATTGTGATATGGGTCAAGAGGGAGAGAGAGGAGCATGAGGTGTGCTGTGGTGTGGTAGGAGCAATAGTTTGGTGTAGGAGACGGACATTCTGGAAGCTTCAAAGAATGAGCAGCACTCGGTAAGCAGGAATTTAACCACATGATAATCAAATAGCTTAATGAGAAAACAGAAGAACGAAGAACATGTATAACACACTGAGTGTAACTTTGCGAGAATGGAGGGCCCACGTTATTTAAACGTCACTGGTTATAGTAAAAGGGTTTTATTCTGCTTTTTTTTTTTTGAGTTGAGAAGAGACAGAAAACCAGATTTTATTAAAAGTTTTAAACTCTCCAATGCAAAATGGTATGGTTTGGGAGGGGGTGCTGCATTAAATAATAAAGTAAAGGAATCTGGTTGGAGGACAAGACTAGAGCCAAATCATATTCTTTCAAAACACACAGACCACCACCCCTACACACACACCACTCAAAATACTTATCCCATGATTTTTACAATCATATGTTTCTGCTTTAACTGGTCACTTACATCAGAGAAATAAGATCAAGAAAACACCTTAAAATCAGCTGTAATCATGAGAACTTGCTGTAAATGGTGACAATCTTAAAATCTACATTGTATAGAATTCTAACAATCTACAACATCCAGTAATGACTTCACCCAGATTCCTTTAGTCTTTTAGAAGCATAGGGGTGCAAGTTTAGGTATGCAGTAAAATAAAGTGTAGCCCACATCCACAACCAGTTAATCATCCTTATAAAAAAGATAGAACTGAGGAAGCAATGGCATGGTTATTTTTTTCCGCTATCAAAATATTCAATAGGATAATTTACTGATGTCTTTGGTGCCCTGTTATACTGTCTCCTAATTGAACACATGATAGAAACATGCCCCGGGGGCAAAAAGAATAAATCTACTAGGTAAAAATTTTCTTTTATAACTATAGATAACAGAAGACACACTCAGGCAGCACAGAAAACCCAAATGTGTGGATCTGTTTGAATTGAGTGTGCGTTATGTTGCCTTGCTTATTCACAATATTACTTGCTTCTTTTGTCCATTTCTGCCAATATATGGACTTTCGATGCATACTAGAAAATAAAAAATTATAAATGTGCTATATAAGTACTATCAGAAAAAAATTCTTAAAATACTAGAGTCCCTTTCCCAACACAGATGTGAAACCTCTGGATATTTGTACAAAAACTAAAAAATTAATGCTGGTTTCTCTGACCCATAATATTTTAGAAAATCGCCATGCATTGTGAAAAGTCTAAAAATCTATGAAGTGTTCTTGGCTGCTTTCTTATCAATCCAGAGAAAGCCAACAATGCTTGTATGGACATCAACTAGTAAGAAGCACTGAATTAAATTAGCTTTTATCTCATCACAAATATTTACAAAACTCAATAACTTAATTGTCTTTAAGAAACATCACGTTTCCAAATTGATTAGTTGCTTGGTTGTGCTCTGGACCAGAATTTGTCAGCTCATAGACCTGGTTAGTAAAATCAGGAAGCTCCAGGTCACTGTTCAGTACTCTTTTTATATAATTCTTGTAATTTATAACTGATAATGTGCATGATTAAAATCATCAAGTGAAGCACTAAATGAAAGCAGTGAAAACAGTCTCTATTATTTTCAGTAAAGGATTCTTTTCCTACCATCTCTTTCCAAAACAACCATCATGTGTATAGGAAACTACAGATTACCCTGATTGAATTTGAAACTTTTTAATAATTTATTTCTACTAACTTTAGGGTGATTAATTTTAGAAAATATTTAATTTGAATTAATTTATGTGTGAGTGATTTTACAAAGTATTCTTGAAATCCATCTCCTACAATTTCCACACAACTATTGAGATAGAGTTACAACTATAAGGACTAGCAAATGACTACTCCAATGCATACAGTTTCCTTAAAAAGACTGATTCATCCATTTATTCTTTTAAAACATATTCCTTAACTAAAAGTTAAGCAACACTTCATGATATAGAGGATGGAAAGCTAAGAATAAACTGTCTTTGTTCTATGGCAGCGATCTCCAGGGAGATGTAAACAAATACTGAAGAATATGCTTTGTATAACAACAGAAAAACGCTGGAGTCAGTGCAGTAAAAAGAGCCAATCAGAACCAAATCAGACCATACTGTGAAGGAAAAACACGTCAAGAGAAGGCTATCCTTAAGCTGTGTTTCGAAGCATGAGTAGGAGTTTATTAGAAGAGGAAGAAGGCACTTAGGAGAGAGACTAGACACTGAGGGCAGTAGACAACGTTAATAATTGTGAACGTAAACAAAGCCAGATGAAAGATGTCATATCAGATAGGGCCAGACATTCATGCTAGAGATTTAAATTTTGTCTCAAGTACTAAGAAGATCTGGGATGCTGAGAAACATGTATGCAAGAAGCAATCAAGTTTGTGTTTTAGTAAGAATACTCTGGCTGCATCTTAGAGTCATTGGATGAAGACAGAAGCAAAGGACTAGAAAAAACTTACTAAATTGTGGTCAAAAACCCAGTTAGGAATTGGTTTTCATAGTAGCACCTAAAGAAGACATTTCATCAGAAACCTCAAAAGGAAAAATGATATTCTGAAATAATAGTTACCACTATCTATACCATCTAAAAACGATCAGAAAATCATCATTTTTGAGCTTTTTCTAAATACTGGATTTTTAGAAATAACATAATATAATATATTAATCATATATCTATTTAAATGATCTTTCACAGAGTCTTCAAAATGTTCATTGAAAAGAAGAATTTATAAAGATAAATTTGTATGGTGTAAAAATGTTAAAAATCCATACAGAGTTTTCCATAGTACACATTTCTCTACAAGCTTTCTGAATACCCCTTGATCAATTCTAATTTATTTAGAATATGCTCTATTTTTAATTTTTCAGTAGCTACTTGCCATCAAAACAGTCCAAACTCACTTTGTTGGAACTGGATATTTTAATGGTTTCAGCATTTCCAAAAATGGGGATACACAGAAAATGCAAAAGCTTTGAAACAAAGCAAAACTGCAAAGATGATCTGAGTTTTTGAAGATTTGTATTTTTTCCTAATGTTACCTAAAGTTAGTGCAACAAAAAGAATCATATCTCACACTTTGGTATTAAAGATTCTCTGCCCATACTTTGGCTATTAAAGACATTCTGTGAAGATACGTCAGCTGAAGGGATTCATTTTTTTTAAATGTAAAGTGAAAAGCCACATCAATATTTCTTCTGATAATAACTCTGCAACTTCAGTCTTCCTGCTAGGAGATGGTGAAGATGCTATGAAAAATCCTTGGCTGATGACAGCAACAGGTTAGAGCAGACTGGGTCTGTCATTGTATTAACATTGCACAACAGCATTATGTGTGCTGCACATTTTATGGGTTTTCCAGGGATGACCTGTACCAAGTGCAAAACCACAATTAAGTCCTCAAGATAACAATTCAAAAAACACACATTGAAATCCAATGTGAATTAAAGAGATTGAGTTTTAAGCAGCAGATAAGCATACTAATTTCTCTATTTTTTTAATAAAAATAGAAGGATGAAATTAGATAAATCTTTTGTAACTATGACATAATAACATCATAAGATTGATAAATCTGTCAAATTATTATATCTTACAGGTTCAGCTATAAAAAGAAATGACCTGAAACAAACAGAGTGGAACAATACAATGCTCAATCAACAGAAGTTGAAAAACAAGAGCTCTCCAAGAACAGTATTTTGTTGAAGAAGTAGATCCAAATATAGAAATGGTCAAATAAGATTAGTGGTCTCAGAGAATTCAAATGAAACTGTTTTGAGAATTTAAATACAATATATAGTAAATTAGATTTGCGTTCTGCTAAATTATGCTTTGATACTGCATTCAGTCCAAGCTGACTTCAATGTCGTGCCATAGCTCCGTGGTGCTAATGCCTGCTGGTGAGAGTAAGTGGGCAATATGGAAATCAGATGGCTGAACATGAATAGGACACACAGGCCGTGCATGAGCTGGGCTTTGACAAGGGAATGGAAGAGCTTAGAGGTTAATCACATCATATTCACAGTTGTTTCTTCAGGGAAATATGACTGACTGTGGCAGGCATTAGCTCAGAGTCGTGCAGTGGGTAGGGGCAGCGGCATGTGTAACAAAGAGTAGTA